GCATGAGCAGCTTCCGTTGGTAACCGTGGATCGATGAAAGACGTAGCTTTTCTAGCGTGGCAGATGAAAAATCTCTAAAATTAAAAAACGTTTCTCAATTTTGTAATACTTCCCAATGATGTGTGTGTGTGTGTGTGTGTGTGTGTGTGTGTGTGTGTGCGCGCGCGCGCGCGCGCCCTATCTTTTTCTTTCTCTCTGTTTTGAGAAAATTATATACTGTTATATAATGAAAAACTTACTTTACTCGTCCTATCAAGCTTTGATTCGTATCCTCTTGGGAGTTCTTTGCTTGGATCGGCAAAGAAATTAATTAAGGCGACTAAATCCCTATTGTGTTCATATCTTGGAAAAACCATCGGATCTCTTCTAACTCTGCTGATCATATGTTTTAAACTTGGATTACGATTGTATAGTTCCATAGCGTCCGCATTGGTGTGCAACACGGTAAAAAAATCGGGTCGTGTTAAAAATAATACTGGCGGTATTGTGGCGATGTCAAACGGCTCGCATTCGCTCCTGTCAGTACGAGAATCATTCTGCCGTTCGGTATTCTCAAAGGAATTGCCGTTTGAATTGTTAACTTCGCGATCTATGTTATCGGGGCGTGAAATTGTTCGTCGTACACTTTGATAACGCCTATCCAACTGTTGTCTTCGTAAATCACAGCCGATGTTACGTGTTGTCAAGTTTGGTCTTTGCCACGTTGTAGTACGATTAATGTGATCTATGTAAAATACTCGACCATGGCTATCTATCCTTGCTTCCCATGCTAAAATGTACACAAAAAATGATTTATAAATAGTAATACATTATATTAAAGTATGGAAACTATTAATTGGCTTACACGGAGGCAGAGGTTCTTCAGAGGTTGATAAAGATACATTTGATGTTTGGCATACAGGCAACGGACATAAAGATTTGGGTCGATGCGTCGGCGTAGGTGGGCACTCCAATTGTGCCAGTGCCGATTCTGGCCTCTCTCGTTGTCTGTGTGTCTTTGGAGAGCTCAATAAGGCAATACTCTTTGTAACCGCTGTCCTTAACTAAAGAAAAAAAAGTTTAATAATTTAAATATAAATAATTTTAAATATAAATAATTTAAATATAAATAATTTTATATTAATAAATAAAATAAATTTTATTTAACTTAATATTAATATATATAATAATATATTTTATATATATATATATATATATATATATATATATATATATATACAGGGTGGACCAATAACTCTGTCCACCTGGAATATCTCCGTTATTTTTAAAGATACAAAAATTTTGTACTTGTAAAAGTTGTACGGTAGAGGACCGTAATATGCTATTAATAATTTTTTTGTAGATGGAGGCGCTTCAGAGATTTCAAGGTCAACTCCATTTTTTTAAATGGAACCCCCCATTTTTTATTACCTATTCTTGTAGCTTATCTCTAGAGCTTTCCAAAACACTATAATAAAGTATTTCTTCATTGAGTATTTTTTGAGTCATGAGGATTGAAATCATTTCTTAATTTTACATAAACCATAAAATATCTAGTAAAATATTCATTTTTCGATTATCTTACCTTAATGCTTTTATGTACAAAATAATGAGAGGTTTCAATTGCTGTAAAGAAAACATACAGTTGTTTTTAAGAAAAAATATGAAATTGTTAATTGTAAATTACATATTTTTTAAAAAAAACAACTATTTTTTCTTTACACCAATTGATTTCTCTCATTATTTTGTATATAAAAGTATTAAGGTAAGATAATAAAAAAATGAATATTTTACTAGATATTTTATAGTTTATGTAAAATTAAGAAATTATTTCAAGCCTCATAACTCGAAAAGTACTCAATGAAGAAATACTTTATTATAGTGTTTTGGAAAGCTCTCGAGATAAGCTATAAGAATGGATAATAAAAAATGGGGGGTTCCATTTAAGAAGATGGAGATGACCTTGAAATCTCCGAAGCGCCTCCACCTACAAAAAAATTATTACTAGCATATTACGGCCCTCTTGGTACCGTACAACTTTTATACGTATAAAATTTTTATATCTCTAAAAATAACGGAGATATTCTAGGTGGACGGAGTTATTGGTCCACGTGTATATGAATTTTCTCCGTATGTACAAAAGTATATATCAAGTGTAATATATAGCTGAGTGATGATAATCTTGTAACCTTGAGATTCGAAGCTTCATCAACATCTACAATCTCAAATCCAAAACAATCCTCAGGATGAAATGGTATAGGATGTCTCTGAGGTCGTTTCGGTAACTCTGGTGCCCCACTTGGTAATGCATTACTTCTATGTAATGGTCGGTGGGTTGCTCTTGGTGGAAGCGGCGGTGGCATTGGATATAGAGTTTCGTACAAAGATTCAGGAGGCGAATGACCACCCGTACTACGCCATAACTGATAATATTCCACTCCTTCTTTCGTTACAATCCCATTAGGTCTGCATTGTCTCTAAAATAAAAATCTCATCTTTATCAAATTCATTAGATAATAGGTTTTATTATATTAGAGATATTAAATATAAACCGTATGTGCCAAAGTGTACACTTCCAGGACAGAATAAACTACGGATCTACATATAATAACAACAAATCTACTTACTTTTTTAATATTATCATGACTTGTACTTGCATGTTGGGACTCTATATCCGAATTACTTTCTTCGCTACTATTTGACGAACGAGGTTCCACATCCAGACAATGAACTACTTCCAACTGATTTTGTTCGGTAAATGATGACGTCACAAGCGCTACTGCATTTTCCTCGACGTCGGATTGCTGAATATTGGCAGTTTTGGGCATTTTCTCTAAAATTGGCAGTTTAAACGGCTTACTTGTGCTTGCAGAATCATTGTAGCACGAGGAAATACATTTTTGCGACACTGTTGTTTCTTTACAAACAAGTTTAGGTGAGATGGGTGATTCATTTCCATCAATTACATTGTCCAAAGTTTCATTGTCCTTATTATTATTCTCCAATGGATTTAAAGATACTTTTGCATCATTTTCTGTGTCGTTATAATCTGCCAAGGTTGATGAAACACTTTGCAAATTTGATAATTTTTTAGATGTATCTAAAGGCACAGATGTCAATTCATCCGTTGATAAATCAATGTTACAATCAATGTTGGAATCTTTCGTATTATTATCGCTAGATGTCCTTAATAAGATATTTGTTAAACTGTTATAATTTGTAGTGGAAACATCGTCTTCTAAAGACAACTGTTTACAAGTATGCAAAAGTGTCGTTTCTTCTACTACTTTGTGTCTAGTACTCGATGCTACATCATCATCATCATCACTATTATCATCATTATTATTACACATATTCCCTGTATTTGGTTCATGGTCATATTTCTCTATATCAATACTGTGACCTTTTTCACAATTATAAGCTTTTTCATCTAAGAAATTGTCAGGGCACATTGTTAGTTCTAAAGTGTTGGAAATTTCAGGAATATTTCCCGCTAACAAGCATTTCTTTCTAGTTAAGTTTTTATGAGCGAGAAAAATTGACTTTTGACTAGAGTTTTCTGCTATACTGTTGCATGTAGTATTTGCATCGTTATCTTCCTCAGTTTGTTTAAACAATATCGATGTACTAGTTTCTGTAACTTTTGAAAATATATTTTTATTATCATGTTTCAAATGTAAAAATAAAACTTTACAATACTTTTTATATTTTGTAAAATATGTGGAAGAAATTACAATTCATTTACAAGTTTGACACTGATATTAACCTGTTATTTTATCTTGGAGACATATATTCTCGAGTAAATCATTTGTCGTTACGGAGCTAGTAGATGAAAGCCCATCTCCGGTTGAGTTTAAGATTTTAATTCTGATCTGATGATCCGACGTGGACACTTTGCCATTATAAACATTTGCTACATCGGCATTTATTTGTTTCGTAGATAAGCTTGATTCTTGGCCGCTCGTAGAATTTAAAGTCATTAATGTAACAGAATGTTCGTTAGATTTCTCAGTATCCTCCTCTTGCTTGGAAATATTGTCCATAGCATTTGTTTCAGATGGCATCTTTTTTTTCAAAACATATTTGAAAGCTCTACAAGAAAGTATACGAACATGGAAATTAAGAGGCGCTGAAAATATCCATATTATCAAATTCATTGCAAATATGTTAAATTGTTTGCGTATACGGATTCACAAATATACGATTTATATTATGTATAAATATAAATGTAATATACATATATTTACAAACAGAACACACAAATACAAAAATGAAGAGAATACAGAATGAAAGGAGAATGGCAAGGTTAAAAAATGTTGCATTCAAAGATTAACTGATAATTTATAGAATATCGCATACAAAAGACAATTAAAATTAGTTACTTAGAGAATCGCTGAGAATGGAATCGTTATCGATATCTCTAATTTTTCATTATAACGATGCTTACGATACATTTCGTTCTGTACATACGCAAGGTAAAAGATGTGCGAAAGCGTCGTTATGCGCCAAGATTTCTTACTCGTTAATACACCGCATATTTAATATGTGTAACAGCGTAACAGTAAAGCTACTTCAAATAGCCAATATTATGTAGCATCCGCTGCTTTATTTACGCGATGACTTTACTATTTTATTACTACTAATTATACACGTACGTATGTACTACATACACGCGTGAACAAGTAATTTTGACAGCAGCGGACGTAGCAGACTGTATACGACTACTAGTAACTTTTGAACGCGGTACACTCGATAGTGGCCGCATTCAGCGGACTCAACCGCTAAGTATCAATCGAACATGATTGGTTTCTACTTTCAGGTCCGACCAATCAGCGTCGAGTTACATCGGAAAATCTAGGAATGTTGCCCAACTGTTGAGTCCGCTGAATGCGGCCAGTCTTGATAACACGAACGCTCTTACACGGGGTGCATTCAGAAGCACAACCGCTCACTGAGTGGCTAAGTAGCAATCGAATGTGATTGGTGAATTCGAAGATAGAAACCAATCACATTCGATTGCTACTTAGGCCCAGTTCCACAATCCAGTTAATCCGAGTTTAATACGTTAAACTGGGTCCTGATTGGTCCATTTGCTACTTAAACTCGGATTAACTGGATTGTGGAACCGGGCCTTAGCCGCTCGGTGAGCGGTTATGCTTCTGGATGCACCCACTTTCTATTGACGTTTTCGAATGGTCGTTCCGGAGTAATTTACTAGATGTCATTGACCAATCACGGTAATTCTTCTAAAGAATGTATGGTTACATCTTAAGCCGGATCTACAATAGATAATTTAAACCGTAAGCTTTAAGAAATTGACCAATCACAATCGAGTATTCTCTTCATACTTGACTGTGATTGGTCAATCTCTTAAGGCTTATGGCTTAAATTACCTATTGTAGACCCGACCTCAAACCCGACCATTCAAAAACGCTAAAGAAATTTTAGCTCTTTTTGCTCCAATTAGATTAATTTTCGTCAAATTTAAATTTTTAATTTATAATGCGTAGAATAACTTGATTAAAATCAAGTAAGGTGTGTTCTGTGAATGCGTTCCGTTTAATGTTACCAACATTTTAAATTGTTTGATTGACTAATGGCCGCATTCAGCGGATCCAGCCGCTAAATAGCAATCGAACGTGATTGGGTTCTACTTTCAAATTTGGCCAATCAACGTCGAATTACATCGGAAAATCTAATAATGTTGCCCAACTCTCGAGTCCACTGAATGCGGCCAATCGGAACAAAGAAACTTTGGTTCTTTGTTCCGATTGGCCATCGAAAATTACGAATCTTTGTAGTCTCCAATAAGAAGAGTATCCTATGTCATAAATGATAGCGATAATATTTGCATTCTCTTTAAACACACCTTTTTTTTTTAGAGAATTTTAGAGAATTTTTTATAAAGAAATGTATGAATGATATTTATATATTTGTAATTGTAAGTGTGATATAAAATAGTTTTCACATATTTTCCGTATATTACACTTTTTCGATATTCATATATTAAATATATGAATTATTTAGGAATTTTTTAAATATTTCTTTTTGACGGAGGCTAGCTTGAAAATCATAATGAAATTTATCTTACCTCGAAAGTATATTTACTATTTATTTGATTTAATATACAAGTACAGCTTGTGATCTCAACTAAATTGTGCTAAAAATTCATTTGAAATTTTCGCTTTTTATTCTTTCTCTCTCATCTTTTCCTTTTATAAATATATGTATATTATTTTATATGTAAACATATAAATGTGTGCAATTATTAAATATATCTTTTCTACTTAGTCTTTAAATCAATATCTAAAACATTTATTATATTTTCATTCTTGTATTTTTGCTTATCAATTCTTTTCGATGACAAAGCTAAAAATAATAATATTATTGAAATATTATTATTAAAAGTATACTCGCATAGATAAGAGAGAGAGCTAATGTTTTAGATGAAAAGACAAGGCAATACTACAATATAATGAACTAAAATTATTTATTTGAATTTGTCATTAGACAACTCTCGATAGAAAACCTTAATAGAATGTCGCACATGACTAATAGCACGATTGAATGATTTTATAAACACAGAATGTATATTTAAAAAACTTAACCGTTTCTCTCGATGTCTCTTTAGTGATAAGATTCTTTAACATATATCATTTTATATGATTGCTAAATTATATTTGAGGACATAAATAAAAAAAAAAGGATGAAATATAATTAAGCGCTAAATGTATATGTTGCGATCATTTCAATTTACAAGTATCCATTGTATATGGCTCGTATAATAATAATAATTATTATTATTATATAATTATAATAATGATATTATACTTTACAACTTTGCTCATTGACATTAGTTAAAAACATACATTTACACATCTTCAAAGCCTGCTGCGACGATACTATTTTATGCAAATTATTCACAAATTTAAAAATCCAATTCTGCTTTTTTATACCAAGTATAAATCAAATGTTACGCTCTAAAGCGCCTGCGCGCGTTCTATACTGATTTAAACATATATACGATAGTCTTGTAATAAGATTCATTGCAATAAGAATTATATTTTTTTTATCGACAAAATTTTCACCAAGAGTGTCCCATACACACTGCTTCTTGCATTATACTAAAGATTTTCCATCTGCGCGTTCACATTCAATAAAATACACTAATTTATCAAATATTTATTGAAATCTTATTATTTATATTGATCAAATAAATGCATTAATCGTTCTAGTTAAATATACGTCGCTGATATATATATATATATATATATATATATATATATATATATATATTTACACATGGCTTTAAATTATTCAGATTAGTTGGATATATATATATATATATATATATATATATATATATATATATATTTATATATATATGTATTTGCCTTCATCTAGTAGATATAAGTTTTATCGTTCGCGTATTTGTTTTATCCCACAGTATTTGTAAATACATTCCATCAGTTATTTATTACCTTTCAGAAATAGAAATGATTTTATTGACATGAGATATGGAAATGATTTTATTATATCACGGCTGAATAATAATACGTCTTCAATTATACGAAGAGAGTATCATTTTGCTGAATAAAAAATATGGAACAGGAAAAAAATTTTGTGTATTATTTATATTATAACAAATTCATGTATCAATACATTAGTATAAGCTATCACAAGTAAGCTTACATACATACATACATATTCATATCCATCCAACGGTAAATTTAAATGGCCAAAAGTGTGCACAAAACAATTCTGTGAACTACAGGCATTCTCTTAACTCGCAGAAATGCTAAAACAAAACTTAATATAATAGTATTATAGATCTCTCACATGTGTGTGTATGTGTGTGTGTGTGTGTGTCTATGTTCGTATGTAGAAATTCCTTATACAGAAATTTATCATACAATATATCGAGCCGTTTTTGAGGACAATTCTGAAGAATGGTAACGTTATTTTTGCCATATTCACCGTTTTTTATCATTCTGATTAATTAGAGAGAATTAATCTGTAAAAGTTTTATATTCTAGGAATCAATTTCTCTGAAATAATCGATTCTCTCTGAGAGAAGCAATTTTTCAGCAATCTTTTTATCTCATTACATGAAATAGCATCGCTAGCAGGCAATTGTCCCATTATATCCACAACAGAAACTCGAATTTCTTTAAAATCCTATAACAGACAAACAAACAGTCACCGCGTTTCGGGCTTACCTCCTTAACAAGGGTATACTCTCTCTCTCTCTCTCTCTCTCTCTCTCTCTCTCTCTCTCTCTCTCTCTCTCTCTCTCTCTCTCTCTCTCTCTCTCTCTCTTTTGCAGACTCGGTTTTAGTAAGTAATTAATATTTTATCTATTTTTGATGATGAGATGATGATGGTGATGTCGCAGGGATAATTACAGCTCAAAGGATACAAGAATTCCTTTCACAGAGTGTTTTTCATCAAATGTGCATAAAATGATAGGATACGGACTATGGTTAATTCAGTCCTGCATCTCTTCTGGCATTTCGTGAGGATTAAGGATGCCCGGAACGGCCATTTGTTGCCGCCTCTTCTCCTCTTGGGCTAGCCGTAAAGCTGTTTCTCGTTCCTCCAAGTAAAGCTCGGCATCGTCCTCACCTGTGTATTCCTAGATGAAGGGAGAAAAATGCAATTTTCTTTTTAAACTTGTGCGTCTAGTATGGTAGCTAACTTTTTCTCGTATCATTAAATATTATCAAAGCAAAAGAGGGAGAAGGAAAAAAGAATTAAATATTATTTCGCGCTATACGTTTTGTTTTCGGATAAACCTGTCAATACTACTTACTTTGATTTGCACGAGAAAATCTCTGAGGTGCTCCTTAAACGCAGTGATATCCTGATTAAGATGGAATAAACCTTGCACAGTTATTTTAATCTGATTATCAGTTAAATGCGGAAAGGCTGCTCTAAGCAATCTTGCAACAAATTCTTGTATATATAAAGTATTATCAGGTACAGGGCCAAGTGGCACCTGAATTTTCCCACGTTCAATCAGTGTAAACATATAAGCGAGAATTGTAGCGTGCATTGTAAGGCCTGTATATCAACATGATATTAATCGAATCAATCAATATCTATATAACAGTACATATAAATCAATCGATTATGCAACTAAATGTAAATTTATTCTTCACCTGCTGTGTGCGATGTATCCGTGACAACGCTAAATATATGTTGTAGAATATCTGTAAAATATGTTTGGTAAAAACTTTGACCCGCTTGCTCGTGTTGTTCAATGTTTAACAGAAGCTGATAAAGAATTTGTAGTCCTGTGTCTGCTACATTCCTCATTGTATGTTTAAAGGCCCAAATAATTGAATCAAGAACCAGTTTAAACTGGGCCGGCGGAATTGAAAGAAATGCAGGGAAACAATGGACATTTACCGCCTAAAGGAAATATAATAAAGTGATACAACTTAAGAATATAAGTCGAATCATATAAAAAAAATGTAAATTGATACACTTACTTGTAAGAGAAGGAAAAAATTTGTTCTGTGTTCGGGAAATTCTTCAAAGTCTTTGTTTATCATTTCTAAAGTACATTCAAATACTGCATCAAATATTTTAGGTACCTCGCTAGTGATATGGGCTTCTAGTTTGTTCACTATGGTAGCCATAGCACTAAGCACTTCGGGCTCTCTAGCACAATGAACATTCGTTTTTTGATAATCCAGCAAAACGGCATCCAGCAATGGCGGTATAAAATTTTCCAACACCTGATAAACAGAGAAATCATTATTTCAATCATATTTTATATAAAAAATGTGAAGTAAAATGAAGAAATAAATTTGTAGATTTTTGGGAAAAATACCCGAGACAAAAAGTCTTACCATTTGATGGTCATTCGTCCTGCTCACCCAATCTGAGATTAGTTTCAATGTTTCCTTTTTCACTACTCTCATACTCTTGATTAAAGGTTGCTTCATTACTATCTCACCATTTACAGATATCGCAGCACTTATATTTTCACTCATAACCTAATGTAAATTATGCTTGTTTAGTGTATCAATCATTATCATCCTTTGAAAAATCTTTCATACATAAATAGAAAGAGAAACGATACCTTATAAACATTCAACATATCTAAGTATATTTTTCCTAATTGTATCACGTACGGGTGCCCAAGAGCTTTGCAAGCTCTAACATTTGTTTTTAAGATGCTGGCGAGTTGCTTCACGGCCTCTTGGTCCTTCAAGACATCCACATTCTAATGATTAAAAAAAAATTATTCATATTATACATAGACATAAATGTATTATAATGTATTCTTTTTTTCTGAAAATTTACAAATAAATAAAAATTATAACATACTTTGGATGCTTGACTAATAATGTCATCCCAAACTTGATTAGGAAGAAGCATATATTTCTCAATCAATTGTTCTTGTATTACAGTATCGGCTTGAGCATTTATCATGTAACCAACCGCCTCATAGAATGTATGTACCTGTTGTATTATAATATTATTAGATAGTATGTGTATCAGAATATGTAAGATAAATGTTATATTATATAATTGTAATTAAATATGTGTATAACACAAATGCTATAGTTTTTGTCTTACTTGTTGTGTTTGAAGATCGCATATGATGGTACTAATTGTAGAAAGAATTTCTTCAATGAATGGCATTGCTTCTCCAATTTGTATGGTAACAAAATGTCGTCTGCATTTTAGTGCTATTTTAATAAAAGTATCGCAGGCCATATCTTGCACTCCATCGTGCGTTTCTACAATATAAACAAAAAATTAATTTAACTAATTACAATTAAAATAAATTATAATTAACAAAAGGAGTCTTTATTATTAAGCGAATGAGCGAGTGAACAAACGAGTGAAAGAGAAAGAAAGAGAGAGAGAGAGAGAGAGAGAGAGAGAGAGAGAGAGAGAGAGAATGAGAGAGAGAGAGAGAGAGAAATAGAGAGAGAGAAATATTTATTCTTACCATGCATGAACTCAAAAAGTTTATTTACAACAGTCTTTAAAAATTTCCAATGAGCTCGGAGAAACCGTGGATACTGGCCAACAACATACATGATATTGCTAGCAATTATAGCTTTGTTATCTTTTCCCTTCTTTTGTTCACACAAACCAAGTAAATCTTTGATTACAGTTACCAAAAAGCGTTTTTCATCTTCTTCGTGCATAGCGCCTGAAATACTGCCTATTGCCCAGCATAACTGATAAATGAATAAAATGTGATAAATATAACATCATTGCCATATATGTCACCCAACATTTTATTACGCGCATACATTTTATTTGATTAACATTAGACAATTACCGTGTTGAGATTCTTCCAGGACCACTCTGCACCATTAACTTGATTTTGTAATTTCTCCGTCATTACTCTTTCTGTATCCAAATAATCGAGATGAGTAAGATACACAAGAGTTTCTCTCATATTTTTGTAGAGATTTATAGAGTCGGTATCTTTCATGAATTCCCTGACAACTTCTCCATTTTCATTCTCTACGACAAGCACTTCTTCAGGTTTTGCCATTCTACTGATCATGATATATCGTACTTTTGTTAAAACTGGAGCGTAAAATAATCTCCGAGGAGGAACCGTCAAGTTTTTGGACATGAAAATTGGCGAAGAGATAACAAAAGGATTTTCTTTGTACAAATCGGCGGCTAATCCATTCCAGTATTCTAAACAGATTTTAAATATTTCAACCTCGTCGACTTCAGATATGAGGACGAGATAATGTAACGCCTTCACTAGCGTTTCATTCAATTGCTTCTTCTCTATTAGCTCGCCATGATCTTTGAGATAGGTGCAAAGAAACATAGCTAGGTTTTGGATAAAGTTTTGCTCTTGATCTTGACCAGCTGCGTATGCTTCACGTATGTTGGTTTCCAGCGGGAGCATTAGTTCCAATTGTTGCATCGTGTTGATAAATAATATAACAAACATGTCATCATAATTCGGTACGTTAGTAGCGGTAACGGCCGCGATTTCCGTTAGACACTTGAGAGTAACATTCCGAAATATTGGTACATTCAAAAACTGCAAATATATTTGAAACAAATATTACATTAAGTATAATGTATAGAGAAAGGCGAACATATATCTGTAAATAAGTTAACGGGGAGGGAGGGAAAAGGGGGAAGAAAAGAAATGTACAACAAACTCTCTTTACCTTGAATATTAAAGTGGTTATCAATTTAGTTTCAAAAATATATCCAAGAGGTATCCAATTTAAAAACCTTAGTAGCGTCTCTAATGTGACTGCTACTAATGGAACATTTTGCGAATTGTCCATCACAAATTGGCAAAGCTGAAATATCTGTGAAAATTCACTGCACATTGTGTCCTTTAAATGTTTCGCTTTTGTCTGAGTCATTTGTCCGCTGGAAAAGTCAAATACTTCCTCTGACAAAAGTTTTAAAATAGCCATATTGTTTTGACAGAGACTCTCGTTAGTTTTACTCGCGCCAACGATATCACTGATGAAGGATTCCCAATTTTTCGGCCATTCACGTTTCAATACCTGATATCGAAGAAACAATATATAATTATTATTAACAGATAATTATTCCTTGCGCTATGATATTTCTCGCGCAAAATATAAATGAATTTTAGCTACTCACTTGCACGAGGATCATATTGAGTTTGTTGAGATAAACTTTGGAAGCTTCCATCGTCTCGGGATCGCTGCTCGTCTTTATGATAAGGCCTACGATATACTTTTTTATACCTTCGCATTGATTTCTCGGTAGTACTTTCCATCGTGTCTTTATAACTTGCTCCAATATTTGCAAGCCGTAATATTTTGTTTGTTGATTCTGTACAATGGGACGACGATATAGAAATGTTCGCGAATACATATACGTGCTACCGACGATGAGAAATATGACCATGCGAACATTTACCTGCGAATACTCTAGAATAGTATCTACCCGTGTCCAAGCGTTTGGATGTTCCTTGAGGGTCGTTAACACTTCTTGAGCGACTCTTTGTTGCTCACCTATCCCAGTATACATACATCCTACTATATTGTCGAGAAGCGTTATATCCAATTTCTGATTGAAGTCCAATAATTTAGATGCTTGCTCAGCCAAAGTTGCCATTGTATCGTGAAATTATATATTCTTCCGCACCTTTTATCTTCTAAATGGAAAGTAGAGAGAGAGAGAGAGAGAGAGAGGGGAGGGAAGGGGAGAGAGAGAGAGAGAGAGAGAGAGAGAAAAAGAGACACGTGAAAATGTTATTTTTAATAATGATAAAACACTTGGAGAAGTAACATGTCGATTATACGTACAATTTGTACATACAAGGATTGACATACAAGTGGATTCAAAATTCTAAACTTTCAATCTACAATCGTGAATCTCAAAAACGATGCAGAAAATTGGGTACGTATAATCTAAACAAGTCTCGACTATGCGATAGATTTGCCTCTCTCGCAACGTACAAAGCCTATTGTGCTCGATTAGAAATTTAACGTGGCGTAAAAAAGTCTTGGATACTACGCGATATTAACGCGACAAGAGTTTATGTCGGATGCTGGAAATGTTTGAGGGAATTGAAAAAGATTGAAAAGTCGGGGGTCGAAGGTCTGCCGCACGTGTCCGTATTGAATCGGGGGTGAATCGAGGTGCGGGATCGCGGCGCGTCGACGCGAGGATAAACGCCGCGAGGAGTGTAAATGCGAGACGAGTGTAAATGAAAATGGAATAAAAGGAGAGAAGAGAGGAGAGGAGAAAATATCGTGTTCGTTGACGCGGGTGAGGTCGCCGTTCCGCGGTGACAAACTAACCTACATTTGACAATCGAGGGAGCAAGGTTATGTGAATCGTTGCGAGCGTAAACGATCACACGGGAGAGTAAACAACGTACCGTCGGGGTCGGGGCACCGGCACCGGGGTCCGACGAGAGGCGCGCGAGCCACGACGACGGGGGGAGCGCGGATTCGTTTCGTTTTGGCGTCCCAGCCAGTAGGGAGTACCTCGAACGTCGCGTCGACGGGAGCAACGCGCGAGAACAACGCGCCAACTTACCGTATTCACTCTCATACACGACGATTTTCCGTTCGGGAGTTTCAAAAAAATCACACGTCTCGATCACCGCCGATTAAGGTATATCGATGAGAATCACAAGCGTAAAGCGGCAAATATATACACAACCGCCGATTCCCGCGCACGACCACTTTCGTACCTCGTTTCACGCACTCCAACGCAGTCATTCCTCACCGTCTATCGTTCTCGCTCTCGCTCTCGCTCGCTCGCTCCCTTTCTCTCCCTCTCTCTCTTTCTCCCTCCCTCCTTCCTTTCCTCCCGCTCACCCTCTTTCTCGCTCGCTCTCTCTCTCTTTCTCTCTCCGCTACTTTTGCGACGGTCAGTGGAGAGATTGAAGTTTGCGCGATACCCACCGAAGCCGTTCTTCGTCGTAACTCTGCGCTCTTGACCTCATACGAGCCGCGTCTTTCTCTCACCAGTCGCCCGGAACAAAGTGCCGAAGGTGCGCTCGCACCTCCTACTACTGCGTCTTGCCGAAAATCCTCAAGATTTTCGAAAATAATAACAAGATGGCCGGAAAAAGTTTACGCGACCATTGCGGACAAACCGCGGCGACGATTGGCCTTACTATCCGCCCTCGGCCAATCGGGGTGACGCTAAACGGCTGTTTCTCGTGACGCCACGGCAGAGTCGTCTGACGTCACGTATGTACATACACGTGCGCTTCGTTTTGACTCGAGAAAATTCATCGTTGTCGCGTAATGCGCGTACGAGGATAAACGAAGAGTTAACAACGGTACAAGTGGTACGATAATTATGTAGTAATTGGGTAAATTCGACGAAATGTTTTCTTTTTCTTCACAAGAAAGAGACGTGTCAAGTTTTTGGTCAAGTTTAAACTTGCATCGCGACGGCGAATGCAGAGTGAAAAGCTTGTTTTCTCATACGTGGCGTAGCGCACGCAATCTCTCATATATTGTGTAATATATTTTCAAAATAAATACATTTTATTATTTACGTTTATTTATACGATGTTTAATGTTAACCGAGAGAAATTTTTTTTTATAAAAGATTAAATCTTATTTTCTGCATTATAAGGGAGGAAAAAATACCGATTGGTTTAATCCTCAAGTACCATACATGTATATTATTTCCCAAATAATATGAAAAAAGTAGTTTCTTTTCCCAAAGTGTATCACTTTATATATTTACTAAACTTGCTCTAATTAGTAAACATTTTACATGTATTAAACTTGATTGTTAATTAATTTGATGAAAATTTACAACGCGAAACAAATTTATATTGGTATGTAATATAATAAATTTTTGTTATTCCGCACAAGCTAATCAATAATAAGAGATCATTAAACTACGTTATTGAAAACTGACATTTTTTCGGACGCATTCGCATCTATCTATGTTTTTATGTTATGTGACTGTTGGATAAATTCGAAATAGAAGGTATGTACACTGCGCGACAACGATTCGTTCTGTGGTCCCTCTCGCGAGGCAAGGGGAGCGTAGCCTCTAACCAATCAGCCACTGCCACGCTGCCAGCTGATTGGTCACTTCTACGCTCCCCTTGCCCCGCAAGAGAGAAGTCCAGGAACGAATCGTTGTCGCGCAGTGTACATTCGCGCTTTTTGAAAACGTTTCGATTGAATACACTGGCTGCGTTTTCAGCAGAAAAAGCAGATTTGCAAAATTTGTAAATTGGCGTATGATTTTAATTTTGACGAAATCTAAATCATACGCCAGATTCACAAATTTTACAACAGTGCAAAGCAGTTTTTTCTGTTGCATGCAGCTAATCTTTTACTAAAATCTGTAATCTATGGTTCTTTTAAATTTTGAATCGTAATTGAAAAATACTACTGGCGTTTTCGAATGGTCGGGTTTAATGGGTGCTTTCCATTTAGCGACACAAGTCGACACAAGCGTCATTCTATCTTTTTTTCAATGAATACAATAAACAAAGATAGAATGACACTTGTGTCGCTAAGGCCCATTCCAACGGTGGCCAGTTAGCATAGACCTTACAGATATGGACTGGCAATTGCCTATAGTTTCTGTAGAGAAGCAGTGTCCGGAGGAGGTTAGAGAGAGAAACATACTTTTTAGTACTTCTCTTTCTACAAGTGTCCGAAAGTATGCATTGCACTTGAAGAAAGAGAAGTACCAAAAAGTATGTTTCTCTCTCCAACCTCCTCCGGACACAATCTGATACGTATTGCCAGTCCATACTTATAAGGTCTATGCCAGTTAGCTTAACTAGTAGTCAAGTAGTGATGCAAACCACTGAAACAAAATTCGATAAGCTAGGTTAGATTTTGACAAGTTGCATTTTCGCAAAATATACATAAATGAAATATTGAAAATATATATACATTTATTTACAAAATTTATAAATTTTCAATATTTCACTTATGTATATTTTGTGAAAATGCAACTTATCAAAATCTAACCTAGCTTACCGATTTTTATTTCAGTGGTTGGCATCACTACTTAACTACTAGTTGAGCTAACTGGCCACTGTTGGAACGGGCCTAAATGGAAAGCACCCAATATTGCTCCTAGTTTACTAGACATTACTGACCAATCACAGCCATTCTTCTGGGAAGAATGTAATCATATATTCTTTAGAGAAATGGCTGCGATTGGTCAATGACATCTAGTAAATTACCCGACCACTCGCAAACGCTATAATATTACTTAGTGACACATACACACATACACACACACACATCATCATACATTATACAGTAATTGTCAGCAGCAAGTGTCGAGCGAAAGAACGGGTGTCGAAACATTGATAAATTTGTCGACGATATTTCGTGCGTAGTCGCGAAAAGTCGAATCGAATAAATGGCGAGTCATAATTATCTAAGCGATCCGAAGAATCCATTTTTCTCGTTGGAAGACGACGTGGACGATGAGACATTTCTGAGGAATGCGCCAGTCAGAGCTCTCCCCGCTGGACGTTATCAGAATTTTAACAATGACATAACGCAGAAACGTCAACAATTGCTTCAACGTAAAAAGGAGATTGAAGAACGCACGATACAGTCTTCGGAAAGGTCCGTCTCGCTTCTGAGAGACTCTGAACAAATTGGCGTTGCTACAGCCGAGGTAGTAATATACCGATCTATTCAATCGCGTCACAGTAGATAGCAAAACTGTTGATATACACAATTTATAATTACGCACAAGCCGTTTAATATATTCCTCTTTCACATGTAAACATTTATATTATAATGTGCGATAAATATAAAATTATTTTAATTTTACCGCAATGCGTTTTACATGACCAGGGACACACGTGATATACGATACGATATAATATATAAATTTCTATTTTCAGGAATTAATCAGACAAAGAGAACAATTGCAAAGAACGGAAAAGAGATTAGATGATATTAATAGCACGTTAAGATTTAGTCAGAAACATATACAAGGCATAAAAAGCGTCTTTGGCAGTTTGAAAAATTATCTCAGCGGTAAATCTTTGGATGCGCCAATACCGTCGACAAAATTATCAGAATCATCCAGTTCTGGGTCCATAACGTCTCCCGCACTGTCCAATACATTAGAACAAGTACAAAGTAACATTAGCAATTCGTATTCGTCTACAAAAATAAAAGAAAATTACAACGACAACAATCTTGAAGATGTTAGGCCTGCTGGCGACAGAGTAACCAAAGCTTTAGAGCATAATTTAAGTGAAATGAGTGGCTCATTAGCGAGACTAAAGCATTTGGCAATTGGTTTATCCGAAGAAATAGACTCGCAAAATGATCTGATTGATAATATTACCGATAAAACTGAAAGAGCGGATATTCTGTTACAACAGCAAAATAAAGACATGTTACATTTATTGAAGAAGTAAATTAGAAAACTGTCATATCACAGATTAATTGGTATTGTTAAATCTGGGGTGTATTTAAATTGTGCAATTATATTACGTGGCACATTTTATAAAATTTTTCAAAAGATGATTGCAATTTGTAAGATGATTGAATCTTTAAAATATAATATAATGATATAATAGTAGAGAATGATACATCATCCTTCATGGGGAAAGTATCCATTTTTTGATGATTGTTGATATTATATAAAAATACATGCAATATCTTTATACAATATACATAGAAATACAATGAAATGAATATGAAGGACTTTTCCAATCATTTCTCAAAATTTTGTAGTTTATTAAAATGAAAACTTTCTGTGATAAGTATCAATATGTAATAATCAAGTTCCAAATTTATTCTTTGGCTTGTTATCATGATTGATTCATGCGAAGACATGATTTTCAGGTATTTTATACATATGCACATTCATATTTTTATATAACAATGAAAAGTACAGTGAATCAGTGTTATTTTGATTATCTTTAATTTTTAATAAAATATCTATAATTATTGTTCATAAGTTATATAATGTTTACATGTGATTCATTCCTTTTTGTAAAGATATTCAAAATGCTCGATATGTAACTGACATGAATCTCAACAAATACTTTTCATACAGACATATGATTATTTGAGTATTTTATAGTTTACCAGTTTATATGTGCTGTATAAAAGATTATTTGTAATTGATTTTTGAATCAAACTGCAATAATATGCGATAGGATAGACAATAATTGTGTACAATTATAATCTGTCAATTTTTCAATATTATTTTTTTCTTTTTCGTTTTTTATATAGATATGCAAGATTATAGAGAATTGTGTGTAGGAGAAAATAAATTGTTGCATTAATATAAAAATGTATACATTTACGAATGAAATTATATTGTGATTGCCAAAATTATTTATTAAAAGTCCATACAATTTTTTTTTCTGCTATTCATTAAGCTAAGATGTTCAATACTTGCTAATCCTATAAAAATAAAACTTGAGAGTATTATTTTTATTTTCCTCTTTTGCTTAATTAAGTAATTGCATAATTTTGTTTAATTTTCATATTATTGTATATAACTGTAGTTTTTAAATTGCAATATAAAATTTATGCGGTTATGATAAAATAACTTTTTTTTTAACATTTACTTTTTTACTTTATTTTTAAAAAAATACAGTATACAGGTACAAGTATACAGATAAAATTTTATAACTGAAATTTTTTTTTATAATTGTGATGTAATTTGTATGGGCAATAGAGAAATGATAACAATAATAATAATAATAATAACAATTACACAGCAAATGAAGTATAAATAATTTCAGATTTCTTCCAGATATTTCAACCCATCGCCATAACTTATTTCATCGTTCTCTACCTAAAACATAATTAATTGGATTTTATCATATTTGTATAACTTAAAGATTTTATATATATATATATATATATATATATATATATATTTATATGTCGTGTGTATAATATCTAATAAATCAATTTTTTTATATTATGTGCATGATGCTTGTGCATGTACACATTTGTAAATGTATATTGTATGTGAGTGTGTATCTATATACATTACAAGCATGTACAGATATTGTGCATAATGCATAAAAAAATTAAGAAATATACATACGATACATTGATTTATTGAAGTAATTTTCTATTTATTTTTAATTATAATTTAAATATATATCAATTAACGGAAAAACATCCAGAGTCATATATGTATTTATATAATCTTGATATAAAAAAAAGGAATCTATTCATATTTGCGCCAAAGATGACACGTGACTAAAAATGACGAATCAGGCTGCGTTCCGATATTCACTGCCAGTACTGAGAATCTATAGTTTATGTCACACATATTATAGATTTTCATTACTGGCAGTGAATATCGGAACGCAGCTTCGGTATCTCTTTATTTTTAATTACGTGATGCTTTTGGCAGTGAAAATGCACTTTGAGCGTCAGTATGAAAAAAAGTCTTATTAATCAGAGATGATTTGGATAATTTTATATTTGAGTAAGTTTAATTTTAATCAGCATTTAAGTCGTTACAAAAAGTATATCTGTGCATTAATTGAAAATTTAAAAAAAATTAAAAATTATTTCAAAGTACTACTAACTTAAAGTTTATAGAAACTTAAAGTATAGCAATCACAAAAAGGTATACAGAGAGAGGAATGAGAGACCGGAACGGAGGGGGGGAGGAAGAAAAAGAGAAGAGAAAAAAAATAAATGTAAATTAATGCATTTAGATTTGTTATATTATTAAAAGGCTTAATTTTATTTTACCCATTTATACAGGTGCAGCCGTTGTTGTTCGTCTACAAGCTACTTTACGCTGTTCTTTCATCGGAAGCATTGGATTTCCTACACTCATCGTTACCTAGGAGAAAGAGTAAGTAATATAAGAGTATACACACACACATATGTTTTCTACTATAAGCATTTGCGTTAAATATTACGCGTTCAAATTTTATTCTAATTGTAGGATATATCAATACGTTTATATCATTCTTAATATTAAATATAAAAATATTTAATATTTAATATACACAATTTAATATTTTATACGTACTCGCACACATGCATTTATACAATTTAATATAAATTGAAATATTGAAGGATATAGGATGAGCACGCGTAAAATACATCGTTGAAAGTCATTCATTTCTCTACTGAATTTTTCCTCTTTTACAGAGACAATTTAAACAATAATTTATTATTATACATGAAGGGAATAAATTTAAAAGTTTCAAATACTTTTAATATAATTCATAAATTTCTTTCTTTGCGTATGCGTGTAAAAAATTTAATTTTACCAGAATTTTTGAAAAAATATGAAATGTGAGTTTTGTATTTTTACTTTTAAATTATGTATATTGAATTCTTACCACGATGCACAACACAAGAAAGCAGAATAGTTTGCTCAAGAAGCACTTCATTTTTCGTCAGAATACTCGCTCGAACTAAAGTCGTAACATAATATAACAGTCGTTTTTATATCACTACAATACGATTGTGTGTGTTGTATATCTTTCATCGAAAATTTTTTGTTTGCGCGATAACACTTCCGGTATTTAAAAGTAACAAGTTTTTAACGCTCTGTTCGCATTACTGCTTGCTCGTAATTATATAAACAGACTTCATACGAAAAAATTGCATGCCAAAGGAAAAAAATATAATAAATATAACAGTCATTAATGTGTGCAGCACATGTATTTATCTTACTATTGTTCTTATCTTGATTTAGGCGATAATGGGCAATATACAATACGTAATAATTGCAACAACATCATAATCACATGTTATAGTATTCAAAAATGATTCGTGTCAATAATCATTGATTTCCATTTATTAACAATTATGTGGAGAAGCACTTATATAATATTTAATTTTGTATGAAAGTAGAAATTTATAAAAAAATAATTGATAAGAAAATGATGTATTTATTTGCTGCTTGTGTGTATGTGCATATGTGTGTGATTTGCTGCAAATTTCTACCTCAGAGTCTAAAGAGAGAGGAATTTGCATAAAAACTCAATTTTTTGCTTGATTTTATAATTATTATTTTATTGTATTATATATTAGTATAACTATATGTTAGTTTTATTTTTCTTGTGTAATTTGTCACTTTTTTTAAATTTGTTTATAAATTCAACAATCGTTTCAAAGGTATTATAACAATACCTTAAGATTCTAAAGACTGTACAATCTTAAAATCAAGAGCAAGCACACATTATTTTGCTATGGATTAAAGATTAAAAATTTTTATTCGCGAGTTGGGCGAAAATATTTTTCTCCATTACTCGAACCAATTTAAGAAAATCATGATGAAAATGAGCATATGTATGATTATGATATTTATGATTATCTATAACATTAATACGCATTTCCGAGATGACATATTTCTTGTTATTAAAATATACATCACATGTGTCAACGTGATACCAACACATATACAAAACACTTTTAACATGTCTGATGATCATTTATGTCATTGACAACGGAAGTCGCTTCGTAAGCTAGTCGTTCAGCTTCTCTCTGCACGGCGACCGCTGCGTGTTGTTCCGCGATCTTATGGTACAATTCATTATGCTTGTCCTTCGCTCTTGCCACGCTGGCCGAGTCCTACGAAACAATTAAGTCGACCAACGGAAAAGAAAGATAAACAGAAATTATAAAAAAAAAAGGAAAAATTGTGCGAGCAATTTATTTAAATTATTCCAACTATTCTTCAAAGTATATTTAAATTCTTGGAAAATGCAAACATATTTTTCAGACACAAAAAAATAATTAAATCTTCTTTATTTTTCTCATCTCATTAATTTAAAAAAAACTGATACAATTACAATACAACAATTACATACATGAAGAGTCTGCAGTTGTTACAAAAATTCATTAAAATAAAATACAATTTTGATATAAATTATATACGAGATAAATTAAAGAGATAAAAAAAAGATTATAGAAAATTGTTTCTGTTTTTCCTAGGATGTTCTAATTTTAAAGTTTGCTTATGATTTAAATATTGGAGCCTCAGTATTTTGATGGATTATATATACATATATACATATATACATATATACATATATACATATATATATATATATATATATATATATACAGGGTCTACCAAAAGTGTGGAAACCCCTAAATATCTCGGAAAATATACGTTTTACAGAAAAGTGTTTCCAACAAAAGTTGTAGGGTTTAAGAAGATCTATATACTGATTCTATCAGTTTGACCTTGGATGGCGTCATCAAGGTCAGGTCAAGGTCACATTGACTTTTTTAAATGACACCCCCTACATTTGATTGCATATTCTTATAGCTTAATTCAAGAGCTTTCCAAAACACTATAATAATGTTCATTTTTATTAAGTACTTTGCGAGTTATGAGGGTTGAAATAATTTCTTAATTTTACATAAACCATAAATATCTAGTAAACCATTCATTTTTCGATTATCTTACCTTCATACTTTTATGTACAAATTAATGAGAGGAATCAATTGGTGTAAAGAAAACACATAGTTGTTTCTAAGAAAAAATATGTAATTTGCAATTAACAATTCCATATTTTTTCTTAAAAACAACTGTATGTTTTCTTTACACCAATTGATTCCTTTCATTATTTTGTACATAAAAGTATGAAGGTAAGATAATCGAAAAATGAATGGTTTACTAGATATTTTATGGTTTATGTAAAATTAAGAAATTATTTCAACCCTCATAACTCGCAAAGTACTTAATAAAAATGAACATTATTATAGTGTTTTGGAAAGCTCTTGAATTAAGCTATAAGAATATGCAATCAAATGTAGGGGGTGTCATTTAAAAAAGTCAATGTGACCTTGACCTGACCTTGACGACGCCATCCAAGGTCAAACTGATAGAATCAGTATATAGATCTTCTTAAACCTTACAACTTTTGTTGGAAACACTTTTCTGTAAAACGTATATTTTCCGAGATATTTAGGGGTTTCCACACTTTTGGTAGACCCTGTATATATATATATATAATCCATCAAAATACTGAGGCTCCAATATTTAAATCATAAGCAAACTTTAAAATTTATGTATATATATATATATATAATTTAATATATATATATATATATATATATATATATATATATATATATATATATATATATCGATGGATGTATAAAATAATTACCCGTGGCAAATTTGCTGAAACATTATGAGCGTTTGCTTCCGCGATTTTTTGATAAAGATGCATATATTTCTCCTTGGCCAATCTTACATCTTCTGAATCGGCAGGCTGAGCAAAAGTGTCATCAAAATTGATCAAAGCAGGATGAAATTCGATTTTATCAGCCTTATAGCCTCGACTGTTCGTACTTTGTGCTTTGGATCAACGTATGAATATGTTCCTGAAAAATCCGCGTATATTCGTTAAGATATCATAACTGCAAATTATTATTACAATCTTTTCTTTAATTATTATATTAGAGACTTCTCTCAGCCATTATTCAACGTTGAATCAATAATTAATTCGCGTTAATTAGAATTAATTTCTTGTTATAATTTATTTTTTCAAAAAAAATACCACAAAAAGAGAAGAAGAAAATGATGAAATAAATGTAAGATGTTTATGATTTATAAAATATCTGCTTTGTTATAATGTACAATTTCAATTTGTATAAGTGCTGCGTCTTTCAGTTTGCACTTGAATTAAAATCAAAAAATGAGTGATGGATCGATGAAGAATCGTAATATAATATAATGTATATATATATATATATATTATATATTATATATTATATATTATATATTATATACTATATATATAAGTATATATTATATACGTATACATATATTATAGCATGGGAATATAGTCTCCATATCTACGAATGAGCTAATTAAATGATTGAGACATTAAGAATCACTAAGGAATAAAAATATAGAGATCTATAATCTGTATTGTCCTCGGCACATTTTAATCAACAAAGAGCATACATTACGACTATAAACTGCGATTACCGTGAATAATTCCGTTTTCATCTCTAACTTCTTGATGGACGCGATCAATGTATCCTGGATATCGTCCCGCTTTATATTGGAAGCTGTACGGCTTTAATGTTGTCGTTGTCTGGTATTCCGATAAAATATGTAATACATCCGCCAAACAAATATTAACCAAGGCGATGACGGCTATCTATTCAACATCAATTTAACATATAATATAGTGATAATACGTCGATAATATTGCAGTTCTAATTGTGTAAATTTGCATCAATTTAACATATAATATAGTGATAATACGTCGATAATATTGCAGTTCTAATTGTGTAAATTTTTGTAGACATGCATCAAAGTTTAAAATTAAATTTAAGTCAAAATTTGTTTATATAATATTAATATATTCTTTATGTTCTATTAATTTTTATAAAAATAATTTTGGAAAAGTCTATTTCCAAAATTTTTTCATCAATTTTAGACATACATAAAACCCCACATACATAAAACTTCTTTGCTCGTCAAGCGACGGAACAACAAAAATTTTAATGATTTATTAAATTGCATTAAATTATAACGTGAACGAATAATATTTCATATATTATTCATTAGATTGTAAGAAATGTGGCAACGTAGCGAATACATATATCATTAAAATTCCAGGTAATAAATTGTGAAATCATCATCGCCTTCTTAACATGATAATTGCTACATCATTTCGCATATCGGGTCAGATAATGTTTTCTTTCATTTTAAATAATTTCTTTTTCATTGAGAAATTGTATTATTATCGCATTCAATCATACAATATACGTATAAAAAAATTTTTTATGTACAAGGAGAATATCTACGCATTAAATTCAAGGCGTGGAAAATTTGTCAAAAATATTTACTTATATTATTAATAAATCATAAATTTGTGCATACTTACGATTATGTATTTCATTATGGAACAAAAGTTGTTTATTTATTATTTATGGCTCGATGTGTTCACATGCGCATATTGCCGTTTACTGCGAAGATAGTTTGATGGTGAAAGTATTATAAGAATATCTGTCGAAAAGAAATCTCATAAAGATCTCCTCACATTATAATATGCAACTTTTATGTATTCAAACTCGACGCATAAAATGTGTGAAATGAAATAAAAGTTGTGAATAAATGTGAATATATGTATATACATATACATATTTCATATATATATGTATAATAGACTGATTTCGTTACTAGTTTACTAATTATTACAAGTTTCTTTTGTTAGTTTTTTTATTTTTATTCCTAATTTTGTTATGAAACTGAATAATGAAAAAGAGAATGCAAATTTTCAGCATTTATAAATAGAAATTATTTTTTTTCTTCGGATCAAATTTTGATATATCCGTTATGTTGATTAGATTTAAACAGCATAGTTATTATAATACATGCATTCTGTATACTATTTATTCGTTTGTCGCGATATAAGAATCACGATGTCACGATGTTTTATTGCATCGTGTAAAATGCATCGTGTATAGATGTGTTTTGTCGCATTTCAAACGAGATCAATTTATCGCAAACTATGCAGTTAGTAATATAAAACGTACAATAATACATATAAATGTCTGTTATATGCGTATTAAAGCAAGACATATTGAAAGGACAAAAGAAAAATGCTTTTAATACATGTAACTAAGAAAAGCATGCTTAAAAATTCTTTCCGTTGTAAAAAATTTTTTTATGTAATTGTGGCAAAGAAGGATCAATCTATCTAATCCTGTTTGAAAGTAGCAATCAATGAAAAAATTATCGACAGTTTTTATGTGGCAGGAAGGAAATTAAAAGTCTAGTGATTAAATCAACATGATTATCATAGGGAAGTATGATGACATAAGCACATGAAGATATAAGCAAATGAGAAATCTAATTGAAGTAATATTAAAATATTATGAATGTGATACAATATCAATTTTTTATAAGTGATACAATTTTACTTTGTGTGCAATGTGTCTATGTATTATATATGCTTAATTAACTTTTCAACGACTAATAACACGTGTTGTCATTATCACACTGCATTTAACGTTATTGAATTTTTGTAAATATTTAGTTTAACATTTAAATGTATTATTAGATTATTGCTTCTATTTTCGAACATTGGACTATCGAATTGAAAATAAAGTAAGATATCGTTGACGCTGTAATCTTTTACAACGGGAGATTTAGGCTTGGTTGTACCAACGTTATTTTAGCTTTAAGCGAGATTTAAATATATGTCTATCTTTATCTTTCATTCTAAATAAATAAAGACAGACATATAAGTTTCGCTTAAAGCTAAAATAATGTTGGTGCAACCTGGCCTTAATGATTATTATTCGATTAATCAATCTCGAGCTTCTTAAAGCTTCCTTCAACGCCAAATAAGTCCGTCTTTGCTTTGCCAGGTCGCAGCGCTTCATTATTTCAGCGATCCGAGGAATCCATTTTTCTCGTTAGAAAACGACGTGGACGATGAGACATTTCTGAGGAATGCGCCAGTCAGAGCTCTTCCCGCTGGACGTTATCAAAATTTTAACAATGACATAACGCAGAAACGTCAACAATTGCTTCAACGTAAAAAGGAGATTGAAGAACGCACGATACAGTCTTCGGAAAGGTCCGTCTCGCTTCTGAGAGACTCTGAACAAATTGGCGTAGCTACAGCCGAGGTACTAATATACCGGTCTATTATCGCGTCACTGTAGATAGCAAAACTGTTGATATACACAATTTATAATTACGCACAAGCCATTTAATATATTCCTCTTTCACATGTAAACATTTATATTATAATGTGCGATAAATATAAAATTATTTTAATTTTACCGCAATGCGTTTTACATGACCAGGGACACACGTGATATACGATACGATATAATATATAAATTTCTATTTTCAGAAATTAATCAGACAAAGAGAACAATTGCAAAGAACGGAAAAGAGATTAAATGATATTAATAGCACGTTAAGATTTAGTCAGAAACATATACAAGGCATAAAAAGCGTCTTTGGCAGTTTGAAAAATTATCTCAACGGTAAATCTTTGGATGCGTCAATACTGTCCACAAAATTATCAGAATCATCCAGTTCTGAGTCCATAACGTCTCCCGCACTGTCCAATACATTAGAACAAGTACAAAGTAACATTAGCAATTCGTATTCGCCTACAAAAATAAAAGAAAATTACAACGACAACAATCTTGAAGATGTTAGGCCTGCTGGCGACAGAGTAACCAAAGCTTTAGAGCAAAATTTAAGTGAAATAAGTGGCTCATTAGCGAGACTAAAGCATTTGGCAATTGGTTTATCCGAAGAAATAGACTCGCAAAATGATCTGATTGATAATATTATCGATAAAACTGAAAGAGCGGATATTCTGTTACAACAGTAAAATAAAGACATGTTACATTTATTGAAGAAATAAATTAGAAAACTGTCATATCACAGATTAATTTGTATTGTTAAATCTGGGATGTATTTAGGTCGTGCAATTATATTATGTGGCACATTTTATAAAATTTTTCAAAAGATGATTGCAATTTGTAAGATGATTGAATCTTTAAAATATAATATAATGATATAATAGTAGAGAATGATACATCATCCTTCATGGGGAAAGTATCTATTTTTTGATGATTGTTGATATTATTATATAAAAATACATGCAATATCTTTATACAATATACATAGAAATACAATTAATTGAATATGAAGGACTTTTCCAATCATTTCTCAAAATTTTGTAGTTTATTAAAATGAAAACTTTCTGGGTATCATAAGTATCAATATGTAATAATCAAGTTTCAAATTTATTCTTTGGCTTGTTATCATGATTGATTAATGCGAAAAGACACGATTTTCAGATATTTTATACTATATGCACATATTTTTACATAACAATGAAAATAGTAGTGAATTATTAGTGTTATTTTGATTATCTTTAATTTTTAATAAAATATCTATAATTATTGTGCATAAGTTATATAATGTTTATATGTAATTCATTCCTTTTTGTAAAGATATTCAAAATGCTCGATATGTAATTGACATGAATCTCAACAAATACTTTTCATACAGACATATGCTAATTTGAGTATTTTATAGTTTATATGTGCTGTATAAAAGATTATTTGTAATTGATTTATGAATCAAACTGCAATAATATGCGATAGGATAGACAATAATTGTGTACAGTTATAATCTGTCAATTTTTCAATATTATCTTTTTTTTCGTTTTTATATAGATACACAAGATTATAGAAAATTGTGTGTAGGAGAAAATATATTGTTGCATTAATATAAAAATGTATACATTTACGAATGAAATTATATTGTGATTGCCAAAATTATTTATTAAAAGTCCATACAATTTTTTTTTTCTGCTATTCATTAAGCTAAGATGTTCAATACTTGCTAATCTTATACAAATAAAACTTGAGAGTATTATTTTTATTTTCCTCTTTTGCTGAATGTAATTTTCAAGTCGCATGTTTAATTTTCATATTATTGTATATAACTATAGTTTTTAAATTGCAATATAAAATTTATGCGGTTGTGGTAAAATAACAACTTTTTTTAACATTTATTTTTATACTTTATTTTTAGAAAAATATACAGATAAAATTTTATACCAGAAATTTTTTTTTATAATTGTGATGTAATTTGTATGGGCAATAGAGAAACGATAACAATAATAATAATAATAATAACAATTACACAGCAAATGAAGTATAAATAATTTCAGGTTTCTTCCAGATCTTTCAACCCATCGCCATAACTTATTTCATCGTTCTCTACCTAAAACATAATTAATTGGATTTTATCATATTTGTGAACTTAAAGATTTTATATATATATATATATATATATATATATATATATATAAATTTATATTTCGTGTGCATAATATCAAATAAATCAATTTTTTTATATTATGTGCATGTACGTACTTGTAAATGTATATATATGTGTGTGTATCTATATACAATCATTACAAGCATGTACAGATATTGCGCATGATGCATAAAAAAATTAAGAAATATACATACGATACATTGATTTATTAAAGTAATTTTCTATTTAATTATTTTTAATTATAATTTAAATATATATCAATTAACGGAGAAATATCCAGAGTCATATATGTATTTATGTAATCTTGATGTAAGAAAAAAGGAATTTATTCATATTGGCGCCAAAGATGACACGTGACTAAAAATGACGAATCAGGCTGAGAATATAGTTTATGTCACGCATACTATAGATTTTCATTACTGGCAGTGAATATCGGAACGTTGCCTCGATTTCTTTATTTTTAATTACGTGATGCTTTTGGCGGTGAAAATGAGCTTCGAGTGGCAATATGAAAAAAAGTCTTATTAATCAGAGACGATTTGGACAATTTTGTACTCGAATAAGTTTAATTTTAATCAGCATTTAAGTCGTTACAAAAAGTATATCTGTGCATTAATTGAAAGCTAAAAAAACTAACAATTGAATAAGAAAATTGTAAAATGAAAGCATTTAATAATTGCGGTCTCTAATTAAATTTAGAAAAATTGATATGAATGAAATTGAATGTTTGAACACAAACCCAAATACGTAAAGTAAATTTGACTTCATTTAGCGCATTTAGCGTAAGTTACTTTTTTTACGGAAAAATTTTTTCAAAGTACTACTGACTTAAAGTTTATAGAAACTTAAAGTATAGCAACACAAAAAGATATACAAAGAGATACCGGAACGGAGGATTGGGGGGGAAAGAGAATACGTAAGTATACGTAAGTTGCATGTACGTTTTTCTCTGTTTTACTTTATGTCCACGACTACGACAGACGTAAACGCTAACATCTCGTTCTCTGCCATACAGAGAGAGGAATAAAAGATCGGGACGGAGGGAAGGGGGTGGAGAAAAAAAAGAGAAGAGGGAAAAAGTAAATGTAAATTAATGCATTTAGATTTGTTATATTATTAAAAGGCTTAATTTTATTTTATCCATTTATGCAGGTTTACGTTGCAGTCTCAGTAGTATTAGAAGAAGGGTCAGTGGGAGGAGAACCCGGTGGACCCGGAGGACCCGGAGGACCCCGATGACCTGGAGGACCTTCCCCGTGTTCCCAAGCTACGCTTTTATGTCCTATAATCCCAGAAGTTGGATTTCCTATGCTCATCGTTGCCTAGGAAAAAGAATAAGTAATATAAGAGTATATACACACCATACACACACACACATATTTTCTACTACAAGCATTTGCGTTAAATATTACGCGTTTAAATTTCATTCTAATTGTAGGATATATCAATACGTGGACATATATCGAGGAATTTACGTCATTCTTAATATTAAATATAAAAATATTTAATATTTAATATACACAATTTAATATTTTACACGTACTCGCACACATGCATTTATATAATTAAATATAAATTGAAAGATTGAAGGAAATAGGATGAGTACGCGTAAAATACATCCTTGAAAGTCGTTCATTTCTCTACTCAATTTTTTCTCTTTTACAGAGATAATCTAAACAATAATTTATTATTACACATGAAGGGAATAAATTTGTTTCACATACTTTGATATAATTCATAAATTCCTTTCTTTATGCATGCGTGTAAAAAATTTAATTTTACCAGAATTTTTGAAAAAATATGAAATGTGAGTTTTGTATTTTTACTTTTAAATTATATGTATTGAATTCTTACCACGATGCACAACACAAGAAAGCAGAATAGTTTGCTCAAGAAGCACTTCATTTTTCGTCAGGATATTCGCTCAAACTAATGTCGTACATAATATAACAGTGGTTTTTTATATCACTACAATACGATTGTGTGTGTTATATATCTTTCATCGAAAATTTTTTGTTTGCGCGATAACACTTCCGGCATTTAAAAGTAACAAGTTTTTAACGCTCTGTTCGCATTACTGCTTGCTCGTAATTATATAAACAGACTTCATACGAAAAAATTGCATGCCAAAGGAAAAAAATATAATAATTATAACAGTCATTAATGTGTGCAGCACATGTATTTATCTTACTATTGTTCTTATCTTGATTTAGGCGATAATGGGCAATATACAATACGTAATAATTGCAACAACATCATAATCACATGTTATAGTATTCAAAAATGATTCGTGTCAATAATCATTGATTTTCATTTATTAACAATTATGTGGAGAAGCACTTATATAATATTTAATTTTGTATGAAAGTAGAAATTTATAAAAAAATAATTGATAAGAAAATGATGTATTTATTTGCTGCTTGTGTGTATGTGCATATGTGTGTGATTTGCTGCAAATTTCTACCTCAGAGTCTAAAGAGAGAGGAATTTGCATAAAAACTCAATTTTTTGCTTGATTTTATAATTATTATTTTATTGTATTATATATTAGTATAACTATATGTTAGTTTTATTTTTCTTGTGTAATTTGTCACTTTTTTTAAATTTGTTTATAAATTCAACGATCGTTTCAAAGGTATTATAACAATACCTTAAGATTCTAAAGACTGTACAATCTTAAAATCAAGAGCAAGCACACATTATTTTGCTATGGATTAAAGATTAAAAATTTTTATTCACGAGTTGGGCGAAAATATTTTTCTCCATTACTCGAATCAATTTAAGAAAATCATGATGAAAATGAGCATATGTATGATTATGATATTTATGATTATCTATAACATTAATACGCATTTCCAAGATGACATATTTCTTGTTATTAAAATATACGTCACATGTGTCAACGTGATACCGACACATATACAAAACTCTTTTAACATGTGTGACGATCATTTACGTCATTGACAACGGAAGTCGCTTCGTAAGCTAGTCGTTCAGCTTCTCTCTGCACGGCGATCGCTGCGTGTTGTTCCGCGATCTTATGGTACAATTCATTATGCTTGTCCTTTGCTCTTGCCACGCTGGCCGAGTCCTGCGAAACAATTAAGTCGAGTAACGGAAAAGAAAGAAACTAAACAGAAATTATAAAAAAAAAGGAAAAATTGTGCGAGCAATTTATTTAATCTATTCCAACTATTCTTCAAAGTATATTTCAATTCTTGGAAAATGCAACCATATTTTTCAGACACAAAAAAATAATTAAATCTTCTTTATTTTTCTCATCTCATTAATTTAAAAAAAAACTGATACAATTACAATACAATACATGAAGAGTCTGCAATTGTTACAAAAATGCATTAAAATAAAATACAATTTTCTGATATAAATGATATAAGAAATAAATTAAAGAGATAAAAAAAAGATTATAGAAAATTGTTTCTTTTTTTCCTAAGAAGTTGTAATTTTAAAGTTTGCTTATGATTTAAAAATTGTAGCCTCAGTATTTTGATGGATTATATATATATATATATATATATATATATATATATATATATATCGATGGATGTATAAAATAATTACCCGTGGCAAATTTGCTGGAACGTTATGAGCGTTTGCTTCCGCGATTTTTTGATAAAGATGCATATGTTTTTCCTTGGCCAATCTTACAGCTTCTGAATCGGCAGGCTGAGCAAAATTGTCATCAAAATTGATCAAAGCAGGATGAAATCCGTTTTTATCAGCCTTATACTCGACTGTTCGTACTTTGTGCTTTGGATCAACGTATGAATATGTTCCTGAAAAATCCGCGTATATTCGTTAAGATATCATAACTGCAAATTATTATTACAATCTTTTGTTTAATTATTATATTAGAGACTCCTCCCAGCTATTATTCAACGTTGAATCAATCATTTATTCGTGTTAATTAGAATTAATTTCTTGTTATAATTTATTTTTTCAAAAAAAGTATGATGATGAAAGTATAATGATGAAATAAATGTAAGATGTTTATAATTTATAAAATATCTGCTTTGTTTTAATGTACAATTTCAATTTGTATAAGTGCTGCATCTTTCAGTTTGCACTTGAATTAAAAACCAAAAAATGAGTGATGGATCGATGAAGAATCGTAATATAATTAACGTATATATATTATATACTATATATTATATATTATATACTATATATATAAGTATATATTATATACGTATATATTATAGCATGGGAGTATAGTCTCTCTATCTATGAATGAGCTAATTAAATGATTGAGACATTAGGAATCACTAAGGAATAAAAATATAGAGATCTATAATCTGTATTGTCCTCGGCACATTTTAATCAACAAAGAGCATACATTACGACTATCACTAAACTGTGATTACCGTGAATAATTCCGTCCTCATCTCTAACTTCTTGATGGACGCGATCAATGTGTCCCGGGTATCGTCCCGCTTTATATTGGAAGCTGTACGGCTTTAATGTTGTCGTTGTCTGGTATTCCGGTAAAATATGTAATACATCCGCCAAACAAATATTAACCAAGGCGATGACGCCTATCTACAATTTAATATATAATATAGTGATAATACCTCGATAATATTGCAGTTCTAATTGTGTAAATTTTTGTAGACATACATCAAAGTTTTAAATTAAATTTAAAACAAAATTTGTTTATATAATATTAATATATTCTTTATGTTCTATTAATTTTTATAAAAATAATTTTGGAAAAGTCTATTTCTAAAATTTTTTCATCAATTTTAGATCCCACATACATAATACTTCTTTGCTCATCAAGCGACGGAACAACAAAAATTTTAATGATTTATTAAATTGTATTAAATTGTAACGTGAAACGAATAATATTTCATATATTATTCGTTAGATTTCAAGAAATGTGGCAACGTAGCGAATACATATATCATTAAAATTCCAGGTAATAAATTGTGAAATCATCATCGCCTTGATTCCAGGTAATAAATTGTGAAATCATCATCCCACCTTCTTAACATGATAATTGCTACATCATTTCACATATCGGGTCAGATAATGTTTTCTTTCATTTTAAATAATTTCTTTTTCATTGAAAAATTGTATTATTATCGCATTCAATCGTACAATGAAATATACGTATAAAAAATTTTTTATGTACAAGGAGAATATCTACGCATTAAATTCAAGGCGCGGAAAATTTGTCAAAAATATTTATTTATATTATTAATAAATCATAAATTTGTGCATACTTACGATTATGTATTTCATTATGGAACAAAATCAGAGTTGTTTATCTATTATTTATAGCTCGATGTGTTCACATGCGCGTATTGCCGTTTACTGCGAAGATAGTTCGATGGTGAAAGTATTATAAGAATCTCTGTCGAAAAGAAGTCTCGTAAAGGTCTCCTCACATTATAATATGCAACTTTTATGTATTCAAACTCGACGCATAAAATGTGTGAAATGAAATAAAAGTTGTGAATAAATGTGAATATATATATACATATATATATTTCATATATATATATGTATAATAGACTGATTTCGTTACTAGTTTACTAATTATTACAAGTTTCCTTTGTTAGTTTCTTTTTTTATTTTTATTCCTAATTTTACTATGAAACTGAATAATGAAAAAGAGAATGCAAATTTTCAGCATGTATAAATAGAAATTATTTTTTTTCTTCGGATCAAATTTTGGCTATATCCGTTATGTTGATTAGATTTAAACAGCATAGTTATTATAATACATGCATTCTATACTATTTATTCGTTTGTCACGATATAAGAATCACGATGTCACGATGTTTTATTAAAATGCATCGTATATAGATGTGTATTGTCGCATTTCAAACGAGATCAATTTATCGCACACTATGCAGTTAGTAATATAAAACGTACAATAATACATATAAATGTCTGTTATATGCGTATTAAAGCAAGATACATTGAAAGGACAAAAGAAAAATGCTTTTAATACATGTAACTAAGAAAAGCGTGCTTAAAAATTCTTTCCGATGTAAATAATTTTTTGATGTAATTGTGGCAAAAAAGGATCAATCTACCTAATCCTGTTTGAAAGTAGCAATCAATGAAAAAATTATCGACAATTTTTATGTGGCAGGAAGGAAATTAAAAGTCTAGTGATTAAATCAACATGATTATCATAGGGAACTATGATGACATAAACACATGGAGATATAAGCAAATGAGAAATCTAATTGAAGTATTAAAGTATTATTAATGTGATACAATATCAATTTTTTATAAGTGATACAATTTTACTTTGTGTGCAATAAGTCTATGTATTATATATGCTTAATTAACTTTTCAACGACTAATAACACGTGTTGTCATTATCACACTGCATTTAATGTTATTGAATTTTGGTAAATATTTAGTTAAACATTTAAATGTATTATTAGATTATTGCTTTTATTTTCGAACATTGGACTATCGAATTGAAAATAAAGTAAGATATCGTTGACGCTGTAATCTTTTACAGCGGGAGATTTAGGCTTGGTTGCACCAACGTTATTTTAGCTTTAAGCAAGATTTAAATATGTGTCTATCTTTATCTTTCATTCTAAATAAATAAAGATAGACATATATTTAAGTTTCGCTTAAAGCTAAAATAATGTTGCTGCAACCGGGCCTTAACGATCATTATTCGATTAATCAATCTCGAGCTTCTTAAAGCTTCCTTCAACTCCAAATAAGTCCGTCGCTGTCTTTGCCTTGCCAGGTCGCAGCGCTTCATTGACGCGATGATTAGCTTCGTCCTCTTGAAACCAAGCAGCGTGATCTCCTAATTTTTTTAGCTGTTTCTCATGTAACTCCTGTATCGGACCGGCTTGACCACCTGCTTCATTCGGAAAAACTTCGAGCGGTATAAATTTCTCCAAAGTGTCACTTGTAGTATGCATATGAAACTAGAATTTACACATAGTTATAATCAGAGTATATTCTTTTAATATTTGCGCTTTACTTTATTTTTTAATAACTAGAAGGAATATATCGCGAAAATGAAATATTTTTTATTTATGCAAAGTAAAAATACGATGCAAGTAGAATGCAATTTGTGCGGTGATGCATTTAATCGTACATTGTATGTATATTTAAAAAAAAACGCGCGTTCTCTGTCTAAAGGAATTTATGTATAACGAATAAAAACTTGTAATTTTGATTTCCCGTTTCTTTTAAATATGCGCAACAGATAAACGATTTATTTAATTTTAATCTTACCATATCCATCAATTGTTTTTTCATAAAGGGTCTCATCATATTCAGAATGACATCGATTACCGGAGAAGCGTTCATAAAATGGAAACCCTTCAGCCTGACGGGCAGGCCGTCTTGTAAATAGTAGAGGAATTTCTTGAGTCCCATAGGACTTAAACGGCCGACGTGGCCAAACGAAACGTTTTTCATGTCGAATATTATCACGTGGCCGCTGCAGGTGCCCTCCGTATAGAGCCACTGATCTATAGTCATATTTAACAATTTCATCGCGTCGTTGTAAACAAAATGCGACGAATCGCTATCCAGCAATCTTCCATAGATGATTTTGTGGCCGTCTTTAGTGGTTCCTTCCAAAACTTCATGCGTTCTATTGATAATTGGACTGTCTTAATTTTTACGAAATTTTTTACGAAATTTTTCTCCATGCGACATATATTTATATATGTAATATATACACTGAGAAAAAGTAATGTTGAATTAACAACATCAGTGTAATTGGAATTTATTTTATTAATTCAATAACATTATTAATCAAATCAATACATGGTGTATTAATTTGATTAAAAATGTTATTGAATTAATAAAATAAATTCCAATTACACTGATGTTGTTGGTTCAACATTATTTTTTTCTTAGTGTAGAGAATAATATAAAGAGAATAAAAATATGGTATATATATTTACTTACACAACAGTTGTAGCTTTTTTCAGCTCCTTATTGTTTATCAAATCTCGATTGCAAAAGAACTCGGGTACGTGACTTCTGACCGTAAAGAAGGTATCGATGGTGGTCTTTGTCGGCTCGAGTCGGTAATAATTGCTATGTAAAAATAACGCTAATTCGCTATCCGATACCTTTGGCAGATGAGGCTGTTTCTCGCACCATTCTCTCAACATTTGTACATCTGCTTCCTTCAATTCAGGATTTCTCTTTAGTTCTTCTTCGAACGGCACTGAATCTATCGACGTCATGATTCACACTTTCGTTTCTATATTCGTAGAAGCTGATACGACTATGTGTTATAACACAAGAGAAAGGTCTCCGCTCGAAAACTCGAAGAATACTAACCGAAATCTATATTGAGATACAGACTTTTTAAGCCGCAACTGGCAACGGAATGCGTGACAATTGGGTATAGTCTCGATAATATATAACATGTCATTCCCGCGATGAATAGTAGGAATACACATTGAAAATTCATATATATATCTTATTTGCATTAGATATCGTGAAGGAATGTCATCGAAGTAGTATGTATAGTAGTTTTGCCAAATGGAAAAATACGAAACTATCTAAAAACGTGTGTACGTAAACTTAAAATGATTTACATACGCATTTCTTATGTATTATGCGTAATAAAAAAGAAAGGTAAAAAACATATATATTGTGCATGTGTGCGATATTTATCACAATAATTAACGCTACTATTGCGCAACAATGTCGATAATTCATCATACGAATACCACTTGGAAAACATATACACGCGCAAAATTTTACATGCAATAATCATCTAGGATTTTTCATTATGCGCATGACTATGCATATTTTTAGAAGCGTGTTTCTCACAAAAGAAACGCACGTTTGGCAGCAAATCTTTTAGAATGACGTTAAGAAATATATACGAATATCATGTGAAAATAGTGTTTGTCATTGGCGTGCAAAAGATTGCATTATTATACGTTGAAATAAGTATTAAAACGAATGCAAAAAAATTGCATTGTACTGTCGATTCACATCACATATTTAGCGATTAGTCGGCACAACTTATCCAAGACGATCGCATCTTTCGATCAACAACACAAACAACATCAATCAATAGCGATAGAGGAAAGTATAGTTTATATATTGTTAGGAAATATACCAGTTATCCAAGTTAAATTGTGTTTTCCAGAATATTACAGTTTCCAAATTCAATGAAAAAGACGGGAGTGCAATAACAATTTTTTATTATTCTCATTTACAAGTGTTTTCCTGTTCGTGCATAAATTGTATAATCATGGTTAAGTTGATTTATTTTAAAAGAAACGCGTAATGTAAAATTTTCTCCGGAAAAATATCTTTACTTCAATAATAATGGAGAGCACAATTCATATCCGTGCAAAATTATTTTCTGTCTCATTGTCAGTCGATTTCTAATTTTTTAAAACTACCATCTACGCCAAACAAATCGCTGGAAGCCTTGCTCTTGTTGATTCGCAATGATTCATCCACTCGATTGATTTTTTCATCTTCCAAAAACCATTCGCCGAAATTTTCAATCTTCTTTATTTGCGCGTTCGCTAATTCTTGAATGGGACCGGCTTTCCCGCCAAGCTCGTTAGGCAGTACTTCTATTGAAAAGTACTTGCTTGCACTCTCCATCGATGAGTGAAAATATATCTGAAGAAAATATATATTATTGTATATTCTCGTATTTCTCAATTGGTTAAATTAAATTACAATATATGTAGCACGTACTATATTGTAATTTTTTTTAATTCGAGAAGTATTTTTTCTTATTCGTTGATGTATATATCTTTTAAATCTTTTAGCTGTAATCACAGAGCTTTTTCACTATCGGAAAGAAAATCCGTGACTACTGGTACGTTAAGCAAAAAAAATTAATTAAAAATATGTCGAAGAAAATCTTACCAAGTCTATCAGTTCCGTTTTAATGAAAGGCTTAAACATATTGTATATTAGTTCGACAACTGGCGATGTGTTTATGACATGAATCGCTTTTAAACGCACCGGTAAAGCATCCTGTACGTAATGTATGAATTTCTTTATTAATATTATATTCAGACATTTCATATGTCCAAGCGATACGCCAGTGGCATCGGCAATATAGATCAATCCAGGACTCGAGCCATGAGTCCAAATAAACTCGTCCATTAACATGAAGCCGGCCTTTGTTCCACTACTAAAATCGTAATCCGACGGTTCAAAATTGAGAAATCGTCCCATCAAAATGCTATAATTCTCCCTCGTTTTTCCCTCTAACTGAAGATGCGCCCTTTTGTTTAACACATAAATAGATGTTACTATAATTGCGTTTGGATTCAATTACTAAACTGTATTATCGTAACATTGTATTAAATTTTACTACATGTGAAGAATAATATAAATATTTTAGAGATAACGGAATTACAAATATTTTTAGATAACGGAAAGCACAGAACCGATAGGACAGAGGAGTTATTTCTACTTTTTCAAAGATATTTTATTCAATTTTCAAACTCGTCATTATAATCTATTTCAATTTTTAATTTAAAATACAAATTATTATATCTTAAATTTACAGACATAAGATGGGCTTTTATCTTTATATCATTAATTAGAAAAAAGATTGTAACTTTATATTATTTTAATTATTTATAAAAAAGAAGTTTTTATTTATATGTGTAACAATTTTTGTATAGATCATCTATTTTTTTTTAATTAACGGTATCGAAAAATAAGATTTATACTTACACAACTTGAAAGGCCTTTTGCAATTCTTTCACTTTAAGTAGATCTCTGTTGGAAAAAAATTCCGGCACATGTGTCCTAATAGTAAAATAATTCTCAATTGTGTTTTTCGTCGGTTCTATCCGAAAGTAATTGTTCTGCAGAAATATAGCAAGCAGGATATCCTGAATTTTTGGCAAGTGAGGTTGCTTCTCGCACCATTCTCTTAGAATCTGTATATCCGACATCCTTAGCTCGGGATTCTTCTTCATTTCTTCTTCCAAATTAATGTATTTTATCGAAGACATTAATCAATATTTTTTACAGATTTGTTCCTACTGGAATTTATTTAAGATCTGTAACCTAGAATCTATTTAGAATCTATTTAGATTCTGTAATAAGAACTAAGAATAAATCTATTTAAAAAGATCGATTCTCTCTTTCGTTGATACACACTTATACTTTAGTATGCGATCTAAAGTTTTAATAATTTTATCTCCATAAAAATAAAAATTAACGAACTATTAAACTACTAGAGATTTTCATGTAATTCTTTGTCTTTTTTTTTAAGAAAACAAGGATGCATATAATTTATGTTGTATATATTTTAGAGTATACTTCTTTGTTATTTTTCTTTCACTTTAGTGCAACAATTTAAATGTGATTATTACTGATCTTCTTTCTTTTATTTTACATGTTATCTATGTTCGCTGTAACACATCACTGAGAGATGACTCACTTAAGACTTCACTTCACTATTGTAGCTTGTTCATTATTTATTCTATTCTAATGACAAGAGTAATGCATTTATCGTAACTTTGCGTTCAAGACTAACTTATGCGACGTAAATTATTTGATTTCTTATAGCATAATATTAAGTGAAATCTGATGAAACCTGTTTCATCTCGTTTTACCTTGATCTCTTTTTTGTATATATGCTGGTAAGCGTGCTATTGCATATATTTTTCTCTCTTTAGTTTATCTTTTATTTGTTCGTTCGCATGACGGCATACAAAGCATCGCAAAATATAAATAAATAAATAAATAAATAAATAAAAAGATATATATATATATATATATATATATATATATGTACATATACATATATGTATACAATTATGTCTCTTTTTCGTAGATAATCTTTTAGTTAATTTGATTTCTTTAGTAAAAATTAATAAAATTATTATTTTTTTTACTGATAATGAGATCTTTTTTTAAATCTTTAAAACTATATAATCTTTATAATATTAAAATTGAGATACTATTGGTATTTCATTAAAGTAAAATGTTGATTCTGTAGGCCATGTATAATTATATATTCGGTATAGAAATTATATACTAATAAATCATAGAGAACAAACGATATTTTTGCGTAATGGGTTTCCTTTTTATTTCGGATATCACAAAGACGTGTGACGTACAACATTACGTAAAACATTGCGAAATAGCAAATATGCTATATAGGTAGAATTGTAGTATAATATTTTTTGGAAATATAATATATTCCTACTAGAGAGAGAGACGATATATTGATTATCAGTCTATATCGAGTTTCTTAAAGCTACCTTCCACGCCGAACAAATCGCTTGCCGATTTGCTCTTGCCGATCCTCAACGCTTCATTTACACGACCGGTCGCCTCGTCCATCAAAAACCATTCGCGATAATCTTCGAGCTTCTTCACTTCAATTTCGGCCAATTCGTACATGGAACCAGCTTTTCCACCCACCTCGTTCGGCAACAGGTTCACCGGAACATATTCAGAAGCGCTCTTTAGCGATGAATGAAAATGTATCTGGAAAAGTGTCAATTGAGAAAAAGGCGTGTTTTCTCGCGAATAATGTAAAAGGAGGAATTAATGTAATTTATATGTGAGTTTAAATTTTATCGTAACTAATAAATTACGGATGCGCGAAAATGTTTCTACGTTAAGTTTATTGTTGATAATTGAAATGGAATGACGGTACTCGTATAAAGTCTACATAACACGTATACACACACACAGACACACATATATAAAATCTGCAATATAAAAAAAACTACTAGTGACACATATGTAACAACGTTGCTACATGTACACATGTCAAGTTTGTGCGTGCTCAACTCTTTAAAGAGAAATAGATATAATTCTCAAAGAAGTTATTTATGCAATATAAATGTAATCGTTTCAGCATTATTTGCAAATTAATTTACCGAAAACGCAATTACCGTTATTATTTCCTGGCAAGTAACTAAAGCTGATTAATATGGATTTCGATATTTACCATATCTATCATCTCTTTTTTCATGAATGGCTTCATCATATTCATTAGCAATTCCATGGCGGGCGGCGCATTTATGAAATGAATTCCCATCAGACGTATCGGCGCTGCCTCTTGTATGTAATATAAATATTTCTTGAGTCCCAACGGGCTGATTCGCGCGATATGACCAAAAGACAGCCCGCTGGCATCGGCGAAATAAATGTAACCGTTATTCGTACCCTCCGTCAGAAACCATACGTCGCACACCATCAAGAAATATTTAACATTGTCGTTGTAAACGAAACGAGAAGGATCAACGTCCAGAAATGCACCGTACATGATTCTATAGCCGTCCTTTGTTATTCCCTTCAGAGGAAGATTAGCCCTTTTTCAAGCAAAAATTATTTGATTTTCATTTATTGTTATAAAGTATTAGAGTATACGTCAATATGTGTCAGATAATAAAGTATTGATAAAGCATTGATTATGCCTTATAAAAAAGATTTATAATTTTAATATTCTTAAATTTACATATGCGTGTATATACATATGCATATTTACAATTTGCATAATGTGCATAGTTTTTGAATACATTTTCGAATACATTTACGAATACATTTTGAAAAAAATATCTATATATTATCTATATATTATATTTAACGCGTTTAAAGTTTTTTAAATTAATCGGCTGTCGGCTACTACATGCACATACATGAATAAAAATTGAAATTTTATGTTAATATTAAAAATGATATGCTCACGCAATTTTAAATGTTTGTCGCAATTCTTTTTCTCCAAGCGGATCTCGATTGGAAAAAAATTCTGGCACATGCGTTCTAGTCGTATAATAATTCTCAATCGTGTTTTTTGTCGGTTGCATTCGATAATAATTGCTATGAAGGAACATCGCAAGCAAGCTATCTTCGATTCTCGGTAAGTGCGGTTGTTTTTCGCACCATTCTCTCAACGATTCTATGTCTGATAGCTTCAACTGGGGATTCTTTTTCATTTCTTCTTCCAACGTAATAGATTTTGTCATTGACATTGTTGAAACTTGCCTCAAACAAAAGTTTTACTAAGGTCAATTTCTATAAGCAACGATTGTTGATTAGAGCGTTATTCTCTTTCATTTTTAAATATTAATATTACGTTATTATTTTTTTTACACATATATAATAATACAAATATTATAAAAATATTTAAACAATTTAGATTTTTTTACTCTAAAATCTTTCTTTATTATCAATATATAAGTATATAACATTTATTATTATGTAGTACACACGGATTAATATATACATATGCAATTTCAAACGAATTACTCAATAATATTGTATCATATCGATTTAAAATACGATGCCTTACCCTTCCTTTTCGTTCGCGTTTCTCACGCAATTTTTTCAAAGCTTGTAAAGCTGTTACGAACAATACAAAGGCTTGGCAAATACTGCTAGAACGCTTTTTTACTGCGGATGTACAAGCCTAATTTGTATTATAAACCAATCGTAATTAGAGTAGCGTGCATGAAATTATGCATTGTGAAACGTGTAATATCTATGGACATTATATGATCGCAACGTACACGTCAAGGTTCTTGTAGCATGTTCTTATAAGACGAACAATCGAGAGAAACGCTTAATTAAAAATTAATAAACGTATGCATATATACGCATACAGATAATAAACCAACGAATATATATAATTCAATGAATAACTTAATTATGTAACTATAATATATTATTATTGCCAACAATATGGTTTTATGGGTGGGTGTGTGTGTGTGTGTGTGTGTGGGTATGTATAATGCAAATTAATATATTATTATCAAATTGATTAAATGTAATTAAATTTCATCTCTTTTTCTTTCTCATTTATCTGCACAAAATTATGCTGGTATAATGCGAGTTAAAAAAAATTATTGAATAATACGAGAATATGATGCTTTACGAGGGAGAGAGCATAGAAAATTACAAATATTTTTCAGAGATACTTGATTTCATATTTAACCATCAATCTATATCCAATTTTTTAAAGCTACCATCCACACCGAATAAGCTTTCCGCATCTTGCAATTTTTCAGTTCGCAGAGATTCATTCACCCGTCCAACACATTCGTCGTATTGAAACCATTCGCGGAATTCTTCCAATAATTTGATGTTTTTAGCAGCTATTTCCTCAATAGATCTCGCTTTTCCGCCATATTGATTTGGCAAAGCTTCGATGGGCACAAATTCCTGCATAGTTTCCAAGCTTGAATGAAAGTGTATCTAAAATAATATATATATACAGGGTGAATCATAATGGTTGTAACAACCTTTTACCATTAGAAATCAATTATCGACTGCACTGTAATCAATCGAATAATTCATAGATGACAGCTGCTTGGATCGACCGTGTCTGCAATAACGTACAAGCGAGTTAAATACTGTGAATCAAATAATATACATATTCTATGCATACTTTTCTAATATATTTAACTCTTTTATGTACATATTTTTCTTTCTACACGGTTTTTTTCTAATAACGCGATTTCTTATTATTGTGAAACGTATCTGCCACATAAAAAGAGATATCTTTTGCATTCGTGTATTTTTTCATACGATTTTTTTTAAATAATGGTATTTTAATACATAGAATTTGACGGCGATTTTTTCCATTCTTACACAAATCATTTTAACGTGTAAAAAGAGTTGGATTGGTAAACGATACAAAAGTATTCCTTTTTTATAAAAAAAAATGCGTAATTCTACTTTCTACAAGAAATATTCTGCTGTAGATATTAAGAATGTAAAAGTTATAACTTAGAAAATTAATAATAAGTAGAATAATTCTTGTAGAAAGCAGAATTACGCATTTTTTTAATAAAAAAAGAATACTTTTGTATCTTTACCAATCCAACTCTTTTTACGCGTTAAAATGATTTGTGTAAGAATGAAAAAAATCGCCGTCAAATTCTATGTATTAAAAAATCATTATTTAAAAAAAAATCGTATTAAAAAATACACGAATGCAAAAGATATCTCTTTTTATGTGGCAGATACGTTTCACAATAATAAGAAATCACGTTATTAGAAAAAAACCGTGTAGAAAGAAAAATATGTACATAAAAAAGTTAAATATATTAGAAAAGTATGCATGGAATATGTATATTATTTAATTCACAGTATTTAACTCGCTTGTACGTTACTGCAGACACGGTCGATCCAAGCAGCTGTCATCTATGAATCATTCAATTGATTACAGTTGCAGTCGGTAATTGATCTCTAATGATAAAAGGTTGTTACAACCATTATGATTCACCCTGTATATATTATTATATTATTATATATATATCGCTTTTTTTTATTTTTTTTTTATTTTTTTCAGATTCTTTCAGTATGATCGAATAACATGTCGCTGACTTACAAGCTGAAGCAATTCTGCTTTCAAAAAAGGTTTTATCATATTCAGTAGCGTGTCTATTATCGGCATAGTGTTCAGTATATGTATGGCTTTTAATCGAACTGGGATAGCTTCTTGTATATAGTATACTATCTTTTTTACTATCATTAAATTTATATGAATGATATGACCAATGGATAGGCCCGATGGGTCAAAGATGATAATTTGCCCCTCACTGGTGCCTTTTATTATATTTTGTACTTCACACATCATAAAGAAATATTTCATACACTCGAGATAGTCAAATTTATTTGGATCCGGATTCAACAACTTGGCGAACGTCATGATGTATCCCTCTTTGGTTTTCTGCTCCAATGGCATAACCGCCCTATGTTATTGAAAAAAATCTTTTTCTTATTCTACATTGTTTGGCATAATTTTTATAAGATTTTATTATAAAAAACTTGATAAAATTTTTATAACACGAGTATCTCTTCCGATATTAATAATTTAACATGAATGAAACTCACAAGACGGTGAAAGCCTTTCGTAATTCCTTCCATCCAATTGGATCTCTATTGGAGAATATTTCTGGCAAATGCGTTCTTGAAGTATAAAAATTGTCTATTGTTTGTTTGGTCATCTCTAGATGGTAATAATTACTATGAAGAAATAAAACAAAATATATCATCTCTATATTTGGTAAATGAGGTTGCTTGTTCATCCAATCCTTCACTATTTGCAAATCTGACATTTTGAGTTTTGGATTTCGTTTACACTCTTCCTCTATAGTAACGTATCGAGGCGGCGATATTACGTTTGACATGGTTGTAATGCTCAAAAGTGATCTATAAAGGAAAATTTGACTTTATAACCTTTTTTCTAACAAACATTCAACATTCAGCATTCAACATTCAACGAATTAAATATGAAAAAAGAATAAATGTATATTATACATATATATTTTTGATTGAGTAAAATAATTGTTACAAGATTATGAGAAAAATGAAGCAAATTTATTCGAAACAATTTTTTTTTAATTGATTAAAAATTAATCCAAAAGGACGGCAAAATGCTGCTCTTTACTGCATTAATACGTGTGATTAATGGTGCTCTTATTGATATCTTTATTTAATAAATAATATATAAAATATTCATCTATATAATATATATTCATTAGATACACTAAATTTATTTATTTAAAAAAAATTGCATTAATCTTTTTGTAAAGCCATATAGACAAAAGATACAAATATGAAATAGCAATTTATCTATTGAGGAGTCTAGCATTCACGTATTTTAAACATTTACAATTTATGTGATTTGTAACAGCTTCTTGCATTATATTTACTTGAATTGGCAAATATCTTATTTTAAATAATGGTTTTATAAGTATTTTATTGCAAATCTTATTAAAAATAAAAGCATACAAAAAAAAGAATTTATTAACTTTATTTAATTTTGCTATTATTTAAACTTATTGAATAGAATTATATTATTTTTGCGCGAAATATTAATAAATGAATTAAAATAAAAGCACGTATACATTGATATATATCGATAAAAATTTTACACGAATCAAAAATTATAAAATATAATTGCAAAAGTAAACAATTAATTAAATATTACATCACAAGAGCATTTATGTTAAAATAAAAATCTTGGCAATTCACACATATATGTACACTGTTATTACATATTTATATGTCTCTTTATATATATGATACAATATAATTAAAGATGATATGCATATGATATCGATATTGTTGTACAAATATTAAAAAAGCAATCACTTATTAAAACCACTTATTTGCATATAATACACATTCGTGAATACATATTGACTTTTCTTGCAATTGTACATTTTCCAATTAGTTGGAACGTCCAGTTAATTGTTTTTAAATATTGAAACAATATTTTTATTCAGCAAGAAAACGAACAATATCAATATATTACGATTTTTCTTACCCGTTTATTTACAGATGAATCTATCTTACAATGTAGAGCAGATAACTAATGATACTACGCACTAATGATACTACGCACACGATAAGTCGACGGCTTACTGATTTCTCGAGGAGAATGTTGAGATAGTCATCCAATGCAAGAATGATTATCTTAAAATGAGCACACAGAAAAAATATTCTACGTATATACTACGTATATAATCAAGCAATGCTTATTACAATAATATTGTTACGCTCGCGGCGAGGACTTCGATAGATATCGAAGGCGCGCTAAAGAGGTCAGCTGCTCGCGAAATAAATAAACACTTTTAAAAGGAACTAGAATGCACAAAAGAACTTTAATGCACAACACAGAACACAGAAACATAACCACAGAACGTTAACACACAATAATAATAACACGGATCGGCTCGATAAGAATGCGGATCCGCTCAGCTTGACAGCTGGCTCAAATGACAGACACTGCTGTCAACAACCTTTCGAACCAGATGTTCTTGTTAATCGGCGCCATCCCGATGAACACGGACACCAGGGACGTAACACTTGCCTCCTCCTTACTGAATTGTCGTCCCGACAATTAAAGGCAGAAGGACTTTCCAAAATTTCCACGAATTGTCGAATAAAGAGTAGAAGGACTTTCCAAAATTTCTACGAATTGTCGAATAAAGAGAGAAATTAATCGGCGTCGTCCCGATGAACACGGACATCAGGGACGTAACAATATATTGAATCTAAACATGAAGCAAAAAATAGAAAAGATATATTTGTTATTACATGTTTATAAATGTACATACATTTTATTCAAACGATGCGTCATCTAACTGCATCCTTAATCTTATTTATACTACTTAGTTATATAAACTCTGTGTGTCTCGTTTGCTAAATAAATATAATTTTATTATGTTACTTTACACATGAATACTATATATACAGTTTCTTTAACGTAAACCAAGTTGTAATTTGATCATGGCCACCTTAAGAATAACGACCTTAAGAACTCGATTGGCAGGATTGATCGATCATACGTATATACAAACGTGCGTATGAGAGTGTATCTCTCTAATATAACATTTACTTTCTCTATTCCTATAAAGATTTGTAATTATGAGTGTCAATTAAAATATATAAATATATGATTTTTTTCTTCCATTTTTTATATAACGTTTCACTCGACAAATATAAATACTATAAGATTCATAAATACTATAAGATCAAATAATTATAAAATCTTGATTCGAAATCTTGAATAATAAATTTATTGACATGGACTTGGAATTTGTACAGTCATATATAATACACAGGATGACATTACAATTTTAAAACATAATAACAACTGCAGACATACCTGACGTAATGAATATGTATTCTCCTCGTTTTTTTATCTTTAATATATACAATATGTAAATTATAACATTTATATGGATAAAAAGTTGACATTTAAAGTCTCAATTATTACATAAATCAAAGCAATTCTCTTTAATATTTTACATATAACGTGCATTTTATGCGCGTGCTGTCGTATATTGCATATTATTATTTTGAAATAAAACCTTGATCCTGCTTTAGAACATTCTTAAAAAAAACATTTTCATCATTTTGGATTCATATATAAATTCAAATTAAATTTTAAATCATATTGATATCATCATTTAAAATGAATGTAACCGAAAAAACAAGAGAGATATATTTTAAATAATATTTTCAATGATATTTCTTTAGAGGTAACTTTTTTTATGTAAACGAATTGAGGAGTGAATCAATCTATATCGAGTTTCTTGAAACTTCCTTCGACACCGAATAAATCCATCGTCTTGTTTTCGCCTAGCCTCAAGGCTTCGTTCACCCGAGCCGTAGCTTCATCTTTTAGAAACCATTCACGGTGTTCCTCCAGTTTTTTCAATTGTTCTTCTTGTTGTTCTTTCAATGATTTAGCTTTTCCACCTAAACTTATGTCGCACGGCAACGCTTCCAATGGTATAAACTTTACGAACGTGTCCTTCGTCGGATGAATATGCAACTAAAAAGATTTTTCATCATCAGACATTCATTCAGGTACACGTATGCCTCTTTCCTTCCCACCCACCCCCCCACCCACGCTCACACAAATACACACGTATTATTCAATAAAAATATCATTATTTTTCTCACCACATTCATCAATTCTTTCTTCATGAATGGCTTCATCATCGCCAAAATGATGTCCATAACCGCGTTAGTATTGACAAAATGCAGACCCATGAGTCTGATTGGTATAGCCTCTTGTAAATAATAAAGATATTTTTTAAGCCCCATAGGGCTGAGACGGCCAGCGTGGGCAAAGGTGACACCTTCCATGTCAACGATAATTATATGGCCCTTGGCAGTTCCTTCAGTATACAACCACAAGTCCGTTACCATCCCAAAGTACTTTATAGCGTCGTTGTAAACAAAATGCGATGGTTCATAATCTATTAGTCTCGAATAGACAATTTTGTATCCCTCCTTCGTTGGCATTGGCAATGTTATCTGTGCTCTTTTTAAATAAATGTAATCGTGATAAATAATTATATTATATAATTATTGTGTAAACGTATGTGTAAATTAGTTGAATTATATATTTACATGTAAATTTAGATAAATAACTTTTATTTATAATGCCGAAATGATTGAAAAACAAATAAATGACTACGTTATAGTTAAAGTTAATTTACAGTTAGTTAATTTACAGTTAGTTAATTTACAGTATAGTTAATTTACACTTTTTAACTCACTTCAATGACAATTTCTAGTACGTTCATACACACATTTGTTGTATCTATTTTATTCCATATTAGATATTATAGTGTAGATTTCTCTCTATTTCAGGCAAACAAAAATCTTTGAAAACGCATTTACTATTCAAATGAAAAAATTTTTAATAACACGAAATATCATGACATTTAACATAATGAAATTGCTCGACGCTTATTATTTGAAGACACCCGCGCGCGCGCGCACACACACACATTGAAAAAAAAACTTGTAATACTTTCGACAGATATTTGAATACTTATGTAACTCTAAAGGCTAAAACTTATAATACTTTCGATAAATATAAATATAAATATAAATATAAATATTTGAATACTTACGTAACTCTAAAGGCTTCTCTCAACTGCTTCGTTCCAAGTGGATCTCTATCAGAGAAAAATTCTGTAAGATGAGTCCTGGATGTATAATATGCCTCGATAGTATTTTTAGCAGCTTCGATACGATAGTAATTGCTGTGTAAAAACAATACATGTTCACTGTCTAAGATTTTTGGAAGATGCGGTTGTTTCGCGCTCCAGTCTTTTAAAATTTGTATATCGGAATCTTTCAACTCGGGATTTTTCTTCTTCTCCTCATCGTAGGAAATTCTCTTGTTTAAGGACATGGCGTTTCTTCCAATCTTCTATTAATTGTACAAAAAAATGTTTAACTTAAAAACGATCATTATTTGAATTATTTAAAATATTGTCTCTTTTGTCTAAATATCGTCCTTAATAAATTTAACGAAAATAATGTAATTATTAATACTACGAAAAACGCGAATTAATTTATTAGATAAATGTATATATATATATATATATATATATATATATATATATTACACACACACACAAATAACAATATATAGAATACTTGGTTGCAGATTATGCGCGAATTTTGGTGTTCTCTGATCGACTCTTTAAAGTATCACTATGCATAATGGCTCGACAACCCGTATTTTAAACCAGATATCAAGTGGAAGTAGCGCATTTACTCAGCATAAATGTAATCATGAATTGTACATTTTTGACGAGAAAATTATGGGCTAATAACGTGCCATTTCTCTGTCTAGGAAAGAATAAATGTATTTCTGTTATATTCAACTTGTTATTTTTTCTACATTATTACATTATTCATTAGAAATCTTAAAAGTAGTAGATCAAATAGTGAATACAAAAATAGAACTATAATTGTGAGAAATCATAAGAGATGATCTCATCATCGTAATAACTTGGAGGCAATAATTATTATAATTATCATTGCTTGAACAAAAAGTCATTACATCAATAAAAATGAGGCAAAAAAATATATTGTTTTTCACGTTAAATTACATAATAATTAAATGTATATAATATATATATATATATATATATATACATTTAATTATTATGTAATTTAACGTGAAAAACAATATATTTTTTTGTTAATATATATATATTTATATATATATATATATATATATATATATATATTAATTTAATTATTATATATATATAAAATAATTAAATATAAAATATATAGATATGACAAAATATTCTAGTAAGTGTACACTTTAGCAACTCATGTGTGTGTGTGTGTGTGTGTGTGTGTGTGTGTGTGTGGGTGGGTGTGTGTGTGTGTGTGTGTGTGTGTGTGTGTGTGTGTGTGTGTGTGTGTGTGTGTGTGTGTGTGTGTGTACATATCTATATCTATATATATATATGACACTTACAAATTTTATATTTTATTCAACAGTAACTGGTAACGATTTTTACTATATAAATTGTGAACATTATATATATATATATATATATATATATATATATATATATATAGATAGATAGATAGATATATATATATAGAATATATATAGATATATATATATATATATATATAGATATATATATATATATTGAAATATAAATTTTGTAAAATTTTTTTGATCTAAAAAAACTTCTACTTTTATACTTACATTAACCTTTAAGTTTTGAAATTGCCGGCTATATTCAGTGCAGGAATCAAAAACACCTCCTTGGTTGCTCTACACTGCGTGCACTACCTCCGGACCTAGTGCAGTCAGTTCAGTGAACTAATGCAGCCAGTGCAGGAATAAAAAACAAACCTCATGTAAAAGATGCGCTCATTTTAGTTGCTTAGTTGGCCAAGTTTGGCGCTGCGTTCGATGTGTCGGTGATGATCAAAAGTGCGTTCGAAAATGCTATTGCAGGTTGTAGGGTAAATTAACTTTAAATTGACCAATCGGGACCAAAAAAAATCTTCTGTCCTCCTTTGTTACTTTATTTCTCAATAAGGAGAAGACGGAAAAGTCCAAAAAGAGCTGAAGAAGAGAAGCGAGGGACTGAAGAGGAGTTGTAATCTTATGCTTTCGGAGTACGAGTTGCGCGTCGTATGTCTTTTCATATATACATCTTATTGTCGAAATAACACAGGCACGCCCAATATTTAATAAACAATTAATACAAGTTGATGTACTATGAATCGATTGGATGATCCGCCGGGGCTCATGAAAGGCAGAAAACCATCTTTCATTGGAATGAACGGTGGGATGATTGCTTGTAATCGTATGTTTATCAGTTCTAACCTTAATCCTTAAGTTAACCTAATTTAACTAAATTTGTTTTTAAATTTTTCCAAATTAATCTTATGTTATACGTGTCAAATAATCTAATAGCCAATTTCACAATTTCAAATTGAAAATTGCATTCCACTGCAGAGTCAATCGATGAATTTTTATCTTATCTTAATAGGTGAAGATGTAACTTGAGGTTAATTTTGTTTTAGGGGCCCCGGAGACAGATGATCAACAACGATTACGGTTTCAAGTTGAATTAGAGTTTGTGCAATGTCTCGCTAATCCCAACTATTTAAACTGTAAGTAGGAATGATTGTTGCGTTTTTCAGACTGTTGAAAAATTTTTTGTCTGTAATATATAATTATACAGTTTTAGCGCAACGTGGCTACTTTAAAGACTTGACATTTATCAATTACCTCAAGTATCTATTATATTGGAAAGAGCCAGAGTACGCAAAGTATTTGAAATACCCTATGTGTTTGTATTTTTTGGATTTATTGCAATACGAGCACTTTAGACGGGAAGTTGTGAATTCTCAGTGCACAAAATTTATCGACGATCAACAGATTTTATTGTGGCAACATTACACGCGACGTCGAACGAGACTGTTGCAAACGGCTGCTGAACAAACGCAACATATCAATCCTCAGAATAATGGTATTGCGCAACCCAAAGTTCCCTGAAATTTCAGTTTTGATCATGTTTGTTTCACATATTCGGAAAACTGAACATAGATTTTTACATTTCGCACGATCCTTCCGATATGATTTCATATTTGTCTAGAAGAAGTGAGAAATTATGCTGTTTGACTGTGATAATTTATGGATTTTCTCACATTTTTATATATTAATCAAATAATATCTCTTTTACATACAAATTATTTATTAAAAAATATTAAAAAATACTTGAGAAAGATATTTGCGTTGAAAGATTTTTCTTTCATTCTAATATTCAGTTTTTTATTTTTATTACATCATAATAGGAGTATACATTTATGTACTTGGATGTAGCGAAAAGTAAATCGTCCATTAATGATACATTACATTTGCATAAGCTATCTTTAAATTCTGTTATATGTACATAAAAAATTATCTATATTATCTATCACATTATTTCGAAACGGCAACATACATCTTGCCTCTGCCGAGTTATTCTGCATCTCTTTTTTCTTTTAAATGTTTGCTATTTTTTATATTTGAAATTAAAATAAATACCTATTTTGTTGTAAATGTAACAGAATCATCGGATATTCTGCATAGTATATAACATCTTATAGAAAAAAGAGAAAAATAATTTGCGCATAATATCTATTTAATAACAATAAACTAGCTTTTTACAAATTAAAATTACTTTAGCCTACATATTATTCGATATTTTTATTCTCTGTAAAATTCACCAAAATTCCATTACCAGCATCCACCCAGTCCTCTGAAAAAAGTTTCTCCCTTAGAATTTGCCTGTCTGTCAAATTGTTCTCTGTATCATTTTCTATATTAACGCTATCATTTTTGAAACTGCTGTCATCGATTATATTCTGCACACTCGCTATTCGGTCCGGTAGAATTCTATTAAGAGTCTCTGGTAAAATCAAAACCAAAAGTCCGCCGATGAGGCACAATATGCCAACAGCCAATAATGGTACTGGAAGTGGCACATGTTTTACCTAATAAACAAATCAATCGTATTTCTCTAAAATTTGTATATCGATTAGCTGATCTTGCGATTAGCGGTTCTTATAAACAATAATGGTGATAAGAAATATACACGGAAATAATTAGAAATAAGTGAGAGATATCTTGATACTATACCGACAGCAGCGAATATGGTATGCTTAGGCTACCAAGTTTTGCGAATACCACGCATAAACCTAAGCAGCTACCTCGTATCACTGTTGGAAATGTTTCAACGGTATACAAATAGACAATAGATATGGTACTCGTGACAGTCACTTTGCCAAACAGCAATGTTATCGTTTTCGCGAGATCTGAAATAAAAATATTATACGTATTAAAAGAACTTGTAATTATTTCAATGTGTATTACACTTTTCTCCATATTTCACAAAAGTTTAATATGCAAAACTTATACATATATATATATATATATATATATATATATATATATATTATATATATGAATATAATATATTGCATAGATATCTCAATTATCAGCTAAGGAAAATTTGAAGAATAATCTGATGAAATTGTACTCATTTAGACAAAAAAGGATTCCTTTTTTGTTTAACATACCGATCCACGGTGCAGTAGTTGTTAAAATGAGAAAGATCGCAATTAAAATGCAAACGATACCATTGAAGAATTGGTACATGCACATAGGCAGCCGTCTACCATATTTAGATATTATAAAGTATACAAATGTGTACGTTGCAATCTCGAGAATTCCTCCCAGAGCAAACGTTATATGTCTATTAATCGTAAAATTTGGCATCAAATCATCAAGTATACCACATACCATTGCTGATGTCCACCTTGAATAAAAAATTCATTCAATTAGTAAAAATTAACGAATAGTAAAAATTTAATGAATATTAATTCATTAAATTCACAATTCTACCCATCTTATATTTTCTTGATTGCATAAATAGATAGTAGATAGATAATAAAAAACATGTTTTAAAGAAAGATATTTAATCTTAAACTTTTCTACATGTACAACTTTAATATTTAAATTGGATCAAATTTTCATGTTTTTATTTTCTAGAGGATTGGATTTCATCAAATTTATTTGTATTCATTTTGAAGAATATATAGTATTTTTACAATAGAAAATTGACAAAGTTAAAAATTGAAAAAGTATTAGAAACATTTTATTATTTTTATATTGAAAATGTTTGAAATCTAGAAAAATTCAGATCTATATGACTTTATTCATTTTGGACTAAAAAAATTGTATATATACGTGTGTGTGTGTGTGTGGTATTGAGAAATAATTTTAAAAATGGGGCCTTGGATTAAGAAAAATTTTACCATTGACAAATCATTATAACACCCTGTTTTCTTAACATGAAAGATTCCGACATGCTTTTTAAAATTGAGCTCGTCTTGTTCGTCTGATTCTCATTTTTTGTCTTTTCTTCATTTTCGGTGGTTTTTTCTTTCTTTATTCTACGTAATACTACCTCCGTATCTTTGAGGGAAATCTCCCTCTGATCATTTGATAGTGAAATTGTTCTCGAGTTTCGATCACAAACCGAACTAGAAGGCAGATCTTTTTGATCGAAATTTTTCAACGAACTTAGCGTTTCGCGATGTAAATCCAAGGTAAAAAATCTGTTTTCCAAGTTTATCGAATTAACTTCCGAAGTTTGTTCTGAAATAAATTTATTAGATTAAAATATATGTGTTTCTTTAAGTTATCGATTAAAAAAACAAAATTGATTTGCGCAATGAAACTATGTGATTAAATTAAATATATTCACTACAAGTGCACCTATAACTTTTTCTTCGACTTGAATCGGCTTTGAACGGTTCAACAAACTCGTAGCTTCTTCCTGTTGATTTTCATCGGCCTTCGCTTTCTTTAGTTCGACACTGGTGACGCGCGACTTCCTTTCTGGTTTTATCGGTGTTGTGTTACTTTTCACGCATGCTTCTTGCACAAAGGTATTCTCCGTTCGCGATCTAGTGCAGCAACTGTTATACTTTGCGATTCTTTCAAAAGCTATATCGGCCTCTGTCGATTTCCCTTTAGCTAATAGCCATCTCGGCGATTCCGGTATAATCCTAACATATAATGAAACACGATAAATAGATTAAAGTTTGTTTTATATTATTTAACGTTCCGTTTTTTTTTCGAGACACACCTTTTTAAATGTTTCAAAACTTTTTAAATATTTTTTTTTATTTTGTTATTTTTCTCGATTTTTTGTGTCGGCCAAGTATTTTTTTTTCCTTACCAAATGTACAACACAGTGACTGCGGTGGGCACGGAAACGGCTAATTGTAAAATTCGCCAATCGGGAATTACGTAGCTGAGCATCGCGAGCAGTATGAGGCCGATGGACCAGGAGATTTGCATAATCAATGCGACAAGTGTGCGAAGTTGTGCTGGGAATAGCTCGAGAGAGAGAATATACGTGGAATTCTGCAATCCCTGAACGAATACCCCTTGAAGACCTCGCAGCACCAGAAACGCGGGATAACTCTAAAAAAGCATTATATATATATTTTTATTTCTTTTTAACGAATTAATTAATTAATTTCTTACGTACACGCTTGCGCGTTATTTAGCGCTGCTAATGTCACTCAGTTTTTTATCTCGTTAAACATTCAACAACGAGGTAATTCATTTACGAATAAACAGAATTAATATGTGAAAATCTTAATGAAAATTGTAATTTTCTTTTGCAATTGAAGAATGGAGTGCAATTTATTCCATTTTCACTTAGAATTTGAGAAAATTAACATAAGTTTAACATAAGTTATCTTCTCGAGATTTTTCGAATTAATAATTCTCTCGTGGTTCCAAAAAAAAACCTCTTAATTTATCATCTGTAATCTGTATTATGATTAGAATTTTTTTCACCTGTACCATGTAGAGTGCCACCGCCATCGTGCCTTGCGCGTAAAGACATATCGCTTGGACCGGAAGTCTGCCGATACAATCGGCTAGAAATCCGGTGATCCACGCACCCAAAAGAACTCCGACGTAATAAACGGTCGGTCCGAGGAAAGACAGGTACCGTCTCTCGCATATTAAGCCCCATTCGGTGACGACGCTGTTCTCCGCAAACTCCGTCACGAAGCGATATTCGCCGGAACAAGCCTCAAGAATCGGCACTTCCGGCAATGCGGAAGTTAGATTGGCGACGATCGATAAATTTGCTGACTCTCGACAGCCATAAGTCTTATGTGGTGAGTCTTTCGCCTAGAATATGCAAAACAAATTTGTTTAATGAAATTGTTACATCAAGGTGAAGTGTGATTGCAAAGTGAGAGAGGGGAATTCTTTTCTTTTACCTACTCTTTTAAATATTTTTTTTATATTTTTTATTTGCTGTGAAGTTAAAATATATAAAATGCTAGAGAGTACACAATAAATAATTTTAAAAAATAATCCAACACTTTCTCTAAATATAATTAATTTTTATAATTGTAATGTTTTTATATTTTTTATGTACATGTATATATATTTCCTTTATTTATTAATTAGCATATCACTTACTGGTTCTAATTTACATCGTTCCGTCATTATTCGATAAATTTGATTCACATGCTTGTGTCATTAAAAAAAAAATATTTAAAAAAATAATAGCTTTCTACATTTTATAATCTTATTTTATACATGTCGCATAAAGTAAAACGTAATATCTCTGCTACTCATTTCGAGTTTTTTGTCATATATTTTTACTTTCTTACCTGACAATAAAATTTTGGTGTATAATTGTGGAAAATTAACAATGCATGACTCATAGCAACGATGACATAGTTTATTCCGAGCAACAGTACCAGCATCATTTGAAAGCAGCCCACTTTAATTTCCTCGGCATTCATTATGCGAATAACAAGTTCTCTACATCAACCCTTGATAATCCAACGACCGCAACGTCAAAGATGCGTACGTGTAGTTTGATGATGACGCAAATCACACTTGTTCATTCCTTCACTCGAGATTGAAATAAAGAATTTTAAAAGGAAAAAGTGACTAAACATTTCTTTTATTTATGTCGAGTATTTCATCCATTTAAGACATACGGAAAACTAGACCATTCTGAAAAAAAGAAACAAATTTCTGATATTTAACAAGTAGTTTATATGTATGTACGTTGGATATGTAAAGATACAAAACAAATAATTATATATTCAAAACTATCGGAGATTGAGAATGAAAGCGGTTTAAAAACTCGTTTGTTTACATGAAACGGATAGCGCCGAACGGAATATATCGCGAGATTCGAACAAAGTGTCATGCACGAAGGTAAAGCGTGCACTGACAGAGAGAGGATCGGCCAGCACGTCTCGTTTCTCTTGCAGGATGCGAGACGCGAAAGAGGAAACACGGCGAATGAAAACGGAGGAGGACGACGACGACGACGATGCACAGCCTATTGTTCCAATACCCAACGACATATATATCGGCATGCGGAGCACATACATGATGTATGCGCGAGAAGAGAAAACAATCTTCTCTGTCAATAAAACGATTAATATTTTGCGACTGAGATGTGTAACTATCGACAGATTAATCATCTTCGTTATTGCTTTGCATCTGACGCGGACGACGATAACGGAATACGGTACTGATATATAGACTTCAATTTTCGAGCCAAGCCAGGTGGAAGATATTGGATATAATGACGTGTTCGCAGGATAATTGAAAATAATTACGGTATGAATCTCAAACTGTGATTGAAATTGAAGACTACATAAAAATAGTAGTGCGTGCGCGCACACGCACACACGCACGCAACAATATGAATCTCAGCGCACGTGCCACTTTCCTAAATGATAGTTATTTCTATGGAAAGTGTATGGAAAATGTAATTTCCACATGCTATACACCCCGTGTATATTCATGGTAGTTGTACCTATACATTCTGAGCTGTCGCGGCAAGTCAGATAATGTCCCAGCTAGGTTGACAAACTTTGCAAATGCATTTAATGTCATTTATATTAGTGTACGCAGCACATGCTTCTGGCAGAAGCAAGCACGGCTCTGATCAATATTGGATTTTTATCGCTTTGTCCGATTTATCCCTATATATTTTATAAGGCGAACGTCTTCAACGATTTTATATATCTCGTGACAACAATTTTGATAATATATTTTTTTTTCAGCAACCAATATTGGGAATAATTGCGTTTCAAGAAGACCAATTGTTTCCTACATAAATGTTTTCCTAATAAATGTCAATCGATTATGTATATTATTCTCTCTAAAATCATTGGCAATGACCACGCATCATCAAACGCATGTTTATAAAATCGTAAAAACCTCGATGTAACAAACGTGAACAATGTCTCATAAACATTTTTTTATAAACATTTGACCACCGATTATACGACAATTATTTTAACAGTCGATTTAAAAGCCACGCCATATTTAGAAGCATTATCTTATGATTGTATTTTGTGTTGTGTGCGTGCATAAATCATCGTAACGCACGATGACGATAAAGGGTGTTTCCTTCGTTTCTGGAACTGTTTGCGTATGCCGGACTCGTTACGTCCGGTGCCGGCCGCATCCTGCCTTTCATTGGTGGTTCATCGTCGAGATGGATCGACGACCGAATCTGAAGGAAATTCTCTCCCTCTCTCTTTCTTGCGCGTCATCAATATTGTTGTTATCCGTCAATTTGATCAGACGTCACAACTGGTATCGACATTCCGGATCGTATACTTTGCCACTCGAGACGAGACGGAGGCTCTTCATTTCCATCCGATTGTCGATGAACGCATAATCGCTCAGGCATTATTCTTCGCTTTCGTCGGTACAACAAGAAGAATGTTAAACGCAGCGTCGTCGTATCGATTGAAAATAAACCGCGATAAAAGAATTACTACGCGTGGCATCATTTTATCATTTTCTACAAATATATGAAAAAAAACTAAATGTTAATATATTATTTTTTACAGATATAAATTTAATGACGAGAGAAAATTGTATTTTTTTCCAGCGATATTTTAATTACTCGAGATTGAATTACTACTACTAGGTTGTGCGATATAAACTACAATCAATATTCGTTGTAATAATACTCGTGATATGAAAAAAAGGACAAGGAAGAAAAAACTGACAGGTGTAACGTTTCGCTACACAAAGAGTTTTTAAGATACCGCTAAATAGATCTATCCCTAAAGCAATTTGAATCGTAAATGGTTTTCTGAATCATATACGTCGCGAGGGAATGGCGACTAGCGTTGGTACGATGAGCAAAAAAAAATTTTGTAACACATCGCGTAATATACGGCACGAATGGATGATGCACCGACTAACGATCCGTGCCTGATTTCATTGGCTCTTACGATTTAGGCTAATTTCTTGTGCGTTTTCTAGCAACACGCAGCTCTTCGGGATTTACCGCGCATCATTTTCCCGCGTAACAGTAAGCAAAGCAGGCCAATAGCACGGGGTTGTGCTGGTAATAATCGGAATAGTGAAAGAGTACAGGTGATCGTACATCCCTCTCCAGAGTATCGAGTAAACATTATTACCCGCAAATTTCCATTTTGTTTAATGAATTATAATATTATAATTTAAAATAGATATATGTATATATTTAATAGATTCTTATAAATTTAAAATATCTTTTCCTTCCCGATAAATATAAACATTTGAGTGATTTATTTGGAAAAATTGAAATTCTCCTCTAAAATTATTTTTTAAGTAAATTAATCATTGTGCAAATAATTCTCATTATTAAATAATTGTCAAGTTTCTAAAGTTTCATTATGACATGTTGCTTGGCAACGATAAAAAAAAGAAGACAGCATGTAGACATATATAATTGTAACTTGTAGAAAAAAATATTACCCCAATTGATGTAATATAAGAAGAAGACATGCATGTTATAAAAGTGACGAATTACAAATTTAGAAATTTTTCGTAGTATTTCCGTAGAGTTTTTATCCCAGTTTGAATCTCGTTAAGACGTAGTAGTAAAACTATCAAGTTTTCGCTAAATAAACGTAATATACTTTCTCAGAGACTCTGAGATCTCGCTATATAAGAAATTCCTTGAGATTTCGCCGAGCAATCATAGCGGATAATACTCGCTAAAGTCGCGCGCGCGCGTGTGCGTGGCGTGTATGGAAAATGCGTGACGCGGACGTAAAGCGCGATGAAACGCGCGCGCCGAATGTCCGGCGCGAATGACTAGCGTCCGGCGTCCAACGTCCAGCTGGCCTTATGACGCGAAGCTAAGATTGGCCTGGATGCCTTTTTTTTCGTCGTTTACCGTTATCGTAGAATAACTTGGATGTTCCGCGATCTGCGGTCGTATATCGACGACGTGTCGATTTCGCCCGGACAGTCCGGCGAAAATGGGGCTGCGGGGGAGAGACGGATTGTCGTAGCGTTTCGACTATCGTCGCCTCTCTTCTCTGTCCCTGCAAGACGGAGCGAGCGTTGCGATGGACAAAAAGACCGACTCTCGCGCGGATCCAGAGACTGGCCGTTCGCTCGATTTTCCTCGCTCAGTTGTACTCGGCGAACGTAACGCGACAGATCGCTCGTTGCGTCCCGGATGTCTCGTACGCAAATATCGCGTCGACGTCTTTTCCCAGGGTGACAACACCGATCGCTATCGAGTTGCCGCACCAACGGCAAAAGTGATTATCAAGCGCAACATGAGAGCCCGAATAGTCTTGCTAGGAGTTTTACTCATCTGCACCAGCGTGAGTACGAATTTCCTCCGAAATTTCTTTGCAATTTCTTTCGCTCTCCTCGAGAGACTTTGAACTGCCTTCGAATCACTTTGTCGTGTCAGTCTGAAATTTGACAAAATATTAAAAAAAAGAATTTCATTTTATCCTTATATCATTGTACAATGTTTATAGTTACTATCTTCTTAATTTATAGATAAACTTTTTTTGTACATTTTCTTAACTAATTAGTTCCCGCATGAGAAAAAAAGAGAAAGAGAGTTCAACCTACCTTATTTTAATGTTTCTCTTTAGAGATTTTGAACTACTCTTTGGCGACATTCCGAAAAATTGTCTCATAATTCGTAGATTCGATATGCAGAGGGTAGATCGAAAAAGACGAAGCAGCTGTCGCTACAGAGCAAAGAGACCAACGTGGTGAACTTTATGCGATTGCTGGTGATGAGACTGGTCTTCGGGGTAGCTTCGGCGATGGGGTTGGGTGAAAATCTCTCGGGTGTTCTCGGCGGAATTTTCGTACCACCTGGAGCCGATGACTACAATGACTACAATGATTATGGCGATGATGTCGGTTTCGTACCTGATTTTTTTTAAAGAAGATACCTTCTAGTTTAACCGCACGTGCGCTTCGACTACGTTATTTGTACGAGAATGTCGCGTCTCGAAAAGTTTATTCAAAGTGACAAGGTAAACTTTCAAATTGTTAAATCTCTTGAAAAGTTTATTCAAAGCAACAAGGGTAAATTTTTAAATCGTTAAATCTCGATAAAATCGATCGGTTCGAATAATGGAAAATTATTTTTTTATTAGCTTTGAATATCAGAAAGATTAATTGAATTGAGCAAAATGGAATAAATATACTCTTTATGGAAAGTTATATATTTTACTACCATATACTTTAATTATTTTCTTGCCATCGGCAAGCTCCATATTGTGTTCTATTAAAGGATACATTTTAGAGTTAGAAGAATTACAAGAAAACGATACAAATTAACATTAGCGCTTGCAAACTTTGCATAAACAAATACTACTACATTGCTTCTAACAAAATGTAACTCATCACTCTTGGAATTAAAAAAGTTCTCTCTCCTTTATATTTTACATTATATACTACGATAACGTTAAATATTTGAAAATTTCTAGAGTCTAAATAATCACTCGTATGGCGCAATAACCGGATTATGATTCAGCCGCGAGTCCGTTCATCTCGCACGCAAGAGGCTTTTTAAGTCTTTCGTACCGTTACCTGTAATTTCGGTAAAGCTAATGGACGCGCATCAGTTACTGCAGTTGAAGATATGGATAGCAAAATAGCTGTTTCCGCTTTCCGTTTTATCTCATACCCATCAATTCCGTTGGTTTCGGTCCAATGAAATGAGCATCTGCTGCAATATACCCGATAAAAATCCGTATAGAAATAAATTTGATGTTTATCTTCTGAAAATGTTGCAAGATCCAGTTTCGACTATCTTGATAAAGATGCAATGTTTTTATTAGTTTATTTCGCATCTCGTTGAAATAATTGGAATGTACTTAAAAGTGTCAAATACTTTCGAAATAATCTGCAAACATGTAATATAAAATAGAACTTATACAATTATTACAAAAGCTTGCATTTATAGAAAATAACTTTTATATTGGTAAATATAAAATGGAAAGCGCAGCATTCATTATTGTTAATATAATTTATTTATTTATTTTATTTCTAAGTAATTATATAATACATTTACTTTAATGTTGCATATCTGGAAAAAATCCATTTATGAATCTTTTTTCTCAAGGTATGCTAACTTTTTTAGATGTAAAAAGACAAAGCATTACTCTCTATTTGCGGCATCAAATTGCATTTTATATCAATCCAAAAAATTAGTCTTATTACGTTCTTTCTTGGAAAAGTAAATATTGGCAATAAAATTCTTATTATCTTTATATCATTGTTTCATTTAAGAATAATACCTATATATTTGTGTATGATAATAAAATATAAATTAGTTTATAACATATATTACTTGCGGCTAAATGTAAAAAAATCAACGACGAATCTGTGACCGAGAAAGAAGGAAAATGTATTTTCCGATGTGTCGTTTGTTCTCTTTACATATGCTTTGTGAATAATATTGCTTGATCACGTACGAGTTCTACTAACGGTTCGGCGTGTGCTAATTACAAAAATGTCCACCGAATAGAAATCACTAATGCACCTGTAACAGTTAACGTTTCACGTGTCACACATTGTTCGAATTAAGGTCGATATAGTATAATGTATTCGTGTCATAATCATATACCGTTTATCTAGTAACATTGCACAAGTAAAATTTTATAAAAGTAAATAGCTAAAAAAAGAAAGAAAATATATAATATATGAATGTAAGAATTTCAGATGATTAAATTAAAATTATTGTAACATATGTTAGATACACACACACACATGTATACATATATAAAAATAAATATTTATGTATAATTTTCACAATCTCTCTTATGATTTTTCAATGATATGTTTATGAGGTAATAGATGAGATTGCCGCTATTCTGCTACAATAAATTAAATTAAGTAAAAATTCATATTTATATACAAATAATTATGTAATATACTACTAAATGTCACTATCGCTGGAAGAAAAGTCAGCATTAGTCTTTTCGAGATTTTGATAGCATCCATTCTTCTTTCTTATAAGATCTCCCCAAAGAATATTAGTTTTGCATGTAGGACAAGTACCTTCGATCGGTACGATCATTGCGTTTTTGGTGAATTCTTTTGCTAAACAAATCAAGTGTGCAATCAAAAGGCAATTTGGTTTTATACAAGCGACAGAATCTCTCTCTGTCATACTGGAGTCACAAAAGAAACAAAATATTGATTCTTGTGACAAAATATTATCTGTTTTTATTCCTTGTGTTGGCTTAATTTTACAACTGGTAACTTTACCATAGCATATAGGCATGTGTAATGGTAAAGATATACATCCGTGATATCTCTTAGAAAATTCATAATCCAACCAACGTAATGTCAAGGGTAAGCGGTGCCAAGGCCCAACTTTTAACATTTCAGACAAGATTATCAAACAGAAATCAAACTTTGTTTGCGTTGACTTCTTCTTGGGAATATGTTTCAACCGTCTACTCTCGTGTGGATGCTGCCAAGCCCATTCAAACTAAAATGCAATGCCATACATTTAAAACACAAATTTATTTTAAAAGATGAGTCGCAACTTACTTTTTATCACTGAAAACTTACTCTGAGTGCAGAAGTGCTATTAGGGAATCCATAAACGATCAAGATCATGTTCCTGAAAATAAAAATTGTTGGAATTCAGAATATATATATATGTATAGAAAGTTAAAATTTATTTCATCAATTTATTTAGAAAATAGATTGTATTGATTGTATAAATTTGCCGTTTAACAAGAAAAAGCCCCTTGTGTCTTACCATGGTCCTTTCTGGCTAGTTTTCCAAGCTCCACCATGCTTTTTACCAGCATTATGTTGCTTAATCCTGCGCCTTGGATCTACAGTGTAACCTATATACGTTCTGCCCCGATACTTTGGATTGGTGCAATACAGCAGGTACACTCCAAAAAACTGCTCCACTACTTCGAGCTCTTCTTTCATCATTGAGCATTTCTCGGAGCACATGGATTTAACTCATAAAGTTTATTAGCACATTTAATAGATTTTCTCGGTGTGTTTATATTTATATCCGTCCGAGCCGACGTCATTTGACGTTTGACGGAATTTCTCCAATAGTGCATTGCCCTCCTTTTTAGGATGCGTTCGGACACTATCCGTGGATTACAGTAGCTTCTAGGTGACCAATCGGCACAAAGAAATCTTGCTCGTTTGTTTACCCTATGGACAAAATTTCCAAACGTATTCTTATCACAGCTATGCTTCTCTTTTATATCTACAAATTTCAAAGTTCCAAAATCTATGCGCGTCAGTTGCGAAGAAAATAGATAGAGATGTAGAGTATCGTTGTCTTTCTTTTACATTCTATAACTAAAAGATAATACCCTTGATTCATACTTACTATATTAAACATTTGTACAAAGCATGAAATATGAAAAGAATTCATTCTGTTATATTATTATTATCATTATTATATTATTACATTCCTTTCATCAATATTTATAAGTTTTAATATTCTCACTTGAAGATACTTTGAGGAAAACTTTTCAAATAAATCAAGCATTTTTTTGCCCTCCACAGTTGTATTTGGTGACCTAGATTACAATGAAAATATTTAGATATATAACACCGAGATAATTCTCAATATAGATTACTTAGGTGTCTATGCAAGATACATGTAATATCGTATAAGTATAGATATAACACAATATAGCATGATTTCATAATATTCGACATAGTCGCTAATATAAACATTTATTATATTCGCTTTATTTTGCATATTTCTGTTTTTTTGTTCTTTTTGCTTCTTTTTATTTTATACATGTAGAATATCGTGTAACGACATTGACAATATATACATGTATGTGTGTATATACACACGCACACATATATTTATTCTTTTATAATCATAGAATAATAATCATAATAATAAGTATCATAATATATCGAATCTGCTCGCGTTCGGTGTATAACATTTCGATTTTCGTCCTTATAGGTCATTTAATGCTGTTGGAATCGAATCTCGTCAAATTGATTGTTAGGTGAATCGAAACAGTAGCGAAAATAAACATTGTTGACCAAAAATTAAAGCGGATGATTATGTCAAAAATTAATTCGAGGAATTCTCGATATTTCATACATTTAATATGAAGCTATTTATCAATTTTCGGCGCAAATTTTCTAATGAAATCCATATAATTCCAAGACGAAGCATTAAACCAATATGGTAGTCAAATTAAATTAGATAAATACATCAAATCGGAAAAATATTATCCTTGTTTTTCGTCTTCTACATTGAACTATATAGATATTCTGTCACCTTTATATCGAATGAAAATCTTTATAGTACACTAAAAAGAAATATCTATAAATTTTTTCTTTATAATAATTTTCCTTTTTTTAGTGAATCATGCGACTTTTGAGTAGCAATAGCGTTTGTCCCAATAGGATAAATTTTATTAGTGAAATTTCATCAAATCGATTTGAGCGACGAATCGAATTATACACGGTTTAGAACCAATTAAAAATTATAATCAATCGACAGAAATTTACGTAAAAAGATTTTACGTGGATATAAAAGGCTGGTTAAAACTTGATTTAAAAATGTACGATTATTTCCATGAAAAATAATCTGTGTTTAAAAGGAGGAAAAAAGTGAAAATTTGTGTTGAAAATTTTGTGCGCGTTTTGTTCGTCCTCGAGAAAAATTCCTTCTTCGCGCAATTTTAAAGGAAGGACGATGACGACGATGATCCTGCAAAATACTTCCAACGATGGTTTAATTTCACGTTTCTAATGATATTCTTTTACATCAAATTTCTCTACGAATCAATCTAATACGCGTGGTTGGCGACGAAAAGTGTTGCATCTCCCGCGGCGCCAGTGACACCACCTGCATATTTGCCTAGCGCCGAGTCGCTGTTAGCCTATTGGAAAACAGAGAAGACATAATTTTACTTTTGATACTCAGTGAACGTGTTTTTCAACAAAATTTGCAAAATAAAATGTCAAGATGAAAGAAAATTTCATTTCTGAACAAATTCAATAGCAAACAAGTTTGTGCCATTTTTGGCTCAAATATTTCATAAGAATTTTATAAAACTTTAATTTATTGTGCTTGTATGTGTGATATTAATTGAATTTCAAGAGGTAGAATTAATTAACAACAAATTTAAATTAAAAGTTCTTGAACATATTATATATAGAAATTTTTGTATATAATTACGATTGTTCTCTCTCTTCCAATGTACTGTATAATTTATAAAACTTGAATGTTTCTCTCTTTCATGAGAATAGAAAAGAGCACACACGCGCATTACAAATAATACATACATATACGTGCACATACACATAAACAACTAAACAAATAAACTATTTCAGCTGCATCGATAAAAAAATAATATAAGCATAATCTCATTATTACGAGAAATATCATAAATTACATTTTCGTATCGTGAGGGGAGAAAAACAGTTAAAAACAGTTAAAAATCGATTATTCATTACAGCGAATGGCTAAAGGATAAAGATTGCAAGAAAAGATAGTATTCACGATTAAGACTCATTATACTTACCACCATAGAAAATGCAAACAAATGATTTTTTTTTGTTTTTAGAAGTCGAGAGTATTGGTGTAGAGAGAAATGCCAGCGGCTTTGCTAGAAATGCTGCCAGCAATGTAATTGCCTTGGCAAGCTGCAGTGTTTGCCTAAACAAGCATATATTACGTAGCATGCAAAATAGGTACGGATTAGGTGGTCAAAAATTACAGTTAATTAGTACAGATTACAAGATTTTTTTTCTAAAAGAAAACTACTTGCATTGAGCATATACAAGAAATAAAAGTGCAAAGATGATTCAACAATGTAAAAACAGAATTATTTTGAAAAGTAAAACACAGAAGTCGAAAGGCAAACAGTTAGTGACAGTTATACATAGACACAAAGAGTAAATGAATAAATGAAAGCTGAATAAAAAAATATAAATTTAAAATATAAATAAAGCAATTAACAAATGGTGTAAATTCAAATTTACACGTGCAATCTATAATTTAAAATACTGTAATTACTATAACTCTTTCAATTACTGTAAGGATAAATTACATAGAAATATTTAATAAAGTGTCGCCAAGAATAAGGAATTTCTATTATTTAATCAAAATATTCTCGAAAAAATAAATTTTTAATTTTCTACTATATTCTACTCTCCGCGCGTTAATTATATATATTATTTATTTATCGAAAGCAAATTGATTTCACAAATTGATAATAAATAAGAAATAATATGATATTGTCCAGAAATTGCAATAGTATGAGAGTTATAATAACGATTATAACGAATTTTTCGTCTGTAAATTAACGTTTCGATAAAATGAGAAACTTGGTGACGTTTCATCATGTGTTCACCACCCTTTACCTTTGCTCTCTTAAGCAACTCCTGCTGGCCGGCGGGGACCTGATCGGCTTTGCCTTGCCAAGCGCGAAGCACGGAAGCCTGAAGAGCGCGTCCGTAGCTAAAGGTCAACGCCCAAGGTTTCTTTGCCGGAAACTTATTGATAGCATCTAGATTGACCGATGCCTCCTCCTCGGATTGACCACCGCTGAGGAAGGTGATACCGGGTACCGCCGCTGGCACGGTGCGCAACAACGCCGTCACCGTAGCGGCGGCAATCTGCTGGGGAGTCGCCTTCGTCGAGTAGCTCTGACCCGGCGTCACCATGTTTGGCTTGAGCAGCGTTCCCTCGAGATATACATGGTGATCTGAGAGTGCCTGAAAATTGAGATACATGTTATCAAAATTTATTGTACTATATATAATACGAGTGGTAAATATCTCAACAATCAGTCATATTTTGAAAATGTTAAAAGATTACGACTTTTCAAGTATACAAGTGATTATCAAAACAATCTTGTAAGGTTCTTAAAAGATTATTAGATATTTTTCATGTAATAAAAGTCTCTCGATTTAAAATCTAGTGTCATTAATATAGGAAATGATAATGAAAATCTCGTTAAAACAAACTCGTTGTTTGCAATCTTCTTTTTCAAATAATGTAAAGACAAACGGCACCTTGTAAACGGCCGCAAGGACCTCTTCCGTAACCTGTTCGCAACGCACAATATCATGGTCACCGTCAGGAAGGATTTCAGGCTCGACAATCGGTACAATCCTAGCGCTCTGACAGATGGAGGCATAGCGGGCCAGCACGTTGGCATTCTCCAGGATAGCAAGTTTGCTCGGCGTGTCCTTTGTAATCTTCAACACGCATCGCCATTTGGCGAAGTGGCAGCCGTCCTTCTTGTACTGGATGCAACGTTGCTGAAGATCATCGAGACCCTGGGTTGTGCATTCGTTATTCGTGCCGAATAGCGGAACGATACCTTTGTCGACTTTGATGCCGGGGATGATGTTACGTTGTTTTAGTAACTCGACGAATGGCGTGCCGTCGTCGGCCTTTTGATAGAGGGTCTCATGAAAGAGGATCACTCCGGAGATGTGTTGTCCGATGGCATCCTGGGGAGAAGAGGGAATTTTATATATTAAAATCATTATATTTTGCGCAAGCGAAAATTTAAAAAATTCTTTGAGATGACTTTAACATGTTTAGATGTTATATATGCAGGGTGTCTCAGAGTATTATATACAAATGCTTGTGAGGAGGTAGAGCGCAGTAAACACCCTGTATATATGCAATATAAATTTGAATATATTTTCTCTCTCACTGAAAGCAGTATTTTTTTTGTGCAAATTCTCCACCATGAATCGGACGCACCTTCGCTGTGGTAAAAAGAAGTTGTCTATAAGCCTTGCGGTTTTCCTCGGTGTTCTCAACATTGATACTCTGAAGACGTTTGCCAATCGTCGAGGTCGATTCGTCGGCGGCCAAGATACCCTTGCCGGGTTCCACGATCTGCTGGGCGATCGCGCGTAGTTCCTCCTTCAGCTCGGGTTCGAGGGTATCGTACTTTTCTGCTACCATTTTCTGTAAATAAATTAGCGCTCTGTTAGTCACAATTATCGCATACAAGCGTAGCGATTAAGCTATTCTTGGCAATAATTTTGATGATGTCGATTAAATTGCGTTTCGATGAATCGGAGAATGATTAAATATGATGAAAGCTAGCTGAGAAATTAACTCGAATCATTAATAAATATCTAGTATATAGTCCACTCTCCAATATAGGTAAAAAAAAAAATAAATAAAAAATTTACGTAATTCCACACCGATATCTTAAAGTTGCCAATCTATCGATTCAAGAGACGGTCCGAAATTATACTCACCCACTCGATGATTTGTAGGGTGCTCTTTTAGCGGATTTTAACAGGAATGTGCGCATCCAATTAATGAAACGTAGACGAGACAACGCTTTCAATATTAATGAATAAAGCCGCAAGATCGTATCGCGGAATGAAAATATTATTGATCTCAACACCTATGTCAAGTCACACACATACACACGCACAAACACACACACGGGGGTAACCCGTGATTATATATCTGTCTTATTTCTCTCGAGGACTTGACAGGATGATCGAAGAAGCGGCAGCTCCGTCGTGGCGTCATAGTCGAGCGTGAACCGGAATGCGTAGCGTCTCGACGCATCTCGCGTCGTCGGATTTACGCGGCGATGATGATGATAACGCGGCCGACAATGTTGTTGCAATCATAGAGAACGATCGTCAGGACGTCTACGTCTACATCTACCGTTGTCGAGCGCGCCGCTGCTTATCATTTCCCAGATGGGTTCGCGGCGTTCGTTTTCTTTTCGCGCGCGGCGAAACGAGCAATTTAATCGAGAATCTTGAATAATCGACGAATCAAACACCGATACGACGAGAGAAAGAGAGACCGGGAGTAAACTAAGAGAGAGAAAATTGAGAAGATAAACGCGCCGATTACGGGGTGGCGAGCCCCCGCGCGCGGGTGGCTTGATATCTCTTTACTCGACTACATCTCGTCGCGTTGCGTTTCTCGAGCGAACGAATCCGCGAGCGCGTCTCGTACGGCTGCGACTCGCCGACTGTCGCCTCGCCGTTTTATCCCGCGATGCATTCCACCCCCGTTCGCCGAGGAAGGGGAAAGGGATGGCGGATGGGTGTTGTACCTGGTCCTGCAATGCACCGCAGCCGTGCACCGCAAGACAGGGGAATCGAAGAAAGGCGAGAGGACGAGCAGGGATGGCGCGTCCCGCACCGCCGTGCTGCCGAGAGGGTGAGAGAGGACCGGCTAGCCGCAATGCAGCACGCGCAGACGTTCTCGGTGCGCGCGCTCTCCCTGCCAGAGTTCACCCTGAATTCGCTCTTACAACTTGAACCGCCGGCATCGGCCAATCTCCTTCGAGCGAAACGCGCACCGCGTTGACACTTAACTGTTCCCTCCCCCCGTGGATCGATATCGATAATTTCGTATCGTTATTCCGTCAAGTTGCCAATCTCTCTGCTCCGTTTTTATCTAAAAAGAGACTTTTGTCTCGGTGACATGTGATTAAAATTTATAATAAGAGAGAGAAAAATTATTCAATATTACAGTCGCTTAATAAGATCGATCAGTTTAATGCAAAACTTTTTCCCAAGACTGTTGAGTAATTTCGATGCTTTGTCGATTATAATGTTGTAATTATAAATTTATAATTTATATGCGCGACGCGAAGAGAAACATCGCTATGCTTATTCTTGTTGTTTTGAAAAACTTTCTAGAATGTATCCATGGCGGGATTAAAGATGAGAATTTATGGTTACGAAGAAATATGAGGCTGAAGGGAGTGTAAAGTAACATATCCGCTTGCAACTGTGACAAGAATCGCTATGAAATGGTGAGCTAAATTTCGAAAATTTAATTTTGTCCATTTGTACATTTAATTGTATTTTTACACGCGATTATTAAGTAAAAATCATTTTGCTCGTTACAAATATGATGCAATTTATGTGCTTCGAGATTTGGCCAAAATTTAATTTTCCTTTCTTTGTTAATTAATTGAATTAATCGCAAGTTTAAAGAGTTATATAGATTTTCATACATGTGCAATCAAACATTTTTCGTACAAAGTGTTGCTGAATATTAAAATAAACATGTACATATAGGAGAAGACATTGAGAAATTTATGTGAGCGATAACGGATTCAATTAGAAAATAATTAAATACTTGAAAAGAGAATGTAATTCATCGTTTGAAAATATTAGCGTAGACATAATCGAATCGAACAAACTAAATCCTCGATCACTGTCTCCGACAAAAAGTTCCGACGAAAACTGCTATTTTTATCTTTATTATGCGAGACAGTTATAAACTACCCAAAATAACTACTCGGAGTTGGATCACAAGCGCTAAAGTTTCCGTGCATAGTGATGAGTAAATATGAGGGCATAATTACATTATGTTATTATTTATTATATTTCATGTCTGTTATTTATCTAAAATTTTTTAATGAAACATTTATTTCAAATGCAAAAATTGTCAAGCTTAATTTTGATAAAAAATTTTGATTTAAATTAAATCAATGACAAATTATTTGCACGTGATAATGTCACATCATGCATAATTATTATTGAGGATATATTTCGATATAAATTGGTGTCCGAAACATATATTAAGTTTGCGTTGCATGTGTTACATAATCTTGCGCAAATCGCTTTCGTGGCGCAATGCGATATAAAGATGTTTGCTAAGTCACGCGCATGTCGAATCGGACATACATATCTGATCATACCTGCTCAATTATATATACCCATCATCCTTGCCGTCTTATATTGATAATTGTCATGATCATAAGACTCGACTATGGGAAGCGACTTTTGGAGCAACGGTTTGTCGCGGCTTTTTTTACGTTTGCAAACCAAGTCTCTATTTGATAAGTCAATATACGTATATGTAAGGAAGGTTTGCTGGAGGGACACTGGAAGGTGGAAGGACACTGCGGTTGACCGACGTGGAGGTTTACGCGAAATACGCTTGCGCCGTATTTCCTGATTAGAAAAGGTTCAACGTCGAGCAACTTGAATACCGTACGTATTCGCTAGATTCGGAGTACGCAGTGCGTTTATAAAGTTCGCGATGCCGACTTCGTAAACAGATCGACTAACTAGGTAAGCCCTATCATTCGCATCTCATTTATTAAAATTGCCTTAGGACTCGACGCGCATCTAGTTTTAAGAATTGACAATTATTGACAATTAATTTAGGACTTGAGTTGTATGGGAACAAAATATAAATTCGGTATCGTAACAAATTTTTAAAGCGGCAAAAGTCTTTTTCGTCAAAATTCGGATACGAATTGCATCATTGGAGAAAACAAATGCGTATAGCGTTACGTACAAGTTGATAACTTGCCCAACGCATAGCAATTTACATAGCGATATATTTACACCGATAGTAGTTTTATAATAACATTATCGCTCTATAAATATCAGAGGAAAGTGCAAAGTGAAAGTAAGAATTGTCAAATAAAATTGTTCAAACTTGAAGTAACTTATGTTATTGATGTGAAATAGCGACAATTTTCATATACGTAGTCTACTTTTTCTGAAAACTGAAAAATTTGCATTTGTAAAAAAAATATACATCAATGTTTAACGAGTATCTAGTTATAGTATTCTAACAATAAGTACAATTTGTTGTCTTCTCCATTTTTTCTCAGTTGAAAAGAGGACTTTTTAACACCGATATATTCTGTAATTATCGAATTTAATTGTAACATGTTAAAAAAGGAAATGATCATTTCCCTCTCTTTCTTAATGTTTTGAAGTTATTACAAGATATACAAAAATATAAAATGCTAATTGCAAACGTAATAATTAAAATTTTAATCATGTATATTTATAAAAATATACCGAAAGAATTAATAATGGTATATATAATGGTTTATTTCCAGCTGAGGGCACTCGCGCATGCATACATACATGCCAATTGTCTTGCCTTAATGCATATACTCGCTAATAATTCGATTTGCACGTGACTATCTTTTGTCAAAATAACATTCAACATGTTTATGCATGCCTATAGATGCTGCATTGCATAAATATTTAGTATTTAGTATTTGTCCACTGATAATTTTTATATATGTATTTTATATATATCGCGATTGCAAATTAATTTATCAAGTTCTATGAGTTCGTGTTTTTATTGTATTATGACTCCTTTATCGCTGTTTTTGTCGCTCAAGTTTTTAGTTATCGATCGCGTATAACGGAATGTGTGCCCTTCCAGAACCACGTGTTAGTGTGTTACTGTGTACGAAGGTGAACGTGCTCAACTGCATGCGAGAAGACGGCTTTTCCGGCTTTCAGATAAATGACGCAATTTCGTCAAAAAATTGTATGTACTTTTGATATAAAATTCTTTAAAGCACAAATAAGTAGCTTCTCAACACTTTATGCGATAGAATAGCAAAATGTTTAATTCGGTATTGCATTTAATTGGTATGTATGTATATATAAGTATTTTATTTACAATGTCGTGAGCCTTAAAGTTGTCCTAAAAACATAAAATCTATTTTTTTTAATATAGTCAATTTTTCTAAATAAAAAATTATATTCAATTTTTTGCGCGAGTCAAATCAATATTTGATATAATTTTATTATTATTATATTTAGTAATTTAGTATAATTTTTCATATATAATATACATACATTTTTATATGTAATAAAATGTACATTTTTACTGTCGAGCATAAATACCGCGCATTTATTAACACGTCATTAAAAATCATTAACAAATTATAGAAAACTAAATATTCTTGCTATTCCCGTTTTATTATAAATTAAACAAGAAAGAAATTTGACAAATTTCCTCTTATACATCGAGATTTGGGCATTTTTTGAAAGAAATACAATTACATTTCACGATAGTCATGAAATATTTTATCGCTATGTATATACGAATCTTTCTTATCGATCATGTACTCTACATCAAGTTCGTAGCAATTAATTGAGAAATTTAAAGAATGAAATTGACATACAATTTCAATGAATTTAAATTTTGCTACAGACACACGCATAAAATTAACATATGTATTTATTGAAGGCAATTAAAGTATATTGTATTGAAAAATATTTTTATCTCGCATCTAATATCATCATATCATATCATTGTGTAGCATTTATATTTGACTTTATGAATAAAATTTTACAGAGTTCGATTCGACCACTATGTATGACAAGAGATGCGTATGAGATGCATAGAGTTTGCGTATTGCAAAAATATCTCCCGCACGCTCGCACATGATAGGTCACGCGTGCACAACGCGCGTGCGTGTATAAAAATCCTGGAGCCGGAGTAATAGGAGTGACGTATTAAGTAAAGTATTAAGATTTCGAGGAGAGGCAAATGTTGACACACGTCGATTAATACTGATCAATTAACAAGCGGACAAGAGACGTACGCAACATTGATGACGATCAAATGTCAGTCAAGGTCAAAGGTCGTTATAGGTAAATTCAAGTGTAAAATATCAAATATTTCTCTCGAAACGGTACGAAATGATATCCATAAAAAGACATGGAATTTTCCCGAGCAGACCAAGACTCACCTGCTTGTGGAAATGTGAATTCGATCGTGTGAGGAAATCGTGCACGTATGTCAATCCACGTACAACTCAGCTGACGGTTGCAGTGCGACTGAGAGGGACTATGCGAGCCGTCGTCGGTTTCAAAGCTTTCTGATTGCGAGTGTATTTGTCACGCGCATGCGCTCTTGCTCTCTCGTTTATGCGGGTACTCAACTTGTATCGGACGAACGTGCGATCAGATGGTCGGTGATTTTGTCTGATCTTAAACCTAAAGTTAAAAAGGAGAATATGTAAATTTCTCATGCAATTTCTCTAGAACTCATTTGAAAAATGAACAATAATAATTATAAAAATTCGAAAAAATGTACAGATACATACGATATGAAACATACACAAATAAAAAAAATAATAAAAAATAAATTTGATATGAGATAAAAACAGATTTGAAATTTAATTTACAATTAATATTTTATTTCGTCCTCATTAATGAATATTATTTCAAGACAATTGCTAATCAGATGGATTAATTATCTCATCACATGATTGGACATGCATATTATATATGTATGAACTAAGCTCAATTAAAAACTGTCTTGTAATACCAAAGTAAATTTTCTTGAATGACATTGTTCTGCAGCACATTCACTTATTACGTTACTGGCATATATCACATGATGAATGAGCCATCTAGGAAAGAGGGCATTGGAGCATCGTTGGGGATGACGACATATCGACCAGTACATGAACAGGCAAGTCCAAGCACAAGAGCTTCGCGCTGAGAACCGCCACTTTAAAGGTCAGTCAAGGGCACCTTGTTCGACATTCATTGAAACTGACGAGTGCATTTTCTAAACATTTTTAAAGATTGATGAATCTGTTGATGTATAACTTAGTATCGTCGGGACGTGCCTTCTTTTTTCATACGTCAAACTGTCATATCGCGTGTGATAAGTCTGTTGATAAAATGAGCTCGATTAGATACTCTTTTTCATCTTATCTGCCAGTAAACTTTAAATGATACAATTTCTTAGGATTATTGCATAATTTTTTCACATCATATTTATTCAATGTATTCGAAATTTTCTTTATATTACTAAATATATGAAAATGTTTATACAAGTTGATAATGTTGAATGCAATAGAGAAGGATAGAAAGATATAAACATGTTTATGCTATTCAATTTTTTTATACGTGTAAAGTTGGATAAAAATGATATTTTGAGTGAAAAATGATAATTTTATAAGCATATTACGCCGTCTTAACGTTATGCGTGCAAAATAGTTTATCATTATTCATAGTCAAACACTGAATATATATGCGTCTCTATGGCAATTGTACAATTTTAGATCACCGAAGATAAAAAAGATGATAAAAGATATGTATCATATTACGTATATAAATGCGTTTCAGTTTTTTATTTAATAGAGAATATACTTTCCGGACGAGAAAAAACGTGAAAAAGCTTAATTATTTATCCCAACAAAAAATATGATGCGGGAAATAGTTTTATCCTTTATCATTTTTTATATAAAAAAATGTGCTTGTAAAATTGTGCTTTGTGTATAATAATAAAAAATAAATCTGTCCTTTATCTTATCTAATTGATTTGATTTTTCTAATGTTCTTACGATCAAATAATTTCGTTGACACTACGAATACACGTATTGTCCTCTCCAAATTGTAACTTTCCTAAAGATGCTTCGGAGCATAACTTGGCTCTTTCGAGAAAGATTGCTTGAGCTTTATTTACATTTTCCGGATTGTTTTTCCAAATTTTCATCGCTAAATTCTACAATAAAACAGATAAGTTTCAAAAATATTAAGTTTTAATATTTCTCAAGATTTAATATAAGTTTATTACAAGATGTTTCAAATTATTTGCGTTCTCTCTGTTGCATAGATATTTTTTTACCGTTTACCATCTTCAATTTTGTCAAAAGAATTTATGACGAAAAATGCTATTAAGTAAATTTAATTATTTAAAAAAACAAATTGAACATGAATTTTGATGCACCTGCAGAGCACGTCCGTAACAGAAACTGAGTCTCCATATTTTCCTATCATCGTGCATATTAATTGCATTAAGATTTAGTACAGATTCTTCATCACTTTGACCACCGCTTAGAAAAAAGATTGCCGGAACCGCTGCGGGAACTGTTCTTCGTAGTGCTTTTAACGTATATTCAGCGACAATCTATAATGCAACTTTTGCGAATATTAATACATCGACAATTTACACAGTATTAATTAAATATATAGAATTTTTAATTAAAAAAGTTTAATTTTAAGTTTAAAAACAATTAATCATTAATTTATATTTATAATAAAGTATTTTAATCAATTTATTATAATTTATATTTTTTAAAGAAATATTAAATAAAAAGATACATGTTTTTAGGAGAAAAAATATCATTGTATGTATGCTTTATCTTATTAAAGTTTATTAAATGACACCTGTGATGTGCATCTTGGATTTTGAATTCCAGACAACACCATTGCTGGTTTCAAAACCATCCCTTCGAGGTACACGCGATGCTCGTTCAGTGTACGGAATAAAATGGACAGCATCTCTTCATGAGCTCGCAGAGCTCGATTTATATCGTATTCGCCGTTGTTCAATATTTCCGGTTCTACTATGGGAACCATTCGCGCGCTCTGACAGATGTTGGCAAACCTGAATAACACGAGATATTCGAAAATACACCGGCAAAAATATGTTACGCATTACACAACGGAAACTTTATGTTGCGCAACAACTGTTTCTCAAACTGTTCTATGCAATTTCCATACGTAAATTGTCGCTTTTACAATTTTATTAAATTTCAAATTTTTATATACAAATTGCACAAAAACATGATCGTATCGTTACAAACGTGAAAAGAGCGATATGTGTATGTAGATTTTATGACATACATGCTTGATGAAATTTATTGCGCAACACAACGCCCACATGAATTTTTACGAGCTTGCCAGTCGTGATATATACATATCAAAGTGAATATCAAAGTGGTCAGACACCTCGCGAGGACGTTTGCATTGGTGTTCATCGCCAATTGACTGGGACATCGTTCCGAAATTGAAAAAACGCATCTCCACTTGGCGAAATGGCAGCCCTCCTTTTTATAGCGAATACAATTTTCCCATAAGTCATCCAGACCTTGCGTAGTTTTCTCGTCCTCGGTACCAAAGAGCGGAACCAAGCCTCGATCGACCTTGACTCCGGCTACAATGTTCTTTTGACGCAATAACTCTGCAAATTCCACGTCTTTTGACGTTTTCTGATAGATTGTTTCATGATGCAGAATCACGCCACTTATATATTGAGAGAGCTGAGACTAAAACATCGAAAGCATACGAGGTTACAAATATTATAATTTTATAAATGTTATACTATATTAAAATTGTATATTAATTTAGAGAGAAATATAATTAATAATAAATTTAATAATAAATAAATATATATATATTCGTTAATATTATTTATATATAGTTCAAGAGGATATATATTTACACACTCCTGGGTAATAAACACGTTTTTTATAATAAAAATTAATTAATTATATAACAAATTTATACATATTAATATTTAAAAAGAAATTGATTAATTTTTATATATTTAATTATTTTATGCTTATGTTGTCATAATATTTGTCGAGAATAAATTTTTCAAATGCGTTAATTTATTAATTATTGTTCGCTATATTCCTAAATACTACTATGATTGAAGCTATTTAGAATCTATTGCGTCATGTTTTTCTCCTGTGCAATAAGACTTTGACCGTCGTTGTTTGTAGCGACCTTATCCGAGGACAGCAACATTTCTCGATAAGCACATCTTGTGATTTCGGTGTTTTCTATACCGAGATCTTGAAACCTCTGACCCAGATTTGTAGGTGACTCGTCGCAAGCTAACAATCCTCTTCCAGATATGACAATCGCCTCGATGATTTTTTGTAATTCCAAAGAGAGAGCAGGATCGAGTTCGGTACATTTTGTGGATAATGAAATCTGTAAACATGTTACAAAGATCGATGTAAAAATTTTCACTAAAACATGTATTTAGAGATAATAAATTAACAACTGTTAATTAAGCAATTCTTTAAATTTTACAATTAGTTTAGTAAATTTAACATATTTTTGATCTTAACAACAGTTGGAATACATATTGGAAAGCGTATTAAACTAAAGATATTTTTTTTATTATAAATGATCTCTCTCTCTCTCTCTCTCTCTCTCTCTCTCTCTCTCTCTCTCCCTCTTCCTTTGACACGAATGATTGACGTCAAATATTTAAATATCGGAAAATAGATATTTGCATAAATTTTAATGACAATGATTTTAATGAAATTTATCGATAACCCAAAGACACATTTTGCAGTTAATTAGCAATATTAGCAATATTGAGATATCGTTCAAAGAGTGGAAGGATATTTGTAAATATACCGATTATAAATTTGTCTTGCGAAATCAAATTAAATCTTTCAACACACGATTACATTTTGTGTTTGAGAAGTTCGTTTTATTACGCGATCGAATTTAACGTACATAAAATATTTAATATAAAGAAAATAGAGAGAGAGAGAGAGGGAGACTGCTCTTATTAATTATCTTTATATATTAATAAGGAAACGTAACATCTTTTTTATACCAATTGCCGAGTATTTGTATATAAATAATAATATAAAAATGTGTTTCTTTTCTATATTGTCAAATATAATGCATGATAATTAACAATAATAAAGCAACGATTTACATATACGTAATAACGATGAAAGGTTACTTTGTCTTTGCAGCAACATTTTGGTTCCAATTGCGCCATTTTTTAACGTCGACGAAGAGCACACAATATATATACATATATATATATATATATATATATATATATATATATATGACAAAAAAATTTATATATACATATATATGTACTTTTTTAAAAATTTATTCAATCAATGTATTATATCATTTACATACTAATTAATATGTGATTGTATAAACACTTACTACAGAGATTTGTATCAAGCATAAGCCAAATGTGCATTTATTGCGGCATAATCGATATTTTTTAGAAATCGAAGCGAGCGACGAAATCGAAAGTATAAAAATTATCGATTATACCTACCTTATCCGATTAGGCTTTTCTGCCCCTCTTTTCCTTCTCCGAATCTATTTTCAATTAAATTTAACATAGTTTGAAATATAAAATTCTTCTCAAGCGCGTGTATAATTCCAACTTCTGACACATATATTATATGTAACATGCACGCATCCATCGCGAAAAATAGGTTATGCTACATCGAATGCAGATTGTGTGAGATATTACTATTAATTGGTAAAACAGTGTACGACCTTATCATTAATTGGCAATACAGATGTGTGACATTATCGACATTAGGAAATTCATCTATCGCATTGGTCGTGATATATCTTGGAGTCGAATTTCATTCGGCTATCTAGTAAATTTGCTCACTTTTATAATTTTCACTCAATAGTGTGATCGACGAATCGACCCCATTTGTTTGGCCGGTCGTTTGCATATGTTCGCATACCGTGATATCAAGCGGGCAAGCGGGCTATCCAGGTCTTTCACGACGATTCGCAGACTGCGGTGGGTGTGCGGCGTGCGGTGTGCGCTGTTCTTGCTTTTCGAAACGAAGGTATAAAAAGTGATTAGAAATTGATGAAATAAGTAAATGTTTAGCGCGTTTTTGCAAATTATCAATTTTTCAATCGACAAATTGGAAGGAGCGAGGCGAGAATATATCTCGCGTTTCATGCGACAATTTTGCACGATGATTGTGATCGACGGAAAGAGAGAAAGCGAGAGTTAGGTTAGATTTTGCTTCCGTAACGGTATTGTAGTAGGTAGGTAAAGGTAAACATCCCATCACTGAAATTCTCCGTAAAAGTTGGCCAATTTTTTGCGATTTGTGTAAAGATGCATGTTTTTCAAGTCACAATTATGTTTCATTGTTGGTAATGAACATGAGATATTGCTACAGAAAATGTAGTAATTTTATCAATCATTGTCATGTAAAATTTTTAATTATGCGAAATATTTACAATATTTATTTGTAATACCTTAATTGAATGAAACTGACTTTAAACCAAGTTTTTCTTGTTGGTAGATTGTACGGTAATAATGAATAATCCAGAGAAACCTGCCGAGCTCGTAGAGTCATCTGTCAAAGCTACAAAGGGCAAGCTGAAGAGACGATCAGCTTCTTCTTCCAGTACCGACTCTGAGAAAAATAAGAAGAGACGAAACATATGCAGTAAGGACAAGAGGAAAAAGTCAAAGCGTAGAAGTAGTTCCAATAGTTCCAGTTCTTCTAGCGCTTCGAGTCCAGAGAGAAGTGTACATAAAGAAAGAAGGGATAAAGATGAGGATATGGAGTACAAAACTAAAAGATACGAAAATGGTATGGATTCGCAGAGAAGATTTGGTGGCAAGTATGGTAATAATCAGAGATGGTATAACAAGAGACGGTATAACAATCACGTTCCGTATAATCAAAAAGATTATGGTTATTTTAATTCACGCCCTTATAGGCGTCAGAATTATTATGATAGAAATAGAAGGGACACGTATAACAATTATTATAATAGACACAACAACAGAAATTACGAAAGAACATCTAGTTACGGCAGATCAAGATTACAAGATTATTATAAAAGTACCGGTAGAAATGCAACTAGTCAGTCTGTACGAGAAGACAGTTCAAAAGAGCGAATGAATCAATCGAGAGCTACCTTAATGACGGAAAGTCTCGATTCGATAAAAGATAATACGGAAATAATTGAACAAGCGAAAGAAAGAGAAAAGAAAAAAGGAATTTCGCGCGACAAGAGTCAGCCAAGTCGTAAAAAATTGAAAAGAAAGAGATCTTTGTCTACTTCTAGCTCCTCCAGTATCAGTAGTAGTAGTAGCAGTAGTAGCAACAGTAGCAGTAGCAGCTCCAGTAGCAGCAGCAGCAGCAGCGGCGGCGGCGGCGACATTACTGGCAGTAGTAGCAGCAGCAGTACCGATAGCTCGGAAGATGAAAGAAAGCAAAAGAAAGCTAAGAAGAAAGCTAAAAAATTAAAGAAGGCTATGAAAAAGCGGAAGAAGAAACGGATGAAGAAGAAATTAAAGAAGAAGCTGAAAAAATCTACATCTAAGAAAAAGGGACATAGTAAGAAAAAATCTAAAGAGAATAAAGAGATTCAAGGATCCGGTAAAAGGGAGAGTACAAAGGAAGTTGTACCCGAAGTAATGGAAAAAGCAAAGGCTATGGCGCCTATGACAAAGGAGGAATGGGAAAAGAGGCAGAATATGATTCGCAGAATTTATGACCAAGAAACTGGAAGATACAGGTGAATATATTGTAAAGTAATATAGGACAAGATAATGAAACTAATATAAAAATTTTATAATTTTTTTTTTATCTCGATCTCTAGCATTATATTTTCTTTTACGTTTTATATATGTCTACTAAAATTAATTATCTTTTGATAAAGATTAATCAAAGGGGATGGAGAAGTGTTGGAGGAAATTGTTAGCCGGGATCGTCATAAGGAAATTAACAAACAAGCAACCAAAGGAGACGGCGAGTACTTTCAAGCACACTTAAAGATGAAGGCTCTGTGAGGTACTTTTTTCATGTAATTAATCATAATTGGAACTTTTACTTAAGTTATATATGTATATAACTTCTCTTTATCTCATACAAACAATGATGATATTACATATTTATATTGTATTGCGCCGTTATAAATGCATTTATCTGTGGACATATATATTATAATTATAATTATACATTATAATTATATTTCGCATGCAGGAGAAATAAAATTAAATTTAGGTTTTTTTTTACAACATGGTTAAAAATGTTATGATATATTGAAAGTAAAAATAAAAAAACTATTGTGTATAATTTCAATCTTATTATCAAATCTCATTATATTGAGATGGAGATGAAAATTGAATTAAATTTATTCACATATGCACCAGCAAATTATTATTATAATAAAATATTATCTATGCGCGCGTGTGTAGCATTGACAGATAAATGTTCACTTGTTGATAATTCTTTTGCATATTATTCAGTAACGGTATAATTCATCGTTAACATATTTTGATTATGCTGATAACGATCCGAACTATAAACTATTTATTTATAAATAGTGTGATTTGTATCCTAATCGTTTCGCAAAATGTCTCACGTACTTTAATAATTGCTTTTTAAAATGTCTCCCGTACTTTAATATTTGCTTTTTAAAATGAATTTCGATATTTTTAATTTGGCAATAGTAATGGAAATGTATAGTAAAACAAAAATTTCATCACACTCAAATTTAAACTCTTATTAGATAATCACAAGTTTTCAATGTTTAATAGATAATAGTCTTTTTTTATTTTCTTAAAAGCAAATTTTTTAAATTCTTGATATTTTAATAATTTTAAATTTATATAATTTAAAATTACACAAATTCAATGTAATCACCTGCAAATATAATATTCTATTTTTTATTAACATAATTTTATATGAAATCATTATATTTAATATAAAAAATATAAAAATTCTCACTTTTTACATTAATTTAACAGATTATATTTGAATAGCATTACTTTTCTTAGACAAATCAAGAGATGCACAGAAAACATATAAATAAAATTATATTAAAATTATATTAATTATATCATATTATAAGATCATTCTTTTCGTTCAAATTTTGACTGCGTTTATCTTAGGAATATTCTGCTGTTATATTTTACATTAATGATGTCTTTTCCAATCCTCACATTCGTCTTAGGAATGGATGCTACAATTTTCTCGTCACATTATTATCGATAAATTTCCGGTACACCGCTCTTTTTATTATTTCAAATTTTTATCTTATATATATATATATATATATATATATATATATATATATATGTATATATATATACACATACATTTATTTTTCTGATGGTACTTTAATTAAAACAATTTGAAAGATTATGTAATTATATGTAAGATTCTTACATAACATTTGCTTCTTTCTCATTCTTGTAGAAGAAAATTATCCGGATTTCTTTAATTACCAATTTTAACTCGCAAAACTTTGCAAAACTTGGAGAAGCAGGATGCGCTGCTCGATGAATGCATGTCACGCGGCATTGGAATTGTAATAGTGGATTCGTTCGCTGCGTGAGAGATACGCATACCAGTAGAAGACATTGATGGCTAGAAAAAAGAGAGGAAATACCACGCGACTGGCGCGGTCAATCTTCGATACTGAGTTATATCTGGGCGTTCTCCGGCGTCGTCTTCTAGAGGTGGACAATGTTGTCCGTCTGGAAGATAGCGAAGGTGGTGGTGGCGGTGGCGGCGGTGGCGGGGGCGTCGGCGTTGTCGCCGTCGTCTGTCGCGACGATGGACTACATGTTACGCAAGATATCTGCCAATGACCAGCCACCGCGGGATCTTTATCGGGATGTATCGAGATCGCCGATAACGGTATCACTTCTACCATTCTGTCGCTGTTTATCGTAAAGTTGTCACGATTATCGTGCCCTCGAGCGCCGGAACTTTTCCGACGCGCCTGAAACAATTCTCGCGTGAGCGAAATGCGTTTATATGAATGATTTTAAATTATATTCTCTGTCTCTTAAAAGCGAAAAAAAGAATGTTCTATATATATATATATATATATATATATATATATATATATAATATCTATATATAATATCTATATATATATATCTATATAATCTATATATATATATAAAATTTATTCTATATTTAATTCTATACTATATGTGTGTGTAGTGCGCGCGCGAGAATTAAATATAGAATAAATTTTAAAGTATGTAAAATAAAATTAAAAATTTAAATTTTTTAATTTAAATAAAAAATTTAAATTCAAATGTTTAAATTTAAATTTAAATTTTTAAATTTAAATTTCAAATTTTAAATTTTAATTCTAAATTTTAATTTTAATTTTAAAAAATTTAAAAAAAAGAAACGTCAAATAGACTATAAATGACGATTTTTTTAAACATAAAAGTGGCTATAACTTGGAAATGACTTATTTCCGGATCTATATTTATACAGCTTTTTTTCCTTCTTTTTGGGTCCCGAATCATTTCCGAAGTACTGCGGGAGATTTTCCAGATATATATATATATATATATATATATACATATATATACATATATACATATATATATATGGAATATGTTGAGAGACAAAATTGAACAAATGTAAAAATGTTTTGTAATTAATTTTTTGCTCACTTTTCCGTCTACGTCTTCTTCCCCGCTCGAACTTTCAGTGTCGCTTAGATCAGAACTGAAATAACATTCACCCGATCCGTACTTGGTAAAGTAGTGTACGACCGCAAACTGTATTATGGTAGCAAAAATGAATGCAAATGATAGAAAGACGAAAAAGTCCAGGGCAGTTGGGTAAGGGACCTTTGGCAAATCAGTTCTTGCTTCGAGTCCTAAGAATGTCATCGTCAATACGGTAGTTATGCCTGAAACAAGATGTAACGAATGACAATGGAACGAAATCTTTAAAGAGTCAAATTTGCTCGAAAGAATTTAAATGTGAGTAATGAAAAAATAATTATTTGATTAGACATAATTCTTTAATTAATAAAATCTCCCAGTAATTTACTCTGCAAAGAAAGTCGTTATTCTATTCTCTTCCGATTCTTTAATTCAATAAACTATGTATGTAGGTATTTCATTTTTGATATTCGACGTAGGAAAACCACAAGCTTAACGATGCCAGAAATTGTTAGCGCATTTACGGTACGTTGAGAAAGCGTTGCATATTAAATTATGCGGTTTGCGCGCTCTTTCGCTTGCGGTTAATGTAGATTCCTTTTGATACATTTTGTTTCGCACCGCACTATATCTTCCTATAAGTATTTACGGTACACTTGTAACTTGTCTCGTGAATATATGCCAAAACGACATCAAGGGATACATGTTACAACGATACAAGTCTCAAAGAACGCTTAAATTATTAATACCAATGAGTAGCGATTCTCACCCAACGACACTCGATCGGCGGTGGCTTCTCTGTTTAACCAGAAGGAAACCCAAGACAGGACGACCAGCAGGACGCAAGGACCGTATACTTGTATTAGAAAGTTACCCATGTGTCTTTGCAAGTGGAAGTATACCAGAAGCATCGAATAATTCGCTAAAATATATTTTAACGTGTGTTATTGAGAGAAAGAAAGAAAGAAAGAGAGAGAGAATAATGTAGTCAAATATTAAAAATTTTAGAAATAATCACTTTTAATCGACAAAAAGCTCGAGAAATTTAAGTGTTATAATTGATTCGAATGATTTTTATCATGTAATTTTTGTACATGAACCAATACAAATTCTCCGACATGAGCCAACACAAATACACAAATTTCTCTCTCTCTGTCTTTCTGTGTCCAAAATATAATTTTCATTATTTCTCTCAACGAAATATCATATCTAAATATAATGTATTATTACTATACAATTTATTATTATAGATAATAAAATTGTTATACAGATTTCTTCATATAAATTAAATTTGATGATTTTAAGCAGATTTCCTCTGTAAGTGTGCAATCGAATCAGGAAGTAATAGGAGCCAAATCGATTGTTTGCCGTTTACTAATTGATAATAATCCAATTAAAATTTGCAGCCGAATCTTCTAGAATGCTTGCTTGTGTAAAAGTCAAGAGAGAAAAAAAGAGAGAGACAGAGAGAAAGAGAAAAGACGAGAGCCGTCTTTAAGAGAAGACTGCAATTAATCGTCGCTTTTACACGCCGACTTTCGACGCTACTTTTCCTCATCCTCTGTGTTCCTTTCGTCGTCCTCGATATTCGACGGCAAAGTGCACGGAGTACTTTTTCCTCGCGACCGAATTTCTTACAGAAATTCCAATTTGCGGCTCTTTAAACCTATTTATTAATTTATATGAACCACTTGCTCATCTTGTCAAAGTTTTATTTTTATCAATTTTTACGGAATTATTTTTTCATTCCAAGATATTACTATCATTGCATCAACTTTTTGTTTGTTTGTTTTTTATTTTTGCAAGAAGAAATATCGCTAAATCGGATATTCTTGATGCGCGAGGTTTCACTTACCATGCGAGAATCCCGGTGCAGTGGAGTGATTCGCGGTCGGATTGGCGACCAGATCAAATTGCGACAGTTTCATGTCCTCCGCTATAGCGACCTGTCTCGCGCTGTTCCACTTGTAGATTACATCGCGTGTCGTGTAGCCAACTATAAACGGATTAATTTCACACTGCCAAAAGGATTAACGTGTCGATCTAACAATAGTTGACAATCGAAATCTGCCTGTATCTCATCTTTCTGACCATTTAAATACATACGATAATCGTGGGAAAAGACGCGATGTAAACAAATAAATTTGACACGGCAATAATTAAAATTAATTAAGCTTTATAAATTTATATATTTGATGTGTTATTTTAATACATGTACGTATGTATATCGATTCACATATGCATATCCGATATATGTATAATGTATATCTAATAATGCATTTCTAAATTTGTAATCCTTTATTTTAATGGATTAAATTGATAATACAAGAAATTACGCCGCACAATATTTTTATAGGATTTTACAAATCATCGAGCGACGAATAAATATGACTCCCGTTACCTCGTCGTCGTGATTTTACAATGGATCGACAGAAATACGTATGTCGCGAATATGGAGAAAAAATGAAAAAGAAAAGGACAAATGACATCTTCGAGGATCAATGGAATAAATAAATTCTTAGTAAACTTACAACTGCCGAATTGCAATGGACATCTCTGTATATCCATCGGAAAATCTTCGAGATTCATCGGACATCCCGCTTTGATGGTAAGTCTGAAATAATACAAGAAATTCAACACGTGTCAATGTATAATTTTAACATATATAACACACACCCACATACAATTTCAATCGTTCTTAATTAAAAAATTGTCGATATATCCCAAGATTAAAACAAATTATTTTAGTTTAATCGCTAGTAATTGCAGTATTCAATAATGATAACAATTCTGAAATGTACTTTGCACGCTAAACGAAAAGGATCCGCAAAATTCTCGCTTCTCATCGGGCGATATTTGCGAAATCGATAAAATGTTTCTCTCAAACGCAAACGCATATGAGAGTAGTAATGCAAATCTATTCGAGTTTGATCGAGTTATCGCACTGTGCGTGATTTAACTCTGTCGAGGAAGTTAGGACCGAAGGATGAGATGATCCGTGGCTAATCGGATCCATCACCCCTAGTACTCTGCGGCTCGTTCGATCGCTCAATTTGTGGGAGCCATAGGTTCCTGCACAGCTTTCCTGCATCTCAGCATATGCATCGTGAGTCTGACACGCGATTGCCTTCGTCGATTTCTCTGTCAATTTCCGAGGACTTTATTGCAGTTTACTGTAAATTTACGACAGTATTCTCTTACAGATACAGTTTTTTTTTTCAAATTTTAACAAATCTGCATAAAGATAAAAATAAATTTGATGAAATCAAATTGTTTCCTTTGTTCGATATATTATATGATACGCGTAAATATTATCAATGTTTTAAATAATCTATAATATATCAGATTATTTGAAAATACACATTAAAAATATAATTGACATATATATGTAAATATTGCGATTTAATATTGAGATTTAAAATAAATGATTTTTTGATATATAGTAGGGAAAAAATACTAATAGGGAATAAAAAGTTTTAAAATATAAATCAACAATTATACATATTTCTAATAATTTTTAAGTATCATATGGAGAGAATATACTATATATAAATAAACATTTTTCTTAATTATGCACCTTTGTCTTCGACAAGTTAAAAGGAGAAAGTTTATGTATTATGTATTACGTTTCAAAAATAATTATATCCGTATGTATCATTAAGAAGATGAACAGGTTGCAAAAATTGATACAAGAATATAGATAATGAGTAATGGCTTATAACAATACAAGAGAGAAAATGAGAATTTTCATATCTCGCACAAAATAGAGTTTCAAATCTTTCTCACAAAATATGTACATATTTCTCTCACGTATCTCGGCGACATACTTCAAGATTGGCCACGTTTTATGCCCGAAGATGGGACTCGGGCAATTTGCCTCGAACGATTTTCAGTTTCAGTATGTCGCGACTGCTTTTTATCCCTGGTAAGGCCGGATCCGGCAACAAAACCGTTAGGACGGTTACCGAAGGAAGGATACCGATTATTGGGACATGAAAGTTGGAATGCATAAAATACGAGCAAATGCGGCTGCGTATTTTAAATCAGTTTCCGATTATATTCGACGTCAAGGTAAACGAAAAGCGCTTATTGAAGCGCTTGGCGACACGTGTCGACCAATTGATATTGATCGAGGAAAATACTGTTTCGATTGTGCGAAATAAATGCGCCTTCAAAGAAATGCCACTTTGTTTCCTGTATGTCAGTTCATTTGAAAATATCAATCATTCACGTTCAATTTTGATCATATCGCACATTAAACTTCCTAAACTAACATAGGACAGATGGCTGCTTTCACGCGTGAGTCTACAATTTATTACAATTGATGTATCCTTTTCTATTTCTCTCTCATTCTTTTTTCCAAAAACTTTGTGATGAGAGAAAATAAAAGCAAAAATGTTATTCTTTTATAATGACAAGTTTCCTCTGTCTCATGAATAACGATGAGTGCGGCGGAAGAAGCATGAGATGAAACAAAGTCGAATGAGATGAGATTAAAAGAAGGAAAAGAGGCTGTAAGGGAACGCGAGAAAAGAATTAACCGAGCGGCGAGAGAGAAGTTAAACGGTCCAAAAAATAAATAATTCACGGCGATTTTAAAGGCTGTATCGTTGGAGTAGAATTGTTTAATTTGTATTGTTTATTTGCATGAAATATATAAATTATTTGTGCGTTATAATTTACGCGACATGAGAGACATCGGATCTCAAGGAGTTAAATCATTGATGAGTGATTTTTATCTCGTCATTCGCGCGCAATCTCCAATGTCTGATGAAAATTTTTTCAATTTTAAATTTCACTTGGATGAGAGACGTGTATATGTTAAGATATGCACACTGATGATATTAAAAACTCATAGAATACGTATGCTAATTAAGCATATTATTTTTATGCAAATAAGTGATCTTGTCGACATGTTAAGGTCATCCTAACGGATGTAGTGCCACAGCCATCGTATTTTCTCTTTTTCCATTAATTTTTGACCGTCTTCATCCCGTTTTGCAAATAAATTTTACAATTAATACGTATCCATACTCGTTGCCAGCGATGATGTAAAAAAATGAAACATATATAGATTATCAACGATTGTAATTGATACAAAAATATATTACATTTATAAGAAGAGATACATAAGAAAGTTTTACAGTATTCTCTAATTTTATAAATTAATTATTGAAATGAAAATAATAGAATTGCACGGTAGGCTTTGACTCTACAAGAGGTAGAACAAGTTTAATTTAATTTTTTAATGTTGCGAATTCTCACGTGGTCACACGTGGTCTACCCCGTTATACGTCTAAAAGCTCTTGTAAAAGCTTTGCTTCCTCCATCCGTTTACCATGTCAGACAAGTCCAGCTGACAAAATTCAACAGATCCAAGAGGAAATCTACTAATCGGCAGAAAGAGAGAGAGAGAGAAAGAGAGGGAGTGGGAAGGACGGAGGGGAAGGGAGAAGGATATATATATATATATATATATATATATATATATTTTCTGCTCTAGCATAGTGTACACTTTACGCTTGACATATTCCCACGAAATTGAAGACTATATATATCGTTCTCTCTCTTGTAAATGCAACGGGTTACTTCAACAACTGGTCGTCCTTTCGTTCATGCGTGCATCGCAACTTGTCCTCAATGCTCGTTTTCACTACAGTAATCCATCTTTTCTCGATCGCCTTAGTTTGCTTTCTCTCTATCTGTGTTTATTTCATCGGTTATTACTGTTATTAGTACGCGGTGCTCTATATTTGCTTCCTCTCATGCTTCCGCTATGATGACGGTGGGCTTGATTAGTGCCGATTAACAGCGCAATCTCGCATCACTATTGGTAAAATTGAATTCTACAAAACTGTCTTCAACATGAATTAAAGAGAACAACTCTCTCTGCTATATATTATAATTATATAATGTATGCTCCGTTTCATATTTCGAATTTTTAGCTCGTTTGGATTTTTCTTACGTTCACACTTTTAAATGTCAAATGTTATTTATATAAATGCGCGAAAGATACAGTTTTCACATGAACTGATCAATTCTACTTTTTGTAAATTTATTAATTTTAGAATTATAGAACATGTTATTGCATTTTTATTAAAATAAAAAAATTTACAAAAATAGATTTATGATCAGTTTGGCTTTTGTGTGAGAAACTCATATAGCGATTCAAATTGTTCACAATTCTCTCTTTTCATTACTTAAAAAAAATGTAATTAAGAATCGAAATTCTGCATAAAAGATTTGAAATGCACTATTGATCGAAAAGGAGGAAATGTATATCTTGAAGAATGAGAAAATCCTGATCAATCTGATATTATTTTCGGTTGCACATTAATCGCGAAATTTCGTTAAATAGGTGGCAGTTTGCGACGGCATTAATTTAGATGCAAATTTCACAATGATGCGAGATTGCTCTTGATTCTCCGCAACAACATTAGTACTCACGGTACAGAATTTCTAATTTTTCATCGCTAGAATGCGAAACTTAGTCAACTTTGGCATTTTAAACGTGTACCGTATGAAAACGAGAATTTATTCTTTTTTTTTCATTATGCTTCGTACGATGGAGAACGCGAAATGAAAAAGATAAAATCAACGCGATTGCTACGATTTAATAACTAAATACTACTAGTAAATATTGACATACAGAGAAAATGTGATTATTTATTATTGGTACGCTATTAATACAATTATATTCGATGGAAAAAATTTTTCTCTTTCTTTTCTTTAAAATTTAAATAATAATAATTTTTATATAAAAATTTAATTTAAGAATTGTCTCTTCTTTTCACACGCGTACATGCTTGTTATATATAATTTTACATTACATAGAATAATAAATTTTTATATCAATAAACTAGTTATTATAATTATTATAATATATATATATATATATATATATATATATATAATATATTATAATTAATTAATTATAATAAACCATTTATTTATCTACTGCATGACCCGAACATATCATCTAAATTATAGTAATAAATCGACATAATTTAAATAAAAGATTGTATTTTTGTAAATTCTATATCGACTTTTGATCAACATCAATCCACGAATCTCGGAAATGTTGAATTCAACCAAGTTCCGCAAGCGCTCTCTTTTTCTTTCTCTGGTTTAGATGAGTCTCGATGGCTGGATAAAAGGCAGTGGCAGCTAATAAAGTGTCGAGTAAATAACACCACGGACGTGATCACGACATTTTCCAGTACGAATGGGTCCGGTCGGTCAGAGGAAGGTACGGGAACCTCCTTTTTCAAAGAAGGAGAGATGAGGCAGCGATTGCAGAAAAGTTCCCCGCTCTCTTCGATGAAAGGTTTCCGTGTAATTATATCTGCAGATGTTCCCCATTTTATATCTAATATTAATCAAATAATAATTTTCCCTAAAAATTGTAGTAGAAATTCATAAAAATTCACTTGAGAGAAATATATATCCTATCTTAAACTGAAAAAAAAAAACTATAATAGAAAGTAGTTTTGACATAAAACAAAATTAAAGTAGATGGAAAAGGAATCTTATATCTTGTTACAATTATTATTTCCCAACATTTATTATATATTTAAATGTACAAGAATAATTGTAAATATAATATGACAAAAAAATTGCAGCGTGATAATTAGAATCCTTTTTTCAACAAATTGGAAACGCAATGTGTGCTGAAAGTTGTTCGAACGGAAAGATTGGCATATCCGATAATTATGAATTTCTCGGAAAATATGCGGCTGCATATATACATCCATATTATTCCAATAATAACATCCCGTATTTAAAACAATATTATGACATTACGATGCATTAACATACCGCAGAAAACACACGAAATCTCGGGAAAAATGGAAAGTGCAAAATATTATTTTTTTCCACAAGCTTATTTTGATCAGTCTCTTCTTCCCAGTCCTATATACAAATATTACAGTCGGTGAAATTAATAGTTGTACTATATAAGTATGTAATGTCAGAGAATCATATATTTTTTAGCACAATAGCTAGCAAATAAATAATATCAATAATAAATGTTTAAAAAAGAGATAAATATTTAAAAATAAAGATAATTCGAATAAAAATCAATATCCAATTGAAAATTTTATCAAATTGAAACAATAAATACAGACAAAATAAATGAAGAAAAATTTCAGAAAAATCTATGTATTATAAACAAAAAAATATGTATATTAATTGGACTACAGTCTATTTAAGATAGCTCCAATACTAACATTCTAAATGTGAGCATTATCCCCGAAACACATGTTACATGTTTTCTTATTTAAATTTCCAAAAGACTTGAATGGCTCAAAAAGTCCAAGTATTGGATAGCTCGGGTACTTTGGGATCGCTAAACTCATATTCACTAGTCAAGAGTATGCCTCTCATGCAGAAAGAAGAAAGGAAATAAAGGGATGAGGTATATAACATGCGGGATATTTCAGTTTGTCACTCATATGTTCCTGCCTCCCGTTCGAGTCGCACTTTATCGAGAGTTTGGTTTGTGTTATTACACAAACCAAATACAAATATATGGAAATGGAGGGAAAAGGGGAGGGAAAGAGTGCTGCTGAATCAAGCGATAAACCAAGTTTCCTCTTTGTTAATCCGTTCCCTTTCTCTTGACCTAGTCTTTCGGATCGGCCCCATTGTATGTCCATGACAGAATTAACCCTCGAGTTCGAGATGTTTCAGAACTTGCACATGTCACGTCGCTGAGAAAAGATTTGCAAAGATTCGGCCGAGTATGCACCGAATCATGTACTTGCTGCGATCCTATCTATGTAATCTTATCGCTTTATTCAGAAAGCGAGATATTACACGTTATTAATAAACGTCAATTTCCCTTGTTTTATCGATTCGTAATCTTTAAACCAATTTCTCTTGATTTTGTACAATTTTATATGTATAAGAACCAAAAATTTGTTTACAATTAATAGAGCATTTGGTTATATCACATTCTCGAATAATGTAGAGACATTTAGCGAGAAGAAAAAATGTGACAAGGGGAGAAGGAGATATTCTTTATAAGCAGCTATGACAATAATAAGAGATGAAACCAGACAAAATCCAGGTCATAAATTTTGCGACGCTTTTGCAATCAATCTTGAGAGAGAATTGTGCTCGTAACAATCGTCTAATACGATGACAGAGACTAATTTTTTTCTCGTAATGGCATAATAACACATTCGATGCAAACTATGATGAAATATGGAAGATACATAAAGGCTCTTTTTATACCGAGATCGTTGATATAATAAACGATGATTAAAATAAAACAAAATATATTTACAAATAAATATATATAAACAGTAACAAATCCAAGGATTATTCGTTGTTCTTGCGCATGTTTTATCATATATTAAGACTGCGAGAAATTTTTCTCTCGTACGACAATCTATTTTTTGCATAAAAGACAAGATTTATAGAAAAGTCGCCCATCCTTTTTAGTGGAGATTACGATAACATTCGAGATATTAATCGCGATCATGCATACCTTGAGCTGTAAAGTACTCTGCCATCCTGATAAAGCCTGACGAACTTATTCGGGCTGGTGATCGTATGCAAATAACTGTGCTTGCCATTGTAGAAGTACGTGTCGGGTTTCCAGATCTTTGCCAACATAGAAATGCTCAACGCGAGCGTTTCCTTACCACCCTGAAAGGCTAAACGTCTATCGACCCATGATTGTCGAAAATAACAATCCATTGAATACGTCTGTGAAAAATTTCAAAATTCGATAAAATTATTTCGGTGTGCATTTTATCGATATCGTGAATATTTTGGATCTCTTTTTTTATTTATTCTCTATATTTCATGTCAATTATTGTTACATAATTTTCTTTTTTATTAATCGAGTATTATTTCCAAATTGTTCCAAATTTTTAAATAACAAAGATACTTTTTCTTTTTTTCGCGTCAATGTGACAAGTGGTTAAATTTTTATCATGTATATTTAAAAGCATATTAAAGCATATATTACCGATGAAATGTTATCCTTGCAATTATAATATTTTTATATGAAATAAATAAAGTTCAGGAAATCGATCATGCGAATTTTGCTACTAGAAGAAGAAAGTCTAGAAGAGAAGAAAAATATTTACACAAAAACTTTAGTAAATTTATCTTTACGTGATTTGTCAAGCGATACAATAAGACGTGACTTTATTAACTCCTTCACGCGCGTATTATTGACACAAGACTTGAAACGATAAAAATGAAATAATCGGATAAATTGAAGATAAAAAATTTGATGCGCAAAGATGTATCGGTTTCATATGTACCTGATCGATTTTCTGATTTAGGCAGCACGAGCCTCGAGAGTGTTTGTCTCGCATACGCCGCGCGAGATGAACAAAAACTATGACTGACCATATCCACTTCGGAAATGGGACCCATGCTGCGTACCATGATATCGACCTCAACGGTAGCCGGGGGCCCGCCAAAGTCTGGCCTGATGCTGTTGTCGTAACCGCGAAGCAAATTGTCCAGCAGGTCGCTAATGTTGCTGTGGTTGTTGCTTTGCGTCCGCTGTCTAGCAGTGATTCTCGTACCTGCGGCCATTCTAAAACAAGCGTCATAATTCCATCCTTTAATGCAAAAAAGCAGCTTCGCAGCAAGGTGCTTTCAAAATTTCCGAGCGTCCCTTTTGGACAACTCTTTCGTCATTTGTAAAATATAAGATTAATCGTGGATGTTGATCAATTCGATACGTAAAACTCGAAATTTGGACTCGAAATTTTCGTCGGAGGATGTATTAGGTATGTCTCGCGTATAACAAGCAAATTGATCGATTGATTTGCATCAACGCAACACGTCGGAAGCGGTTTTCGGCTGTAGGGGAGTGCGCGCAACTAGTCGAAATTATCGTGCCCTAAATGCTTGCGTACGTATTCCAGTAATTCTCTTCACACAATTTCGCGCATATACCAATCCATCTACTCATATATGGCCGTATGTGTATACGGCAAATACGTATGGGGTAAGCCACGGTTTATTTTCACTCAACCGCGGCGGCGTTCCGAATCCTTGGTGAATATCTGCAAATATCTCTGTATGCAGCTCGTGCAATTAAAACGTCCGAAATTCACGTGCGGGAGAAAACTAAATTAAACCGGAATCACACTTAAAAAGAGCATTAAACAAAGCCGCTCTCTGCTTTCAATACTCGTCATCGCATGGCCGAATTTAGCTTGTATTGTTCGGTTTTAAATTTTTTAAAGAAAGAGGACTTTTTTGCGCTGACGTGCATTAGTTTAATTATTTAATAATTAGAATACATTTTTAATTATTACATTCTTTGGAATATGAAATTATTCTTTAATATTGGAGGAATTAACTTTAAGAAATGATTCACGTTAATATTAGATAATGAATCGTATATTAAATAATTATTTAATAATTAAACTGCACGTAATAATTTCATAATAATTGCTTACTTATAGTATACTTATAGAATATCGATTATTTATTGACATAATCTAGTCCTCTTTTTGTTCTTGTATGATGTTCGTGTGTGATTATATATGTGATAATTTTCTATTATTTTTTATATGCTTATTAAGAAAAGAATAGAAAGTGTATACATTTAATTATTAAAAATTGGAAGATAATTTTCTAGATTAATTTTGATTTATAAACTTTGACAAATTTTTTACGCATCAAACATGAAAAAACTCCACCCCTTCCATGTGTAATTGTTATACACACGTTAACCACACGTTTGATTCTCACATTATACTGTTACGTTGATAGTCAATGATATTTGCTTTCACGACAGGAATATTACATTAATATCTGTCGTTAATAATTGTAATTAATTGGAGCATCAATCCCGTCGTAATTGAGCGAGGAAAAAAGATCTATACCCGCGACAGTTCGTATTCATGTATTCCATGATCAAATCGTTTAAACGAAAGCGGACTGTTTTCAATGTATGTAAAAATAGTACTTCCAATTATACGAGTCGTGTATTCAACAACGATGAACGAGTATAAGATTTATTTATACGCTAAAGACCGCATCGCCTCTCGTTAAACGAATGCGTAATTAACCGCGTAATTTAGAAATCGTTTCAAACTACCACGCCGTCGAATTCAAATGAAAAAAAATCTCGCTCCAAGCGAATTTTATAATTGGCATCATTGGAATGTATACGATGAAATATAGAAAGATCTACTTCGTAGGTTGAACTTACAAAAAGAATGTGATGAGGTTGGCAAGAGCAAGCAAGACTCTTGGCTTCATAATGTTTCAGGCCGAAATCTTTATTTTCTCCGTATGAAGACTCGCTCATCAATTCGATTTAATGAGAAGATTGTTCGACATTTCGCGCTGCAACAAAAATTATCATATTATTAGTCAAGGTATGTGTTGAAGAAAAAATCTCTCTCTCTCTCTCTCTTTTTCTCTCTTCTATTAATAAATTATTAATAAATTTAAAGATAATTTAAAAGATGCATAGTAATCATAAACTTACTAATGGATGTATTTTTATAGTCTCATTTATCTCTTGTCAATATTGATGAACTATTTAGTAAGTATTTTGAATCGATAATGTAAACAAAGAACCCCGCTTTTCAACATAGTACAGAATAACGTTGCCTTTCGTGAGTTGACTGATGAGAATTAGACTGAGAATTTGATTTTGCTTGTATGAATAACACGGTGATGATGCTCGTGCGCGAAACAAACGTTTCTTCTTTAGGTATAAACGAGGCGGAAAATAACGGTGTGTTTCGAAGCTTAATAATGAAATTATTTTATGTTTCGTGAAACGTAACGTTTTGTTCGATAAGCGTTGATATCGGATTGTCAAGTCTCTTTACAATTAATAACATTGATCGAGTATAGCTTGAAAAAAATAATAATGTATGGCGATTGTAACGATTGTATAGAACATGAGGCGATTATTATTTATGCATGATAATTTGTATGGATTTTAGTTTAAATTTAATTTATATACAAGTAGCTATATTTTTCTCTATATGTTTTTATGTGTTTGCTTATTATTTTTTTATAATATATAATAACTTTAAATGATACAAACTATTGTCTAATTGACATTGCAAAGGGTTTAATTTTTCAGAAATTTTTCAAATTTTTTAAGCATCTTTTGCGCTTTATTGCAATTTTGAGCGTTGACGCGCGATAACGCGTGATAGACGGGTGTCGAATCGGTAAATCCTAGCGGTAAATGCATAAATTCGCCACCTGCACGCCGCGGTACGTACATTCGTCATCTCGAAAATTGTTTGTAGCAAAAGATAGCGACGTTTCAAAGCGAACTACACCGCAATGCAAACAGCTATTCGTACATACGTAAATACGAGAGTGTGCTTTGAAGAATGGGCAACGTCTAGACAGGCCTGATTATCAGCGTCGTGATTATTTGCACACCGTGTACCAGAAGCGAGGATTTTAACTATCCAACGTTGGCTTGGAAAGACTGTTTTATGAGAAAAACAATTTTTTTCACATAGTTTTTTCAAATTATAGTGTATACAATTGTCTTTTAAAAGTATGATATGATAGATGAGAGGCTGATAAAGATGGACGATTGCATTTCTATCATTTGTAATCCTTTTTTAATCCTTGCGAAATAACCGATTGGTTTTAATTCTTGAAGAGTCTTCAAAAAAATTTTTAACATCAATATCCATCTACAATTATAGCAAATTTTTGATAGATATAGCGTGCTTCAGAAATAACAATATAAAGCGACATCACATGTTATTATACATCATTTTCGTTATAATACGAATATATCACGGCGCGTCGTGTGCGCGCAACATATCTCTGTCAGCGGTAGAGAATAGACAAGTCACACGGTGTTTAACGTACGCGTGTACCGAGAAAGGGTAAGCGTTTCCCTAAAGTTTAATTCATAATTCGAGATTTCGGTACCGTGAAAATCTCTGACACTGACGTACAGTCTACATTACAAAAGCAAAATGTGCACGTGTCGATTGTCGCGTTTCCAGTAGATATTTCACAATTACACTATAGAAATCATGTAATCGAATCTAATAATTGAAAGCTTCAAACTCTCACGCCAAATTTTATCAATTTCAATGAATCTCAATCATTGAATTTAAATCGAATGCGCGTATCTCAATCGCTTTTTTAGCTAATCATCGGAATGCTTGGAATTTGCGCATCTAAGAGATGAGCAACTTGGAGATTCCGAAAAGAAAAGCATCGTCAAACAGAGGAAGCGAGTATCGCGCGAAGACAACAGACATTTCGGCGACAACTTCGACATAGATGACGACATGTCCCAACGAAATTTGCCGTGATGTTCGTGAGAGAAAGGTCGGCTCGCATTTATCGACGAATTTATCAAGACCGTTTGTTGCACGAAAAAGAGCGATTGAATGTTTTTTTGGCTTCGAGCATTCGTCAGATAATACGTGCAGGCGTGGCATTGATCTCGAAATTCAAAGCGACATCCAAAATTTGGAGTGTAATTCCGTGATAAATCGATTGGAAACACACAAAAAGAAGTGAATAAATCTACTTATCTTTACAAAGCGTAAATATTTTATATATGTGTATAACTAGAAATAATTTACGATTGTCAAACTGTAATTATATTATAAACATCCATACAATTGATTCCTTGTCGTATGTAATAATTTAAAATTTAGTTGGATCTAAATTCATCACCTAAAAGTGAACATTAGTCAAGCGCATTGTGAACTGCAAAATTTCAAAATGGTTCGACCATCGAATCCTCGACTTATGGCTCGCGTACTGGACGCAGTGATGAACCTCGGCGACACCAAAGGTTCATCGGCTCGCGAAGTTCTCAGCTTTATCCGACAAAGCAACGTGTCGCCCAAGAACCTGACAGTACAGGTTTGTAATATTAATACATTTGTCCGTCTTATTATGATATTTGAATTGTTCTTTTCCGACAATCCACATGTTAATACTGTGATTGCTATGCGAGCTACTCTAAAATGCATCGCATTTTAACATTATTACACTATTAAAGAAAGAAAAAATTCTACTGCAATTAACAATAATATTTCAGGTATAATTTAGATATATTCCTCTCATGATATGCTTGGTGCTGCATTGCAGGTGCATCGAGCTCTAAAACACGCGGTGAACGCCGGACTTTTACGACACAGAAGTGGTCGTTACAAAGCACTGGCTACTCTGAATCCCGCTTCTGGTCCTACTCCGTCTGCCAACAAGGAGTCAACTAATGGCGATCGGAAAACCGAAGAGAAGAAATCGAAATCCGACGTACAAGCGCCGATCGGTGACGCGAAATCCTCTTCTCGTCGAACACAAGAGCACAAGTATATTGCGTATTATCTCTACGATGAAAATGCCTATTTTCTTTCTCGATTTGTGAAAATCTCACAAAGATATTACAAAAGCGATGAGCTTTCTCGTTTGTAATTTTATGACTCGAATTACAATCTATAAGTAAATAAGTAATGTAAAGTAAATAAATTTCTTATAGTCTATCTCTTATGGGATAATTGTAAAATATGGAATTCGAGATAGGACACGATCGGAAATAGGTAGCTGATGATTCTTTATTTAATATTTATGAATAGAAAAAGAACCACGTCACGGCGACAAAATGGCAGACATCGTAGTAAAGCAAGAAGGAGATCGCGACGCTCGCCGTATCCTAGACGGCCCAATACATCTGTTCAGAATCGAAAAGTATATCGATCTACCAGTATTTTAAACAGTTTTGACTATATTATATTCACTAAATATATATTTGTTACACTTTCTCTCTCTCTCTCTCTCTCTCTCTCTCTCTCTCTCTCTCTCTCTCGGTCAGCTTTCCTCTGATATAAATAAATGTTATGGCATTGCTTTATTCATTACACTTTTGAGAGCCAAGTGGAGCTTCAAGTGGAGTGAATTGTAAGATGAATTTTAACAAGAGCCTATTTTTTAGAATAGCGGCAATAATATGAAACTTTAATAATTAATTTATTACGGCAAAAAAGGAATGTAGAATTAAATGATATTTATATCAAATATCGTAATAATTATGATGCATGTATTACATCGCAAAATAAATCATCATTTAACAACAAATTAAAACAATATAGAATAATATAATTATAATAATTATAAAAATTCCTTACGTGTTCAAGAACGAGGATTGGTCGGACAAATCGTTACGATACAGTTCTAATGTTCACAGCGACGACAGCGAAAGCGCCCGTACGAAGACGAGGAGTTTGAGGACCAGTCATCTGGACGGTATATCTTGTACGAAAGGGACGACGAGTCGCCCGTACCATTCAATCGCAAAACGAAACGTTCGAGAGTATCCAAGCGAGAGCTCGAGTCCGACTTTTCCGACGAGAGCGATCCCGAAAGTGATGTGGACCGAAAGCGTGTCTCCCGATGTAATTTATATCGCGGAATTGAGTAGTAGTTTTAGTGATAGATTAAAAATTAAGCGCTCTTCTTTTTCATTCGATAATTTCATCACACGAATTTTATTTATTAAGATGACTTGTGTTTGATTCTTCGACGGTGAAATTTTTAACAATCGCAGCAGCTTCCGAATTTTTATCAGAGATCTCAATTTTTAAGAGATCGATTTGTGTCAATTTGATTCTTGTACATTTCTTTTTTTTTTTATTTTTTATACAAAACAAAATGGAAGACACGATGTGTACAATTTTTGTATTATTACATTTTTAAATTTAAAAGATATAATATCAAGTTTCAGGTGTATATCTGCAAGCTATTAAAAAAATTAATTGTTGCCGAGGAAAATGTAATCTTTCTTTGGCTGAAGATCGGGATAACTTTGCGCGCATGTTACAGTTATATAATTATTATTCGTAATTCGCATGATTGATTTTGATCCTTTTTTCTCCCTCCTTTAATCCATAGATGTCACGGCGAATAAATCGTTGCGTCGAGAACCGAGACGGAAAGAGACGCGGGCAAAATCGAGAGGTAGATCGGCATCGCAAGCTCGTAGTCCGCAGCTGCAACGAACCGTGCAAGCGCGACAGTATCCGATCGAGGAAGTCGGAAACGATAGGCAGCAATGTGACGAGGATCGCGGATCTGTGGAGCGCGGTGCGGCGCGTCAGGAAGCGCACGAGGAGAAAGACATCGAGGAGACTCGCGAGCCGAATGACAGCAACAGCGGCAGCACTCTAGAGGATTTGAGAGACTAAAGGAGAAAATCACATCCTTCCACTATTTTATCCCATGTCTTTTTATTCTATCCCTTTTTCTTTTTTTCTCTTTCTCTCCACTTGCTTCGATATAGTCTCTCCCTATTATCTTTTCGACAACTGTGTACATCGAGCTATTTTATCTTGTATTTTCTTGTACTAAAATATGTCCCGTTTGAAGTGATAAATTTTTGAACGCTTTAATCGTGTAAAAACAACTTGAAATATATATCCATGTGTGTTTTGCTAGAGAAAGAGTTTTATACATTATATAAAGTGTCCCACTTTTACACACACAAATGTTATTCTTTAACATCATATTTTTCAACCAATTTCAAATTGATTTTATTTTGACTAGAACATTAAAGCAAGTCAAAGCATTTAACTTTTGATTTTGCAGTTCTAAATTATATAAATATTTGGATATACATTATCAAATCTCTATATATTAGGGACGGTCATTGTATGTAGTTTATGATGCTTGACTCTCCAATAAATTAATAATGTGTTATTAATTACGATTTAAGAGAACAATAATTGTAATGGTTGACACTTATATGTCGAATCGCCCTTAGTTACGCGTCTGTTACTGCTAATGCAACAATTTACATTTACTCATACTCTGAAATTACCTATTATCATATCAAAAATATGGACTCGAGATATATTTTCAACAAAAGGTATATTATTATATTCGCTAAAAAAGAGAGAAATGTTGCATCATAAAGTTCATAATTCTAATATATTATTATAGCTATTTATCTATAAAGACTGCATAAAGTAATCTATATATATTTTACATTGTCAAATATATTGTATTTGATTGTTTTTTTATTACGAAATGCGAAAATTAATCAAGGAGTAAAGGTGGAAATAAATTATCCAAGGAATAAGGAAACTCAACAGTATTCTCCTTTTCTCTTTACAATCATAAAAACAGTTTTATTAGAGCATAATGTTGTAAAAGAATTATTTTGCTAATAATTATTTTTTATGAAAAAATGACTCTTTTACTAAAAAGAAAAGGAAAGAAATATAAATCGATATAAAAAAATGTATTTCAAATATAAATCTAATATAAACTTCGCGTTGAAATGAGTACAAAGTTTCTCAAGAATATTATGGGCTGATGGTATATTCTCGCGCATCTTGCCACGATTCTTTGCATGTGGGGAGGGAAAGGGAGCGAAGAGATGGATTGGTATCAATGTGATTTATGAAGTTCTCCAACGAGGCATACAGATGACCGTCTTTCCGTGTATATCCTTGAGCAAAGCTCGTTTGCGATCGTGATGTCTCCTCATCGTATCGCCAAAGGATAGACGCTTTCGTTTCTGTTGGGAACCGATAAATGTATGACGGGCAAATGCCGAGAAATATTCGAACAAAGTGCGAAAGCTTCCGCTGAAGCGAGGATACTATCGTAAGCGTCACTTTTTACGGCATTTTTCTCACCATGCTCGAACGAAGCCTCGAAGCGGCGCATTTTTCAACGTAACTAAAGCTTTCTGATGTTTATCGGTTTAGCCAATGGCGTTTTATCTTTGCTAGTAAAGTTTTCCGTGCCGGATATAGCGCGCTGTCTCTCATATTCATTCAACCCTTTGCTCTACGGGACTGTCTGCCCAAGTTTGCTCGAAATTTTTGTTCCGCAAAGTTTCTTAGAAAGCATCACATTTTGCTGGCATATTTTATCTTTTAATTGTGATATTGACTAATAACAAAATAAATTATCATTTAATTCGCTGCAATTGTACATTTGATAATTATATATATATATATATATATATATATATATATATATATATATATATATACGTTTAAAGCGTTCAAGTTAAATGTTCTTAATGAAGAATGAGAACATTTTTCCTCCCAATGTGACAGAAGAAAAAGATGCGACAGCGGCTAGATAGATTGAAAGAATCGAAATAGTGAAAAAACGAGGGTACAGTAAAGGACCGTCAACGAAGTTCGTTTAAATTAAAACAGAATAAAAAATCTATTCTTGGACAACAGAATTTGACCGACAATTATAATATCATTGAAAATCATGTTACATGTAAATCATTGCTTGATATAAATGCAGAAAGTTATATTATTTTAGCAGTTTTTGTATTTAAATTTGAACAAGACTTTTGCAGTTGCAAAACATACATTTTTATCTGTTCTTGGACTCTTATTGTATAAATATTTCGGATGAAAAAATTCTTTTATACGTTAAATATTACATCACATCCATTTCGCTTATTAAATATGCATTGCTAAACACGTCGCAAACATAAGAGTTAAAAGTTGTATAAATAGATTACGTATGTGTGACATATTAAATAAATAATAGTAGAATAATACATAAAAAATGAAATAGAAAACGAATATATACATACTACATACCGAATACATTACACATAAAAGTTACTCTTTTAATTTTTTTCTCGATATCTTTGTACAATTTTTTTATGAGAGATTAAAGAAAATACTCGAACGATTAAATTTTTTCACAAAGATTAATAAGCTTTAAAAATCCATCGCACACGAATCAAGTTATTTAATTAAATTTGTGCTAAATATTGCAATACAAATTATTATTATAGAAATATTTTTTACCTTTTCGTTACAAAATATAGCCTGAGAAATTTTTAAAATTCTCTTTATTTAATTTTTGAAACAAATTAATTATTAAATAGATTTAGAATTCTCAATAACACTTTAGAAATATATGTTGAACTATAATTGAAATTGAAAAACTTTCACTAATCGGGAAAAAAATTATGCAATATGTAAAAAACTTCAAATAATATAAATATTTATATGTTTATATGTTTAATGTTGTTATCATAAAATTAATTGTTTCAAAATTTTATCAAATTTTTTTGACACATCTACATGTAATAAAAAGATGAAAAGGAAAGGGAGAAAAGAAAAACATTATAGTCACTTGTACATACATGTTATAGAAAAAGATACACACAAGAGGATATTTTAAAATATCGTTACATTTTTAAAAATGTTTGAAAATTTTTAAAACACTTTATCAATTTCGTGAATCGTTAAACAGATATCGCCGGCAAATGAAATTGTATGAATAAATATAAATATTTTATGTGCTTATGTGACACAGAAGTGAAATAATTTAGCAAAACTCTAATGAATTTTTTATGAGTCAATGTTATTCTCAATATTAAAAGTTTTTTAAAAACTTACCAAGAGCGCACATGTTTGTGTCATTTCCTAACATTCTGGAGCTTTTGACATGTCACGATGATAGCACGGATGCTTTCGACATTTTTGAGACCGGTCAAATACATTAGATCGAACCGTTTCTCGAAAATATTTTCATTGTGAAAATTATATGATATGATATCTCGATTGGACAAAGTGAGGATAAGGATCGCGAGAAGCACGTGGCGAAGCCACAACGCGCACTGACTGCTCCAAACAGGACAGCTGACGAAGGGTAGAAACGCCGCACTTTCCGCCCTCCGCTTTCAATCCCCACCAACTTTGCACTCCTTTCTCCATCTCCATTCTTCGTATTCTCGATCATAACGATCGTTGTCTTTTTTTAATTTATCTTATTTAATAAGAATAATTATAAGTTAATGAGAGTAATTATATATAAATGAGAATATTCTTATTATTTTTATAAAGGAGAATAAAATTAACTTAAAATGGAATGTGCAATAACTCGATTGATTGTGTTTAATTAAATTGATGGTTAATTATTTTCTTTGATAATTCATCTATCTCTAAATCAGTAAAATCTTCTTCTTACTAAGGTTAATAATATCAAAAAGTATATTTGTTAAAATATTGATGTTTATAATATTAATAATGTTGTAGATTAATCTTATTTACCTTTATTTATACATGTCTTGATCACAATAATAACTATAACTATATAAATTCAAGTTGCCTCGTTTTCATCGATTCTAAATTAATTATCCTCTTTTACTTTGAAGATATCAGTATGAAGAAAAAGTATTGTGAGTGATATATGATCTTTCATATATGATCCTACAAAAAGATTCTTGTGTAAGTAATCAATCAATAGAAAGCACTTGGATATATTTTTGTGACCAAGTGTAGAATGACAGAACTGATTTTGAAACGACAACATGTTTCGGGACGCAAAACTTTGCTTTCGTTCCCAAGGATGCATTAAGAGGCTCGCATGATTCTTTATTGAATCTTTGAGTTTCAGAGAAGTTTGTATAATAATAATATTTTCGATTTATGCGTGTGTATCACAATTAACAACATGTGTCTATGATATAAAAATGGTAATTTTTATGTATTACATCAATTTATATATAATTCTTTAAAAATTTTCAAATTGACTAATTGTAAGATATAGTCAAGTACTTTATTGCATGCATGTGAATATGTGTATATGAAAGAAAGGATTGAGATGTATATAAAAAATGCGTATATATTTTAATAACATCTATATATATGACACATATGACAAAATATAATATTACATATAAAATTTAAAATATTGGATATCCGTATAATAGTTTCGCTCCTCGCAAATGTTCTATAAAAATGTCCTGCAAAAACAATGAGTAAAGAAGAATTATCTAAGATTAATGACCATTTTCTTAAAGAGAACAGGAAGATCCTGTCTGTTTTCAAGTATATAGTCAGCGTATAAGTTTGCGAGCAAACAAATCCGTATAGAAAGTAAACCATGTCCTCCGCTTGTCGGAAACGCATCCAACATTACGGTCACCCGTCGTCTGCCAAAAATATCAGCAAAACCGTTTTTCACCATCAATTAAATTGACGCGCATCAATGATCAGAATTACCACAAATTCCTTCTCCGTCGTCGTTATAAATTCTCTAGAAAGAAGATGGTCATGTATGTGTTTTATTACAAGTGTTTTATTACAGTGTGTCGCTTTCTTCTACTTATATAACAAAACGTACTTTGTATAATAATAGATTTATCGTTATTAAATAAATTCTAGCAAATAGTAATTTTAATTTTCAAGAAAAGTTTAAAAATTGACAATATTATCAATGTCTCTGTTTTTGAAAAATATATTATTATATTAAAATTATATTAAATTTTCTACATATATATTGTGCTACATGCATTTATTATAGTAAAGATATTAAGATACAAAGTTTTACATTTTTTTAAATATATATATATAATTATACATGAAAACAATTAATTTAGGAAAATTATACAAGTGGAAATAAATTCTTGCATGCATTATAACTCTATTGTTTTTCTAAGAGTAAAGATCAAATTTAGTTCGATCGAGCAAATATGAAGTTTTAGATGGAATAATTGCGTCAAAATAACGAAGAAAGCAAGAAAGGAGTGGAGGCCACTTTTTAATTTAAATTCTATTGCTAGATATTAATTACTGCATTGGATAAATATGAGTTTCAATACTGCAGCTAGAACAATTTTTGTGAAAAATATAACTGCTGATTATAACTGCAGCATCGAGATAATATGTCAATATATTATAGATATCACGGCTAATTTATTTTTATAGCTACAGCTAAATTTTTCTTTACAGCTAAATTAATGCCAGTTTTTTATTGTGTGTCGCAGATTTGAGGATGAGCGACTGCTGTTCAAATATAAAAACTTAATATGTGTAATTCATATCACACTTTATATTTTTTATATATTTAATATATTTTATTTTAATATTTTATATAATTAATGTGCATTACTTATTTTTTAATCATACACATTTTGACATATTTGACATATGTCAAACCACTTTTTCAGATATGTCACACATTAATTTGAATTTTGCGTAAAATCACTTTGAAACATCGTTGCCAGATTATTAAATAGTCATGACGCGCAATTATAGAGTGGAAGTACGTCGTCCGAATATGCCTTGACACGGGCAAATTCAGGTGTTAAGGCATTTTGGTTGCCGAGTGTACATAGAAAATACTAGCAGCAAGAACAAATGAATATATAATCCTAAATTTTCTAGCAGATATTGCTAGAATGTTACTGCTATAAATTCTAGCTGTGACAAACGATATTCTATCAGATACAAAAAATAGCGATAAATTTTGGTTGCGACATCTAGAAATTTACCTACATTAGCAAAACATTTTTTTTAGTGTACTTCATAATAAACACAATTTCACTATAATTTCACAGAATTGCGTAACGCTGTTACGCGTGTAGCGCGTAATCTACTGAACCGATACGAACTTGCGCGAAATACGCGATTGTTAAAAATGATAGACAGATGCGTTATACAAATTATATTAAGTATCAGGATTATATATTCATTTGTCTCTCGCTGCTAGTCTTTTCTGTGTACCACAGCCAAACTTTACAACAAGTATGATTGATCTTAACATGAATAGGCGCCACAGAAAAACTTTCTTTCTAAATTTCACAAACAGTTCAGATATAAATTCTGTCTCTGTCATTTAGATTGATTGACGTGCAATATACGATATTACAATATTTGCTAATCGTTCATCTACCTCAGTTAATTTTTCGCACCTAAAAAATTTTTGCTATAGTTATAAAATCATTTTTTTGAGTGTAATAAAATATTTAATCATTTATAATCGTTTAAAATTATTTATATTTATATATATACATATATGATAATATAATAAGCAGCGACATAATAAACTTTTATCTCTAGAATTTTTAAAATGCAAGAGCTGGACACTCGAGGAATAATTGAAACGATTTGTCTTTAACGTTTCGATTTACAATTTATTTTGAACAACGAATCCTGGTTATTTCTATAAACAAAAATGTCACAAAGATATATCGCGCGACATTCGCGATGTCTTTGCGATCCTGGCGATCGCTCGTGCCGGATTTCCGGATCTAAAATCGGAAGTAAAAAGATCGACATAGATTACTCGAGACAATAAGAAGCTTCCGTCATCGGAGGTGTCTTCGTTCAGGGACTAGATCTGTTAGCGGTGCTCACAATTTCCGGCCTTTCCAAACAGGATGCACGACAGATCCTGACTTGTCGCCGATACAAAATTCATTTTGTCTCGTTACGTGTGGCCCATAAAAGCACGATTTTAATTTCAATACCTGTTTGGTTATTATATTGTTGATTTTTAGACAACTAAAAATAAATAAATAAGTTTCTCAAAAGTAAACTTTACACGACTTTCACTTAATTCAAGGTTGATTACCAAACACATATATGTATTGTAGAAACCAGAATAAATATCCATGCAGAAATGAATATCAAACGCGAGCAATGGAATAAAAATAAGTTAGCTATGATATCTAAAATACATTAACATATTATATTGCTACTGCAGTTATAATAAGCAGCTATATTTTTTACAAAAATTATTCTTGCTGCAGTATTGAAACTCATATTTATCCAATGCAGTGATTAATATCTAATAATAGGATTTAAATTTTCTAGCAGATATTGCTAGAATGTTACTGCTATAAATTCTAGCTGTGACAAACGATATTCTATGAGATACAAAAAATAGCGATAAATTTTGGTTGCGACATCTAGAAATCTATCTACATTAGCAAAACATTTTTTTGAGTGATATACAAATTTATATTCCACATATACAAATTTACATATGAAATTTTAGAGTCGTGCACGTTATTTAAAATCTAGGAAATTTTTCAAAAACTTATAAAAAAAAAGAAATCATTAAGTCAGTTGTCTTCCATCTGTTAAAAAGTATCTTTTCTTTTGTCTTCAAATCTCGCAAATTTACATGTAAAGTGAAAGATGGGCAATACTCACATGTCGAACTTGAGAAAGCGAGGGAAACTTTCTATCCAAAGACGGCACAGCATTGCGCCTTTCTCCGGAACTTTGATAGTATCCTCTTTTCATGAATCGTATCGTGTCTCGGACAATAATACCAATCTCAACAAATGGTATAGTAATGCGGTTTGTAATGGCGAGATACATAAGCGTACAACAATATGTACGAGAAAAAACGTTCTGCATTCTTGATTTTTGCGTTCATCATCATCACATTTCCTAATTCATTTATAAAAATATCATAAATTACATCCGCTTTATATATTTATAATGCATTCCTTTTACATAGCTTATGTAATTATTTATAATGTTAAAAAATAAAAAATTCTAAATACGGCTAGTACAGCTACAAATATCGGGATGTTAAAAATAAAACTACTTAGTGTATCTTGATTGATATTTAATGTGGATACTTAATGTGGATCACATTAAATATCAATAAAGATACACTAAGTAGTTTTATTTTTAACATCCCGATATTTGTAGCTCGTACTAGTCGTATTTAGAATTTTTTATTTTTTATTTTTAATTTAACGAGCCTTTTAAATATTTTATTATTTATAATGTTCTTTTGTTGTGTAAAAAGCAAATAACTTTCTACAAAGGCAACAAACAATTAGCGAAACATAATTGCGTTAAATCTTTTCCAACAATCCGATTCGTAGCGTACATTTCTCAGCTCGCGGTTATCCATATCCTGTTTGCCGCTATAATCCAACTTTAATCCCAAGCGGGCCACTCGTAGATCTTTAATCCCTCGTCCGTGAGCAGAAATCTCTGCGCTATCGTTTCCTATCCGAATCTAATCTCCGCGAGTCACCCATTTCTTACTCTCATTATACCAGCCAAGCTCGTCGAATGGCTCGCGTTGTTTTTTGCCGCTATTAATTACTTTTTCCATTTACATTGGCTACCTCGTAATCTCTACGAACTCAAAAAGTCACGCGTCGGAAAGAATGAATTACATATTTAATTAAGAGAGCTTCAAAATAATTTTTTGCAATAATTTTTTTTTCTAAATTCGATCAAATATCGCGGAAACAATGAAATGTATAGAAAACTATTTTAATGTATAATAATATTTAAAAAGCACTTGCATAATCGGTTAAATTTTTCGAAAATATTACATTTGTTAAAGTATTTTATATATATATATATATTTTTTTTTTTTTTTACGAACATTGATTGTCTGTAAAAATAAAATTTTATTTTTCCTGTTCTTTCTATCACGACATTGATTTTAATTCAAAACTTTATCGCAAATGTCTTCTAAAGCGTCAGAAATAAAAGATATTACAAAACACGAAAACAAATAACGTTCTCGGAAAGAAGATATACATATCTAGTTGCAAATAACGACGTGGAAAAAGTTGATATTTAATTTGAATTTTCTTAAAAACACTTAAAAAGATCAAATATTATATAGTACCTGCATTATCGGTGCCTACATCTACATAAAAAAGAAACAAATATTTTATACTAAATTGTATAAGATCATTAATGAAAATATAATAATTGAAATAATATATTTCTTTGATCTTTGACTTTTTTCCATACTAACAAAGATGAGATTGCAGATCTTTTGTACGCGTGGATTCAATGTTTCACCTTCATCCTTGCTACTAGACGGATACGCTTCGAGAACGTAAGTCATGACACGAGGAAAAAACGGAAAGCGGAACAAGAGAGCGAGAAAGAGGTAGAAATTCAGTACGAAGGACACTTCAGAACAGCACTATCAGCGATATTCAAAATTTGTTCTCCCTATCCGTTATCGCTCACCGCTTTGACCGCGACCTCCATCGTTGTGCCACCTGCTTTTTGACTCGGAATTTTGTCGATAACCCACATTCGGCATTCCCTCATCTCCGTTTGCAAGAATTCAGCTTTGCAACATAAGCCGATTGCAAGTCGTCACCTTTCTAAAAGGAACTGACGTGGAATGCACGAGAAGCAACCGAACGTAAATCGATGCACGGTATAAACAAACACTCGAGATCAGGTATTCTTTCGATGATACTCAACCGCATCGAAAGTTTCATCCTCCTTCTTTCATCGTATCTTTGGAATGTTACACGATGATTTTTTTTCAATAAATAATGGTAAAAATAAAAAAAAATTAAAATGGATTACGAGCCAGAATATTAATCGAACCGTTGTGATTTAATCAAATTGACATTTTAACATTTACATTTATTTTTTTGACATATATAAGATGATTTTGTGACTTATATAAGATAATTTGTTTGGATAAATTTTCTTGGACTTACAATTAACCACTTTTCGCAATCTTGAACTTTAATTTTATTACAAGAATCAAAGCATTAAGGATTTATCAATCAACTGCAAAATACTTAGCATTCATATAAATATGATATATCTTTTAAATATATATATATATATATATATATATATATATATATATAAAAGATCGCTATCAAACATTGCATTGTCATCAACTTGAAAACATACACATATACATATATATTTATCTTATATAATAATCTCTAGCTTGATAGCAATATAAATCAATGTAAGGATAGCATGATAAATCAATTTAAATCTTTGTTGAAAATTTTTCTCTTCATCATTAGATTCTGGGTAATTTATACGAATATAAATTATATCAATAGAATAAAATATAATAAAAGTGAAATAATTTATAACAATGTCCAAGATACCTTTTTTCCTATTAACAATATTATTTTAAAAATTTGCTCAATTTCAAGTTTGAAAATTAATAATAAAAAATTAAACAGAGTAAATTTGAAAAATGCATATTATACGTATGTAGGGCACATATATAAAGAATATAATGGAATATATACAGATGACAAATTAAGTAAACTAAACTTGTTAGAAACTCGTTATAAATAAAATAAATAAGTTACTTGTGGGGACTTACTAGGTGCGCAACTAAGTTTCCGGGTTTCACACATGGTTGGTACCAACGACAGATGTAGTCGACATTACATGTCTGAAGTTGTTTATTTTTATAGCTCTGACATCTGTCAACAATTACCAGTCATAATACCAACACGTGTCGCAACGCAAAAATATTTTTTCTAACAATGGAGATGTCGAGTTTTGTGCCAAATAAACAGCATTTGCGGGAAGCTCTGCTTTTCTGCTTCAACTTGAAAAAAAATGCAGCTGAAGCACGTCGTTTGCTTGAAGAGGCTTACGGCGAACATGCACCATCGAAAACAACCTGTGAAGATTGGTTTAAACGCTTCAGAAGTGGTGATTTTGACACTAAGGACAAGGAGCGCTCCGGAAGTCCAAAAACAATCGAGGACGCCGATCTGCAAGCGTTATTGGATGAAGATGATACGCAAACACAAGATCAACTCGCGGAGGCATTAAACATGACTCGTCAAGGTGTTTCCAAACGTTTGCATGCCATGGGAAAAATTCAAAAGGAAGGAAAATGGGTGCCGCATGAATTGACTGAGAGGCAGATGGAAAATCGAAAAGCCACTTCAGAAATTTTGCTTTTGCGGTATGAAAGAAAGAGTTTTCTGCATCGAATTGTTACTAGCGATGAGAAGTCTGTGTATTTCGAGAATCCCAAACGCAAAAAATCGTGGCTTTCACTTGGCGAAGCATCAACATCGACGGCGCGGCCAAATCGCTTCGGAAAGAAGACAATGCTCTGCGTTTTGGTTGCGAGCTGTTGAAACTAGGCGAAACTGTTAACGGGGAACGCTACCGACAACAACTAATCAATTTGAGTCATGCGTTGCTCGAAAAACAGCCAGAATGGGACACGAGACACGAACGAGTGATATTGCAGCACGACAACGCTCCGTGCCATCGCACTTCCATCGTCCAGGACACCATCAAAACGCTGAAATGGGATCTGCTACCACACCCGCTATATTCACCAGACCTGGCCCCTTCTGATTATCACTTGTTCCGGTCAATGGCGCATGGCTTGGCTGGGCTACACTTGACCAGTTTCGAAGAAGTGCGGAATTGGATAGATGAATGGTTTCGGTCCAAAGACGCGTCGTTCTATCGTCGCGGTATTCATATATTGCCAGAGAGATGGCAAAAATGTGTAGCTAGCGAGGGACGATACTTTGAATAAACCGCTTTTTGTTTCTTTCTTGAAATTTTGCATTTTTCATTGATCAAAAAAACCCGGAAACTTAGTTGCGCACCTAGTATATAAGAGGGAAACATAATAGTATTTTATGAGATGAGTGAAAGCAATTTACAATTACATTGAATCACGCAAGAGAAGAACTGCGCGACTGTGAAGGTCGTAGTATCTATAATATCACTTATGAAAACAAGCGTTCAGTTATCGTTTATCATAATGTAACTATATCTTATCGCATGTGCATGCTATCATTGCCAACAAATATATATAAAATATATATAAAATCATTTGAAGAACTTGCTACAAAAAATACTTGAACAAGTTTTTACAATTTAGAAAAATTTCCAAAAATAAATATTTTAATAAAACTTTCACGATGTGTATTTGTATGATACCCGAGTGCGTTAAAACTCGCCAAGATATTTGCAAAATACATATATTAATTTATAATAAAATGATAGATTATCTTCACCAATATATGACAATTGATAACCATAAAAATACTGCTAATTTTGCAGTGAGTAAGTCAGAGATAATCGGAGTAATATATGTAAATGCATGTACAAATAGTCAAAGCTAAATTCTCACATGTTCTATACACTTAAGTTTTAAGTAGCCATCTCTTCTCTGATTCGCTGGCTTACTACGTCTCGCAATTGACGTTGGTGAGGGTAAACGTTTATATAGTTGCTGCAGCACAATTCGTGATCAGTCTCTCAACAGGCCTAACAGTCATAACAGTCTTCTTTGAGATTTCTAACGCGATGGATCAATGGGCAGGGAAAGTCGCTTTGGTCACCGGAGCGAGCAGCGGAATAGGCGCAGAAACCGCAAAATTGCTCGCGAAAGGTGGAATGAAAGTGATCGCCGTCGCGAGACGATTGGAAAATCTGAAAGAATTGGCGGCGTCTATCAAAAGTGAATTTAACGTTCAAATCTACCCGATCAAATGCGACGTCCAACAAGAGGAGGAAATTCTCAAGGTTTTCAAGTGGGCGGAGGAAGAACTGGGAGGTGTTGATGTGCTAATTAACAACGCTGGTGTAGTCGTAAACAAACCGATTATAGGTAAGTACATATTCTTCATTTTTTCCGGTTTTCTTCTCGAATACTATTTATATTATATAATATAAATTATATTATATAAAAATTTCTCAGATAGATATGCATAAGCTTAGGGCGTATCTTATGACGATAATTTATACGAATATTTAAAATTAATTTTGTATATACAATATATACAATATACTATATACTATTTATCATATATTTTTTTTACCGAAAGAGGGAGCAACGGAGGATTTCCGCAAAATTATAGACGTAAATGTGATAGCGATGGCGATTTGTTCGCGCGAGTTGGTACAATCTGTCAAAAAGCGCAACGCTAGAGGGTATATCTTTAATATTAACAGGTAAGCGTTAGATAGGTGAATGATTAAAATTTCAAATATGTTTGAATAATCGAATGAATAATATATATGAATAAATTAATTTCAAACTTGCAGTATATGTCGAAAAAATATTAGTGCATCAACCTAATCGCAAAAAAACTTTATAATTTCATTTATTAATAATCACAATTTGTTAATAATTTATTTAATTAATAAATTATGAAATACAAAGACAAAAGCAATATATGGTTCGGATGATAACAAAATGCGATAAAAAGGAAAGCTAAAAGACCGCGCAAGATGTTAGAGCGTAAAAAAGTCGAAATAATAATAAAGACTCTAAGTAGGAGACATAACATATTAATAATCAGTTAGATATAAAAATACAAAAATATGTCTGAAAAAATTGATTCGATTGAACAGAAAATAATACATACGTACGTTTCGATCTTTTCAAGATCTTTTCAATGTTTGAGATGTCGTTAGGTTAGGTTATAAAATAAATTAAACTTAAAATAATAATAACATTAGAAAATAAATTAAACTTAAAATAATAATAACAGAGCGCAATTAAACGAAAACAAGCGCGATCTATTTGTCTCCTATCTCGTTATCCTTTTTTACGCTCTAACATCTTGCGCCACGATCTTTAACGTTCCTTTTTATTGCGTGTTTTATTAAATTTTTAATTTTGAAACTTAAAATTTTTATATTCTGTATGCAAAAAATCTGTAATAAATGTAAATGCATATCAACTTATACTAATAAAAATGTATTTGCACATGCCGATATTTTTTTATCTATGTTAAACGATATTTAATTTTTCACAAAAAAAAATTGATTTAATGTATTACATTAATAAGTACAAATTAGTAATATTAATAACATGACTCACTCCCTCTTCATTGTAATCTTATTGATATATATCTATATTTTTATAGATATATTATTTATAGATATCGATATATGCAAAGAAAAATTAATTAATGCAAAACATATTTTATGTTCAATGTTATTATTTATGCACCTTACGGACGACCTCATCGATTTCAATGAACTTGACATATATTGTCAAGCTCACTCTCTTGAGTAAGTAAGTCAAAAGGTTTTAAGTGTCGCTCACTATTTATTAAAAAGTTATTAACGAAGAAAGTTTAATGAATATAATATGATTTTGCGACAGCAAACGACGTTTAAGAAGATATATTTGATCGAATACATGTTCAATAGATAGAGAGAAAGGAAACGTAACATTGCGTTCAACATACTATATTTGTTTACATTTTTTTCAAATCATTCACGGTAGTCTTCTGCTTAGCTGTATGGCAACTTTTCGGTGAGTTTAAGGGGGGGGGGGGCGGAACACACTGTATTCACGCATGTACATTTCACCTTGACTCTTAAAACGTGCATAATATCTAAAAATTCCACATAATTTGTACAACTTTTTTTGTTAATAAGTTTTTAATAAATGACGAGCGACACTCAAAACTTTTTGATTCTTACTCAGTAGAGTGAGCTTGACAACATATGTCAAGATCATTGAAATCGGTGAGGTCGTCCATAAAGTGCATAATTACCCTATTTATTTTTACAAAAAAGAATTAAAATATTAACTTTTTGTTTTATCCACAGCATAGCGGGGCATTATGCAGATTTGATTACTATGCCAATTAGTGTATATGCCGCTAGCAAATATGCTGTCACTGGAATGACAGCGAGTTTACGCAACGAAATAATAAACGCAAAACTTGATATAAAAATTACGGTATGCGATCTTTCTTTATTAAAATTTGTCTATGCGAATTCAATATTAGTAAAACACAGAAATATTGCACAAGTATCGATTTATCTCGCTCGTAATTTAATTTGCACCGACAATGATTTAATAATTTGTGTTCATTAATATTTAACAATGCCTCTTTTCGCGCAATGCGATAGACAGATTTGAAGTAATAATGACAAAAGTAATATATTTAAAAAATATATTGTGTTAATAATCTCTTTAAACACAGAGCATCAGTCCTGGTATGGTACAAACAGAAATGATAGAGAAAGCTTTTGAAAGTCTTGGCGATGTCCAAACCCTGTTGGAAGGTGTACCGATACTAAAGGATAAGGATATCGCAGATCTAGTGATTTATGGTTTAAGTACACCACGAAATGCGCAGGTATGTAGATATGATTGTAGGGAATAATTTTCAATGACTTCGATATATGTGTGTTTTTATAATATCTCTAATTAAAACTGTTTATTACATCGATAAGCAAGAAGAAAGCTTTGCGCTTTTTTAATTATCATATCGCAAATCGCGTATGAAATTAATTTTTTATTATTATTCTATTTATAACATTTATAACTCGTATTCTTCATCGATCTCGAATATTTAAATTAATTTTTTTAAGTAGACTGTTACTTTAAAATTTTAAATATTACGCGCATGAGAACTTGTTTTTTTATTTAAATGTTAAGTCGTTTCCCGTATTAGTTTACAAGTGATTCATCTATACCAATTAAGCATACAAGTGATTTATCTGTTTTAGATATGCGAAGTCATAATAACGCCACATGAAGCTATTGCTCCGAAGAATCCTAGGCCATTCTCAAATCAATAATACATATGCTGCATTTAAAGTTGATCTTCTTTTGAAGCTTTTAACAGTCACGCTCTTCTGTAAAGCAAGTGGAACTGAAAAACAATATTTCAGTTTCATTTAAATTCCTCTGAGATAAAAAAATGAGTAATAGACAATAAATAGAAAGAGAAATATTTTTATATTCACATGTAAATTTTTTCACAATCACGATACTAATTCTTGTATTATTATAGAAAATTTGTAAGGATTTGTAATAGTATTTTATAGTTGTTACTTTAAAACAACTGTATATATGTATTTTCCTTGCTTTCCAATACTTACTTCCAATATGTATCTGCATTTAAAAATATGAAATATATGAAATATAAAAATTATGAAACAAAATCGGAACAAATTATATTTCGCCCACATTATTTATAGAATCAAATTGGTCTTGTCTGGAAAAAGAGAGGGAGAGAGAGAAAATATAGCGCTAATCATAGACGTGACTTTGTGTAATATATTAATATATCTCTCGTTATATATATTTATACGTTTACATTTCATTACATCACATTGAATGGACATGGTGCTGAAGTTGCCGGTTATGTACACATTTTTCTCTGTATTAAATTGTGCTAGAAAATAAATCTAAAGAGAAAATGTACGATCATTATTATGAATCCGTGGTAAGACACTTAGAAATGATCAGCGTCAACTGCATAGCGTGGCGGGCATGTGCGTCGTCGTTCGCCGAGATTTACAATAATCGAGAATCTCTAATGATATCTACGAACAATATACGGACGTACTCTGTTTCGAGAGAAGTAGAAAGGTAGACTTTAGGGAGGCGAGGGATTCATTGTGTATGTATATACTTTTAGCTTAAGAATTAATAATATTGGTCGAGTACAGTACTGTTAAAATCCCCTTTTTATCATCCTACTTTTACCATCCGATCTCGCGCAATTGTCGCTCGAGAGACTCGTCAAACTATTATAAATAATCTCTTACTTATACCGATATATTTAGAAGATTCTTCGTATATCAAGCGTAATAATACGCGCACGTCGCTTTAAATGTCGACGCCGCTTCGTTTACTCTTTCTTCCTTTGAAATTTTTAGAGAATCATGGTCTCTCGCGCGTATCATATAAGAAGGAAAGGCCAGTATTAATTTAAGAGAGAGCTCTAGACGATGAAATAACCAAGCCACGTGAATAAATAAACGAGCAAGGCATTCATCTTTTTCTCGAGTTAAACTCGTAAAATGCACTCGTCATTTCCGTTTATTTCCTGGCGAAACAACGAGCGAATCCAAATATAATATAAGATCCTTCGACTGTGACCGAATAATTTTATTCACGTGACTGATCGATGATTCTCTTAATACAATCGTAATTTCTCAATGCACTTTAATTCTATCACGCGTTTTGGCCCCTCGTCCACTGCAGGAAGAAAAATTTAATTACACGCGACTAACCGGCACGTGATAACATTTGAAAGAATTTTTCGAAAGAATTAATCTAACTTTACAGTATTTTATTTTACTCTGCTAATATTACACGGTGTTTGCATGTCTGTAAGAAAAATTAAAGCAATTACGATAAAAGAAGAGAATTTTGCTTAATTAAATTTTACGTAACAGTTTAAAAAAAAATATTTAAACAAAATTTTCGTTAAATTTTAATTGAGCGTAGCAATTAATCTTTTGGAATTTGTCACGTCTTTCTCGAGCTATTTACACTAAGTTTTTGATTTATATCAATTAGTCAGGCCACGCTACAGTCAGTAAGATTAGAAAATATTAAAAAAAAATAATGGCAAGAAGCAGATAAACGAATTAAAAGAAAAATAGAAACTGTGTATATCGCGTATTCAAATAACGCAAATTTATACGTAAATCGAATGAGAGGAATTAAATAAATGCAGGACGGATATGTTTATACTTTTCGAAACTAGTGAGATTATCCTATACACCCTTTATATCGATATAAGTATATAATATCTCTGTGATTCTGATGATAAAATGTTTCATTCGAAAAATCTGCTATATTTCTGTTCTCTATTTTACGCAATATTTATAGCGATTTTTTCCACATCTATAGGGCCTTACCTCAAGTTATTGCCACGTACACAGAACCGGAGTCAGTTTTACATTAGCAGATACTTTCATTTATCGCTTGTCTAATGAAGAAATTTATTTTCTTTGAAATAGTTTTTGCCTTTTTGCTTGTTTATAATTTAGACAAGCTGCCTGTGAAGAAGAATCATATTTCTCTAATATGTAATTTAATTAAAATGTATTTTTTTTAAGTACACACATATATATGTCACATTTATAAATTATATAAAAAAAAACAAATTTCCAGTAATGGAAATATTTTTGTAAATGATAAAAAAATAAGAGAAAAATGATAAATTTTTTATTATGTCTCCGATTCTCTTACGCGTGTGACACGGCATGATGCAATATGTATTGACACGATGACAATTGTCTGTCATCATATCGAGAATTCACGCTTATTGCGACGCGCATTCCTTCATGGATATGTATTAAATTATAAGCTTAAATACGGACGTGCGTGTCGCTATGTGTATCAAGTATCCTACGGCCGTAATATCGCGAGAAATTCAACAAAATAACGCTTCATCTCTTTCTTTCTACATTTCCGTACATATATATGTGTACACGTACATATATATATACACACACACACACACACACACATATACGGAATAGTTATATAACATATGTCGACTAAACATTATAGCCGCATCTTGCTTCTTCTTTTTATACATTACATACATACACACACGCATTAAAGCTGCACCAGTGTACGTGTATACGGATACACATCTAACGAACGGTATGTATGTACAAGGATGTGCTTCGCAAAATTTTATTCTTTCGCCGCGATTAATTAATAAACACGTAAACGAGAGAGATGCTCCCGGTCAGAAACCGCGTCATAGAGAGTCTTTCGAATTATTCGAAAAGATTCTTCTTTTCGTTTATCTAATAAAATTAAACGAAAAAGTCGCATTAAAAACGCAAAACTATGTTGTGCAATATTCATATCTTTGTGCGGTGAACGTCAGCATAAAGTATCTCATAGATTCTTATGCGATAAGTGTACAAATCGTGTAATCATCATCGATAGTTATGATAGAAACCTTTTTCTTCTTTCATAAAGTGTGCATCTTTCCCAAAATATTTCAGGTTGCTATTCCATCAATTTTCGCATTGTTTGCTTCAAGAATACAAGAGTCTTTTATATCGCGTATTATTATTATTACAACATAATTCAAGATTCGAGAATCACTCTTTCTCTTTCCTTGTACGGTTGATTATAATCTATAAAATTTCAAAAATTGAAGACTAAAAATATTATACTTACCAACTCGCAAGTTTCGCAAACGGAAATGAAATCGGAGCTTTCCATACTGACAAAGAATTCATAATCAACATCGACGATGATTATTTCGAGAAGCGCTACATCTTTCTAATGAGATCAAATGATTTTACATATTGAGCCGTAAAAAATAATCGATAACTTGTAATTCAAACACCCTACATAGGAGTAGCAGAGACAAATACGTGACTCGTGCCTTTGGTGTCTAATAATTTAAACAAACTATTTCTCAACATATTACGAATCATCGTCTCCGCTCGTCTAATGTGACACATATATGTCTATTTGTACTACTACCGAATGATGTTTGTCTTTCATTCGTAAGCGTAATAAGGAGCCCATAAACTTATTTAATAGATGCCATCCATGGGAGATCACGAGCTTCCTCGTAGTCTAAAGTTGCAAAGACTTTTGAAGAATACAATTGCTCGTTGTATCTTTCATTCTTCGGCTGGAGCCTGTGCTCCCCCACCATCCTCGCGATTGCCACTGGTTTTTTGTTCTTGCTCCTTTTGTGCTTTGGCTTCTGCGTCTGCAAATATAACATTGGCACATGGCACGTCGCCTCAATCTTATTGAAGCAAATAAGCTAAATAAGCTGCTTCTGTACAGGCAGAAACAAGATTCTCATAGTTGTGTCGAGAACTCTTTGTCGAGAATCGATTCCTTTTGTTTTCAAGCGATTAATTGATATTTAAATTACATATTAACATACCTCGAACCGCTTGTTCCTTCCAGATCTTCTTATTGTCCCCAAGACACGAGATCCAAGGTTTGTCGATTTTGAACCTTCTATTTTCCCCTCCTAAACATAATTTATTAATTAATTAAAAATAAATCAATTTTTTGACAATTATGTTTTGCCGATATAATTTAACCAACATTAACTAACAAGAGAGAAAGAAAATTTTTAAGCGCAATTATGTAAAGTTATACAAGTAAAATATTTTTAGCACATGTGCTAAAATGAAATTGTTTGTTTTTAGCACATGTGCTAAAATAAAATTGTTTGTTTTTAGCATACATGTTAAAATGAATTTTACCATTGCTGGGTTCGTCTGCAGTATCCTTGACATTAAGCGGCGCGAGAACGGTTTCCAGCGTATCACTGCATACTTGCATACTAGGCTCGACAATAAATTCTATGAATCCTATTTGAGATTCAGCTACCAATGTGTTGTTACGATCGCATAAAGGAGAGAATGGTAATCCGAGCTCTCTCTCTTTGTCACCTTGTCTGAAAAATTCCTCGAGAAGTTGCATCGTCCACCTGTGCATTTCAAATTAACAACGTCATTTACTCATCATAAAGATTGCGGTTCTTTTTCTTGTTTATTAGCAATTTATATACAAGTTAATAATTTATTGGAATAGTTTTTATTACATATATTTTTTATCGTGCTTTAAAAATTTACAAAAAATTTCCCAGAAGCAATTTTTATCTTTCTGCAGTAATTTTTAATAGATTGAATTCTATATAAAGGTCGAACGGAAAAAAACTGCTGACGTTTTTCGGGAGGATCGAAAGGATAAAAGCACCTATGATGAAGATCCCATCTTTTGGCAGGATGCGAAATGTCACAACAATGGAGAACCAAACTAACGGCTTTGCTCTTATCCACGCTTGGCTCCGCCAAACTCAATAGATTCTTCATATTTTTTAATTGTTGAAAATGAAAACTCATGTCAGTGGCAAGAACCATGTCGATCACGAGCGAGCGAAATTCTCGAAATTCTTCTCTCGACAAGTTTTGCAATATATTGCATTCATCTTCTTTGAGTATTCTGAAATATTGTAAAGCAAATGATAGTTGGTATTATCGGAGATATTAATCCTATTTAACGTATGCATTTATAATGCAATATAAAAAGTATCTTGATTTTGTTGTATTTTATTTATTTTTCTTTTTTCTCTCTCTCTCTTTCTCTATTGCAAGAAATCTATCTACCTCTATAGAAAAGATAAAATTATTTAAATCGAAAAAATTTGAGAAAAATATTTTTAAAGATGAATTAATTTTATATTACGTGCGTGTGTGTTCAATAGATGTTATATAGAATTTTTAATTTTAATTGGGATTTCTTTCTAGTAATTCTTGAGAGACAAGATTGTCAACAACAATTTTCGGATATAAACTATCTGGGAGAAAAATGGCAAAATTAAATTTGCGCATACCGGAAGCTGGCCGAAATGTGATGATTCTCCAGCACGGCTCGATCATTATACAGGAGTGCTGTATCGCTCCCAGACATTACGTGGAAATTGTTTGTGGTCCCAGTGTGCTCGTAATCGTGAATAATCGCTGCCACGAGAGTGGCGAAAATCTCGAGATCGGTCAGCCAGTTCTGCAACAAGTAATATAATCTCTCATCCAGAGATAATCTCACGTTGAAAGAATCACCGAGGGAACAGATGATCGATGAAATCGCACAAAAAAAGATTCCTCTTTTCCTAAACTAATTAATTAATAGAGATCTCGCTTATTTTTCTATTATTTACATCGCATCTTACAATTTTTGTTCTTTTAAAGATAAAGAGATATCGCGAAACGATATCTTATTAGTACTCTTCCCGGAAAATGTATATTTACTAATGTATTTTTACTAATTGTAGATTGTATTTATACCAATATATTATATGCAATTATGTGCAATTAAATTAAAGGATGATTTATAAAATATAAAAACTGTGGAAAATTTTTAACTTGAAAAATTATTAATTTTATAATTATTCAATTTTCCAAATAGTCAATCAAAATTCAGGATACATATTTATTATTTCTTATTATATATACCGGAGATATATAATTCAAAAATAATGTCAAGAAATTATATTAAACGTATATTTAAAATATCCCTCTAAAGATATTTACCATCAAACCCGTTTGACACAGGATGTAATGCATCGTTTGCGCAACATCAGCAGCGTGAAGATTGTTATGGTATGGGTTTCGATGCCTGCAATATCCTTCTTCGACTCTTCCGAGGAAGCACTCCAAAACTGCTGGAGGTACTTTAAACTTGTGAATCATACCGTATCGATTGAGAAGATCGTAGCCCAAGTATTTCACTGGCATGCCCGAGGCAGCCTCATTCAAGGAAAACACATCGAACGACCAGTCGTCTAAAGTCTTAAACAATAAAGTCAGCAATTTAAAAATATAAAAATTTAAAAACATACATCTCAATAACTTGATCGATATGTACGACTAATTTACAGTTCTTTTTTTGTTTAAACTAAAATCGAGTAGTACGAGTAATTTTCAATCAAATGGAATCAATGCGTTATCATTGATAAGCGTGCTTTTTTTCATTACAAATATAGCATTGCAGTGAAATCTTGCTGGAAAGAATCAGTCAGCGATAGTTGATTTTCCAGTGAAATCTGAAGAAAACGGAGGAGTAAAATGGGAGTGTTTTCACTGAAAATCAAAAAGTGCTCCAATCTTGGATTTTTCAACTGATTTGCACTGATTCAGTTTGAGAAAACAATCGAAAGAAAAAACATGTAATCATACTTTCGAAATGTACAACTAACTAAGATGTTGGACGAGACTAAACTAGAGAGATATGTTGTACGCATTCTACACTTTCTCCTCCTCGAGAGCCATATCTCGCGATACATTCGTGTTAAAAATTTACTCGCTTCGATCCAACTTTTCAGCCGCCGGCGAGGATTACCTTAAGCACTTTCACGACTTCCGGTGGAAATTGCATGAGGGCGGTATTCGTGACTCGCCTGTAGATCCGATCGACGAATATGCCCGCCCTGATGGCGTGCGCGACCGAACGGAACTTTGGCTTCTCGTCAGCCTTCCGTCTCGTGGTGGCGAGCTGCCTGGTGAAAGTCGACGCCAACCATTCGCGCACTTCCGGCGGCACCGCGTCCGGCTGCACCTCCGACAGCTCATCGTCCTCGTCCGCCAGCCGTCTAAGGGAGGAAATCGCGAGACGCGATGTTAGATCAGCCATGAGCTGACGCGCTGACATATTCGGCACGATCATAATCCGGCCTACCTTTATTACACGCATTCGATCGAGCCGAGACGCTCGATGTCCTCAACAAAAAAAAATTATTATTGTGCTAAAATTATTGCATTTAAGCTTGCTCTGTACCGTCGCATAAATCTACAATTCGATTAACTTACTATACGATATTATTCCATGTTTGTTCGCTACATTACTTTGCATCAATATTAATTTACATTCTCTATTATTACGATATATATCATGATTCTACAGATCATCAGAAACGCGATTGTTTTGTCGCTAATTTGTAGATTGTATCGTGAATGAATTTCGTATTTTGTGAAATAATCTTTCATTTCCTCGTAAATCACACAGATGATTTACACTCGTGATTCCGAGTCCGAGATCGATATTCCATGTTATGTTACGTTTTATGAATGAATAAATGATTACATGAGAGATACACCGAATATATAGATAATGTAAAAAATATATCCTAAATTTACCAAAAAGTATTTAAAAAAAAAATGTTTAACATCTTTTTAAAATCTTTCGCTATATAGAAATTCAAATATATAATATGCCGAATAATTTTTTCAAATTATTCTACGCGTAAATTATCATTTTACTCATTTACTAAAATGTTTGCGTCACAATTAAATCAAATATTTAATTAAATCGACGATTGATTCAAACAAAGTCATATCAATCACATCAATTTAACAACAAAGTGCAAATTGGATAGAAATGTTGCGTTCAAATGAATGAATTTGATGTTCGTATGGGTGGCGGAATAAGGTTTGTGTGTAAAAACTAAACGGTTCAGCAAATGAACTTGCTGCGTTTTTTCTGTCGTACTTTGATCTCAAACCTGGTTCGATTTATTAGGCTTGAACGATAGTTAGGTCGGTCATTTTGGCAAATACAATTTCGATAACGTTATTATTCAATAAGCTAACATTAATGAGACGATAAATAATAACTCGAAGAGTTATTATTAATGTTACAATCCATAAAATGTGTCGCTATTTCGCTTGAAAGAGTATCTCCGACGTATCCATCGACTTTGACTGCAAATTACACAAAACACAAAACACCCAGATATCGCCATCAGTGAGAAAGTGCGCAAGTAAACACAATAATACAATTATAACAATTAGTTGAAATATGAAGAAAACACAATTAGTATGTATTTTGCAAAATATTTTACATAAAAATGATAAATTATGATAAATATTGCGATTAGAACTTTGCCATAAACATTTATAGATTTAAAAGTTGTTTGCAGGAAAGCATCAGTTTGCATGCGCATCTCTTATATATTATTAATCGCACTATACTATAGAGTGTTTCAGAACTATATAATTCATTTCTCCAACTATAGATTTTTCTCGCCGCAAACTTTGCAAAAGAATATTGATTCGGGAATCATTTTAAATATATTTACAGATATAAAAAATTTTCAATTGTAAAATTAATTAAAAAATTGTGAAATTTTTAATATTCTAAAGGCGGTTGTCCATTTTCAAAGTTTAATTTCAATCTCATCTAACTCTGTCGAATAAAATATAAAACGTGTTGAAATGTGCGTCCAATAATATTGATAATTTGAAAGAAAACGTAGATCCTGATACACCCCGCGAGCAAAAGTATATTATATCGTATATTATACAGCGAGGGTATTCACACGCGAGATGCGCGAGCGACCTTTCATGCAGAAGGAGCTCGATAAGGCGTCAAGCTCGAAAAGTGCGAAGAGCAAGAAAGAGCGTTAGCTTCGGATTGGATTGCGGTGTCCTCGCGATTTGCGTTGGCGCAAAAGTGAAAATCTTGGATGAAACGAACCTACGGCGTACACCCGGACGACACGTGGCGGCAGACTCCACACGATCGGCGTCTCTATAACGTGAAACACGAAGGAAAAACATATATCACATTGAAAGGTTTCACATCGATCTAAGCGTCTTGCTACATCAAGCAAACATCCCTGGCATGCCTGCTGCGTGGGGTGACTTGAAAATATTCCCTCTTTATTCGCTCTCTCCGCCATTCGTTCGCTCTGCCTCTGAAGATCAGTTCTCGAGATGGCCATCTTCGTAACCGCTCTCGCAGCATTTTTCGAGTCACTCCCCCACACGCCGCGATAACTTTACGAGGGATGCTTATTATCGAAGACCGCCTGGCGATAAACGTATATATACATGCACTCCTCTCTTTCTCGGGCAAGAACAATGCTAAACCAGTTAGAAACGATCGATTATCGTGACAACGATGCATGTTGCACGGCAGGCAGATACGTCCGACATATCGTGTAGGTTACACCTAGAAAGAGGCTAGAAAAGACGTAGACAGGGAGCGAGAGAGAGATAGACATGGCAAGGCAAGAGTAATGTTTTTCATGCTGTGTTCCAAAGTGTCGTTTGATTCTCGTCGAGGTTCCTCTCGTCGATTTTTATATTTGTCTCCGGATCCAACGTTCGCGCGCGAGATGCGGAAATAAAAGTTACAAAATTGTTGGTAAGTGTCATTATAAATGGCTACGATGTGGAGAATTAATGTTCCCTGTTGCGCATCGTTTGATTATTTGTACAAAGTCGCGTGTCGCGAAACGAACGAGACATTTCGACATTTACGAAAAATGTGGGGCAATTAAGTGTGTCATTGTTGTCTCTGTAATCATTCACATGTGACAAACCGGAAAGTTTAATTGCGCGTCAATTATAATGGACTCGTGCCGATTATTCCGAGTAATAAGAATATCTTTGATAGTATTTTCTAAAAGAATCGTCTATATTATTACTACTCGATGCAACAATTTGTAAAAACATGCTACTTGTCTTGAGCGTCAGACTATATTTGAGTTATCAACTATTGAAAGATGCTTATCAGCGAACGAACGCATAGCTAATGCGTTTTAATTTCTGTGCACATAAACTAGACTAGATAGATAACGGAGGAGTTATATTCGCTAAAAAAATAACGAAACGTTGACTCGTTCCACTTATTAGTTGGCATTCTACGGAGAAGAGCGACATCCGAATTCGAAAAGTATCTTCAAGGGAAAAGATTAATAAAAAGATTACATATTTAATTAAATATATATATATCGAAGAAAAATATTTGTAACATTTTCATGTTATGCTAAACAATCCGTTTAATATAAGAAAGCCTGGAGCATCAATTATTGTATTATATAATAATCATCATTTTTTGTCCAGGTTGTAAAAGCCATCATATCCAGCAAACGTCGTCGTCGTGTTTTCGCTGATGAGTTGTCAATCATGTTATTCACGTTATGCGTAAAATTCGTGTCTGATGAATATTGGCAGATTGACATTTAGCGCGGTTGGATGAATATTGAGAAACAGAGGTAAAGAGCAAATAAAATGTTATATAAAATATTAAATGTCATGTAAAATAAAATATTGAAAAACAGATGGAATATTTTTATCGTAAAGTAATGAGAAATATCTGTAAAGCTTCTCTCCGAATTTTAAGAGAAGCATGTAAATCATTGCGTAGGTGAAATTGAAATTTGTCGCTTGTCGCCGCGATTACCAACTATTTTATATTCTCGAGAAAAAAAAAATGCCTCGCGAGATGCACGAACGCGAACCTAACGTTCGACAAAGAGCACGACAAAGAGCGTCGACGGCACGGATACGGACGGCGGGAGAATCGGTGGGCAGGGGAGGCGAGGAGAAAGAAAAAAAGGAGCGAAAAAGGGGAAAAAGAGTCGGGGGAAGATGACGTGGTACATCGTGTGGTGGGACGAACGGTGCGGGAGTCGTAAGGGGGTTGGAAATGTGAATGTTTCGCAACCTTGCCCATACGGGGGTGCGAAGCTTCCGTTTCTGGGTTACCACCGCGTGGCCCTGTGGTCCGTCCGGTTCCAAGCCGCCCCTTAGGGATGAAGACGTCAGGCCCGCCCCCCTACGTGATGACCGAGCGCACTCATTCCCGCCTGAACTCACCCTGCGGTAGTGCTTGTTAGTTCATGTGTAAAAAAGATCAGGATAATACAAGATTAAAGTTTCTCTCTTTTCTTTTCTCTTTTTCTCTTTTCGATATATCGACCGCTGTGGCATCGCGCTGTTCATTTCCGGCAAACATTCAAGTATTATAAATCAAATTACACCGATCTGCTAAAACGAAATGGGTAAACTCTCGATGCGTCGTGCTTCACGGCAGCATAAAATTGAAAGTTGCGTACCTTTGCATAGATGCGTGAACAGAAAATTCAAAGAAAAAATCAAGCGTTGTTCAAGCGATATAATTGAAGATTTTGTCATAAATCTTTACGGCTTGGAGATGTATCAAGCGCAAGTGATATGATCGGTGCAATTTTCACGCATTCGATGCATAATCTATTTTGCCGCGATGCAAAGTGTATAATAAAAGATGGGCATTCAAGAACGAAATTCTCTGCAAGATTATAATTCGTTTTATATTGTTTCGACTAAATTAGTCATGGCAAGAATTAATTTCCTCCACAGTAATAATGATCAAAGATACGAATGCGACATATGTATTTTTACAAGCATAATACTGTGGAGAATCGTTAAGGCTCTTTCTTTTCCTTTCTGCAGTTGTATCAAATTATGATATCAAAAGCGAGAAGTCCGTACAAATGTTTTCTTGCATAAAAGCTCGCCTTCGATTTGATACAGTAGCGAAATAATAATATAAAATTCCCTTTTTTATTATTCTTTACTAGTAAAGGCTCGAGTAAATTCATTCTGTAGATTCGTTAAATATTTTCAGTAAAAATGCATTTTCTACCAATTGATCGGAATTTATAATTACATAACTGATAAAAAGGATCGGACATCGATTAGAAAACGCATAAATTTTGACGTGGAAAGAAAAAAGAAGGCTAATTTATTTGAGTGTATTTTGTAAAAAAAAAAAGCAAAAATTCGCACAATTTCTCGCTCTCGATATCGTAGCATCGATATGACGGCAATCGAGGAAGAGCTAGGAACCTTGACGACAAAAATTCACTTGCCTCCTGTGAGGATTGAACTCACGACCCCTGGTTTACGAGACCAGTGCTCTACCACTGAGCTAAAGAGGCACCGACACCGACTCCTCTTCGACGAAGCTACAGAAGCGATCTCGGTTAGAGAAGCTAGACAAGTTTTGCGACAACGACGAGTGTCGTCGTCATGTAACGTTCGACTACTCATCTCGGCGCGCTCGATGCTTTATCGTCCGGACGATTGATCTCGTCCGGCTTTGTCGCGATGCATAGTACATTCAGGAATAGCCTTTGTCCCTTATAACCGGCTGTCTCTTTGATCGCCGAATGACCCCCGGGACAGGGGTTGTGAGTTTCATCCGGCACGACGCATCGCGAGAACAAAAGTCTCTTATTACGCGAGGCTTAGGGGATCGCGTTAAATTTGAGTTGCGCTTAGCAAACGAGGCAGAAATTGCGCGCGTCTCGTTAAAAGTTGCACCCTGTGCGACTCTCGCGACTCGATTAATAATTAATTAATAATTGATCACGTAGTCCGATCCGCTGTCAAAGTATCGTATCTCGTTCAATAATCGAATCGATCAATATTAATGATCGTTATGTAAAACGCAACGAGATCGATTACGACGTTCGATCGAGACGCAAACAAGTGCCATCGGATCGATAAATTCTACACCATGAATCAACTTCAATCTTGTCGTATTCTCGACAATTACGATATCGACAGTGCCTACAAAAAGAGAATCGTTAATTAACCGCAAAGTGCGGGACGTGGAGGCGATAGCGTGTCGGCAATGTCTGGAAATTTCGGCGGAAGAAAACGGTAATATTTGAAAATAATCGTACAAAGTATACAGACTATTGTCTCTTTGCATTATACATGAGAGATCCGGCGTTCCGTCTCTCGCTCATGTAAAGAAACTTACTTGGTCTCGTCGATAAAAACGGCCTCGAGTACACGAGCTGCATAATGCAAGTTTCGTTGGAGCAGTTCGGCGGATATCTCCCCGTGTTGTAGCTGCCTCAATAAACACCTCAATCTGCAAAAGAGAGGTATCCTCGGAGTTTGTTCCCTGCGCGCGCCAATAACGTGCCCTCTAAACTAGACGTTCGCATCCAATCGCTTTCCGATAATTGCGCGACAAGTCGAGATTGCTAACGTAATTGTATTTAACTCTTCGATGCTCGAAGGGGTAGATATTTTTTTCCTGCCGCGGGATTCTAATCTCGCGTTGAATAAAAACGTTCAACGCGAGATTGGATAAAAAAACGCCATACACAACATGTACAAAAAGTACAGCGCACTCGATATATAAATTATCATTATAGAGCATATTTTCATGGTAAACTAGAAAATAAATGACATGTTTAAATGAGATAATTATTTCAATGTATGCAAATTCAATACTTTTTAAATATCCGCGTGTCGCGGAACATCTCTCTCTCTCTCTGAAAATGGAGCGATGATGTAAGAATGTACGATATATTTTTCTCGAATAAAATATACAATCTTTATCTCTCCGAGACAAAATGATAAAAATTTCGAAATGGTCCGGCAATGAAAAAAAAATGTCGTTTCTTTTTAATGCTATTCTTGGCGAACCTCCACCTAAATCTAAACCGCGTCACATTTGCAAAGCCATTAACACCTGCAATGCGATATGATACCTGAGAGCAGCTTTGTCGCACGCGTCGGGAGTGTCAACGGCAGGAAGCGAGTCCGTCGTGAGATCGACATTATCGAGGATCTCATCGAGGTCGACGGATTGGCTCGATAAATACGGAGTGTCGGGATTGTGCGGCGGTGGAGAACTTTCGAAACTCCCGCTGCTGATGCTTTTGCTTTTGCCGGAACTTCGGCGTACTATCGTCAAAGTGCCCTGTTCTGAAACACAGTAAGCGTAATCGTTTCGATTAATACGATTCGATAGAATCAGATTCAATCGTACTCTAAATTATGCAGAAATCTCTCCGCAAACAATGTGGCGGTGTAAATCAATTTAAAAAATAAAGAGAAAGTTGATATAAAAAAATGCATAAAATATCTCTTTAGACTCTTTAATTAATCATCTCAGTTGGTTCCTACAATTTTAACATCTTTTGAAAATTATAATCCCTAAAATCTTTACATCTCCCGTAATAATTTTACTCCATAAATTGATCAAACTGCCTCTCTGATTAATACAATTGTTTCGTAATACAGTTTGTATGTGACATAATATATAATTTAAAAATGTCTCATCGCGCTACATGAAAACAATTTTGGAATAATTGGTATTTCAATAATGGATTATAAGTGGATAAAGTTCACATTTTAATATTACGTACTAAAATAGATAGTTAAAAAAAATTGTTTTTATATATATATAAAAGTAAAGTCATAAAGCCAATGAAAAATAAATAAAACGCTTGATTTCTATAAAAATAAACTGTTTTTCTCTTATTCCACTAAGGGAGATTTATAACGGAAATTTATTTCGCTAAAATGACACTTTTGTGAAAATTAAAAATTTTTAAAATAAAATTAATAAGTATTATTGAATGAGTAAATACGCATAAAATTTAATTTTTTTGCACATATATACATGAAAATTCAAGTACAATTTATATAAAATTACCTTTGATATTTTCTTCAATTTTTTCTATTTGTAATAAAATATTCCGCAATAATTATCAGTGTTTTTGAGATACAAACTCTACTCATGCAATATTGTTAAATTATAAAAATGCCCTCCGAGACTACCTTACTGCGAATATTTTGGAGCATTTTGTAGCTGACAAAAAAAGGAGGAAAAAACTTTGCTTTTTGAAGAAATACGCTTGCAAAAAGTAAGTCTGGTCGATAAGTACTGAAGCATATCTCGGAGAGATAATGCCTCGAAAACTTACTGGAGAGTTGGCCGTTTCGACCAGGAGAGGAGGAAGGATTGCGCGGCCTCGTGGAAGCTGCGCCGCTCGTGCTGCTACAACCGGTCGCATTATTCGCCGCTGCACCGGCCGAGGCCACTCCAATATCGTCCCTCGTGACTCGTCTGTCCGGTGGAGATGCAACTGCAATCGCAAAAAAAATAGAGTAAACAAAAGACAGCTTTTTTAGCTCCATCATCACCGTTTCTCGACAAAGCGCACAAATGTGCGCGATACACGTGGCACTTGCGCACGATCATCAATCAACGCGAGCGAAGCGGAAAATTATTGCGGAATTTCTGCATGAATTTTTGTTTCGTAATTTAATGTTGCGAAATTGTCTGAATATCTCATTATTATCTGATGAGAGACTGCTATCCCATAAAGTTTTAATAAAAAAATGTACACATTGTAATATATATTTCCTAAAAATCAGAAAATATGTTGATAATTATATAATTTTGTTTCATCCTTTTTTACACTAGAAGAATATAGTTTCGTAATCATTTTTAGAGGAATTAATTTTATATCATATTTACTATCCAGTAGCATAAATATTAAACCATGAAGAGATCGCATGTGACGCAAATATAGATATCATATTTGACTATCCATGACGGCAATATATCCATGTACATCATTATTTATATATATATATTTTTTTTATTACGTAAAAAATGCATGGACATATATATTTTTATATAAATTTTTTATGTACATAAAATCGCACAAAAATTAAAATTAAAAATTTGCTGGAAATAAAGTAAAAATTTCAATAAATGAAATATTTCTATTTACACGTGGCGCTTTCATATCGACTTCGTCCTGGCTTTGATGATGCGACATAATTATCGTACGCGTATCCATCTTGTCGCGTGTAATGGCATCGCAGTTCTGCGAATGTTATATCCTAGAATATATTATCGTAGAATCGAACGCGTATCGTTACCAACCACCGTAATTACACTAATTTGTCGAATGTAATGCTACAAAGTGTAAGATCGTGTATCCCTGCGGTAAAACCGCGGTGGCAGAGTAGCTATCGATTGGTAGCACTTGCCTATAGCCTGCGAATTAGTCTCATAGCTGATCGATCGCATGCGAGTTACCAACGACTTCCCATTATGCTAATCACAAGTTGAAACGTTCCTAAGTGCGAGCATCACGTTCACCTTGTTTAGAGATTCACTGGAAATTCACCGGGAGACAATCGCGTTAATGAATATCATTGCCAATTATTTAAATTATTAATTCGTTGCTTCGATAGTAATTTTTTATTTTATTACGCATGTATAAATGATATACATAGCATACTACATACACATACAATCAGAGAAAAGAAATATAATGTAGCGTAATTACGAATATATAATTTGGATGAGATTGAAACGAGAAAATTAAATGAATATCCAATGAATATGATTTGGTTTCGATTCTTTTTTAGCATTTGAGAAATCAAAAGTCCTAACTCGATTAAAATATTGTAATATGTATCATTTTTAGTAGTTAAATTTCGAAATTATCACTCGAAACAATGTTTCGCATTTCTCTGTCATGCTGCAAGTCTATTGAATCGAGATCCAAACATAATTGTACGTATAATACGGCTAATAATTAATCAAACAGCATTGTTTGCTGCGCTGTCAATCTATTGCGTCACATTTAAAATAAAATAGTTATTTAAAATATATCCTACTACACATCTCTACTAATCCTTACGTTTAATACTAAAATAAACCAAAGTATTAAATTGAAGAAGGATATAAGTTTTAAAATTTATACTTTGTCATTATAATTTCATTATTTATTACATGTATACATTATAGTACATGCATGTTATAGCATTTGCACTAACACATTCTGATAAAGGTTATCGATATCCATTTTCAGGGGAAACGTTATTGTGCCAGTAAATTGTCTCAATCGAATATCGATCCTAGGAAAATTCATATTCGACGACATGTGGCATCAAAAAACATTTTGGCCAAAAACAATCACTTGCATGAAATCCACTTGCGCAAAATATATAAAGGGACACGTGTAGATAATGTGAACCATATTTTTCTCATTTCGACGAGAAAAAAAATTGAAGAAAATTTGAAGAAAATTTTTCAGTTTGTAAAAAGTCTCGATTACATTAATTATAATTACATTAATTACATGTTTTTTATAATTCTAGAGAGAGAAAAAAATAAAGATAAAAATCTGAAATTTTATATCAAAATAATTATATATTTTATATTCTTTGAAGCATGATTCACATTACCTCCGTAATGTCTCTATTATACCTAATAACGAATATTTTACCTACAATTTCCCCTCGATAAGAATACCAGAACAGTTACCAGATGTCCAACATAAAATAACCTTCAAGTTAATCGAAAAATCCCAACAACATCTTCTTTTATAATCTTAAATCATCATTTTAGTTGCGCGATATTAAAAAGAAGAACATTCGTTTTATATCTCTAAATTAATCAAGAATATCATATTTTTTCGGAAATGAAGGGCTACACGCGCGCCTATAATAATTTTATTTTGGCGCGAAAATAATTTTATTTCAGTGAAATATATCGTGCAGAAACGCATACAGGAGATATGTACATGTGCGCTCGCGCGCGCGTATGTTTGTGTGCAAAGTAAAATTAATAAACAGAATTTCGTTGAAATTTAGTCGTGAATCTCGTCAAAGCATTTCGCTTTGTGATCGCCATGATCTGCACGACGCAGATACGCACATTTTCAAATAATAATTTTGCGGAGTGCTATCACTTTCCAAAAACACCTTTAGCCGAGCGACAATACGAGCGTATCGATGTGACTGTGCGTGATATGAGGAGAGGGTTATGAAATTATTCACCGTAAGCGGATAAGCAAACAGAAGCGAATATAACATATGTGAACATATATGAATTATTACGTTTCGCTTGAATAATGCACGAGATTGCGAGGCAATGGCGAAATGTATGCATTTAGTACACAGAGCAAAATTCATATCATTCTCCTTTTTTAATTTACATTTTTATTTTTGCGTGTAATATGACATCTCTCTTTTCCGTCCATCTAGTTACATATATATATATATACTATGTATATACGTGCAAAACTTCATATAATTCTACCATTGCACCATTAGGGTAAAGCGTATTCATTTCGGCTAACAGCAGGTTGCTTGTACGATGTCCCGAAAGTGCTAAAGTTGACCGAGTAATATGGTGTTTCTGAACAGTCTTATGTAAACCCCGAATGGTCAGGCAAACCCGACGAAAACTAATTTAGATATCGGCGAAATACTAGAGAACCTCCATAAAGACGCGATTGCGCGGAAAATATAAACGGTATAATCAAGAACCATTATGTTTATTAGATATCAGCAATCGTTTCTCGTGCGCTTGTAATATACGAAAAACGAATAGACAGAAAATGGACGAGTCAGAAATGCTTGATTCTGGGACGATTCGTGAGATATCATCGATGATATATCAATCTCTCGTCACGCATTCATTTCATCTCGTCATTTCAGAAATGCATTAATCCAATGGATATCATAGTTATTAGAGCATTGCAATATACCGTGTATATGTAAATTAATTTATACTGTATTATACGGTATGTAAATTAAAAAAGCTTCATCAAATATTGCATTTAATAACAGTATGGAATAATTTGTGTAGTATATGTGTACATATGAAGATAATTACCGCAGAGTTGTATACCGTTGGGAAAAATTTGAAGCTGTTGCTTGAAGGTTCTTTTCTATCGTTAACTGACGTTACTGCTGTTAAAACATTAAACGAAGACTCAAGTCTTTATCAAGCGTGATTGTATCGTGAGTTATCGCGTGTAAAAGTACATTCATTGTTAAATTTCTATCACGGCGAGAAAACTAAATTTCTAAAGACAAAACAAAACTCCATTAAGAATCAGAAGGTAGCGTGATTCTCGAGATGAAGAAATAGTATTTTACTATTACTTATTAATCGAGCATGATGGAGCGTCAAATTTCAACTAAACACATAACATTTTGACATTTAACGTCAAAAACTCATTTGATAACACGTGCAACGAAAAATTAGTTTCTAGTGAAAATGTAACAATTTTTTTTAAATAAATCACATAATGTTACAAAAAAAATATCACACAACCGCATTATGAAAATGTAAATCTCTTAAAAATCATAATAATCTCATTATTCTCTGCTATTTCCGCTTTTAAATATTATTTCATAAAAATGTTTAACAATAGCAATGGAAATGTTAGATCTCATTGTTGCATTTTATTAAATTATAGTATTCGCAGTCAACAGTATGCATATTTCAATGCTATATCTTGTTTGCAGGGCTTTATTGTACAATTTTGTTACTGTGGTAATAAGAGTAATGAATATTCCAATCTCATTTTTAATAACATCATAACAGGATAAAGTAGTGACTTTCAATAACTGCTCATTTATTAAAAACGGTCAGTAGCTTCTGAATAAATGTGATTATACGAATTGATATGGCTTCGTTCCTCGGGCAACAAGCCGTAGTCTTGCAAATTACACGGCCAAGAGTCTTCTTTCCGCTTCTTTCTCTCTCCTTGCGTCAGTTTCTTATTAATCGGCGCACTTACGCAACATGGAAATCGATTAAATGATGAACGTTGACGATTGATAAAACAAGATAAAGTAAGCTCGATCAAATTTAGATTGTACCTCGTTTTTGCGATAATATGAGTAATAAGAATAAACATGATGATAAAACGGGATAAATAATATTTATAAAAAGGTACACGATATCGAAAAAGCAAGCACACAGAAACAATTTCATTAAAAACTTATCTTGATCTTGTAAAATTTTTACAAGAGGAAACATATATTATATATATATATATATATATATATATATATATATATATATATACATTTTTTTTTAATGTATGTTATAATATTGAAGAAATTAATTTTTTCTAGTATTCATATATTTCAGATGTACTATACATATATTATATATATAAATTCAATAATAATATAAATTATTATAGATTGCATAAATATATAACTAAAATATAATAGAAATTGGAATAATATATAAGAGAGAACAAGAGGGAAGAATTTAAGAAAACTCTGTATATGAAATCATATAAAACTATATAAAGCCATA